GCGCCCCGCCCGCCCCGCCCTCCTGGGTGTGCTGACCCTGAGCTGTCGCTCCCCTTTAATTCGCACCCTTAAGCCACCGCTCGGAGGGGGGCTGAAAACAGAATAAAGATACACAGGGGTTCTCGCCCTCAGTCCCGAGTGCAGCTGGAGCAGGCGGAATCAGCAAAACGAACCCGCAGAGCTCACCGAGATGGTGGCGGGAAGTCTCCACGCGACCTGGCATGAGCAGAGCCCAGAGCCAGGCCCGGGGCCGCGAGCACGCACGTGGCCCGGGAGAGGGTCCCCTCTGACACGGAGCCTGCAGGCAAGTCCCACGGAGGAGCTCCCTCCTCACCCCGCCTGACCATGTCTGTTGCTCGTCTCCCTGTGGGTGGCAGACTTCTAAAGGTGTCCCCGAGACCCCCGTTTGCTGAGGCAAACTGTAACCTGGCACCGCCTCAGGGCCCGACAGCCTACACTGAATAATAAGCTCCCGGGTTCCAGGGCCCCCACGCTGAGGTAGGTGGGTGAGGACAGCACACTTGCCACAACTACTCCCGCTCGCACACGCGCGTGACCTGGGGCCGCCCACGGGAGCACGCCGGCAGGACCCGTGAGGACGCCGTGGGCAGCGCGGCCGTCCGCGGCCCCGCCTTGCGCCCTCCGTCTCCTCCCCACGTGCTGGTCGGACGTGGGGATCGGCAGCCGGGCCCTGCCTGGGCTGCGCGGTTTCACGTCGCTTGTCTTCCCAGTTGGTGTCTCCAGGGATGGCGTTGGGGCTGGACAATCCCAGGCTTTCTCAGGCTGTGGTTTCTTGGGCAGAACAAGTCTTTCCAAAATGTAAAGACTTCCGACCTGCTTGTGTTCAGTCATTCTGTCTGTCAAGACCCGGCTCAGCAGCCTGAAGAGCCTGGCCTCCGAGCTCAGCCGGCACCCCCGGTCCGAGCTCACAGGGCGGCGCCCGCCCACCCCCCACATCTATGCCAGGCCTTGGGCAGGAAGGCAACCCCTCACAACGGCTCGGCCACAAGGCCCGCACATCGCTAGGCTGGGCCGCTGGTTTTACTTTCTGCAAAGTTGCTGTGCTTTGCACAAAACCAGTCCAAGGACTGACGTTCGAGAGACAGCAGCAACTGCGTTTCTCAGCTCCGCAAGGTTCCAAATGACCGAGCTCCCGGCCACGGGACGGCAGGCCACAGGCGGAGGGCGTCCATTAGCACAGCTGCATCCCTGTCACTGGGCTCCGGCGCTGGCTGCCACCGGCCGGAGCCCCCCTCTCTCTCCCAGGGCTCTGCTAAAAGCAGCGAGAAGCAGTAATGCATTGCTATGTTAAAAACGTCTTCTGCCTCAATCCCTGTTCAGAGCACGAGGTGCCTTTCAACAAAAACAACAGGGGACCCTTGTTATCGAAGGCTGTGTTTCTGCGTGAAAGGGGTCACCGGTCCTCTGGCCCACAATATTTGACCACATCCATTAAGCCCATGCCGTGTTTCAGTTCAACTACTTGAAGCTTGTTTCTCTGGGTCCTATATTTTATATCAGTTAAGGTTAGATTTGGCCACAAGTGACAGAATATCCAAAATAGCAGTGGCTTGAATGAGACATAGGTAACGTATTTGCTATGTATAACGCGCACCCACGGTTTTGTACGCATTATTCACGGAATTACTATACCCATGGTGTGAATCATTATACTCATGTATATATAGTGCGCATCCTTGTTTTTCCCTCAAAAATGTGGGCAAAAACATGCACATTATACACGGCAAAATATGGCAGCTCTCCTTCATTTGAAGACTAGAGTTGGGTGGTCAGGACGTGGTCCAATGGGGCTCCCTGGCATCAGAGCCCTGCAGCCTTTCTGTCCTGTTGTTGCACTAATGGCCAGAATGGCTGCGGCAGCTCCAGCCATCACATCCTCATTCCATCCAGCAGATCTAGAAGCTGGGGAGAGACTGACACAACTCCACCCTTCAAGGATACTTCCTGGGAGTTGCCCTCCATTGGCCAGAACTTAGTCACATGGCGAAGGGAGGATGGGAAATGTCACTCACATTCTGGGGGGCTGACAATTCAGTGTTCTTCTGTTGAGGAAGGAGAGGTAACAGGTACGGAGACAATTTACAACCTATTTGTGTCGGATTTCAGCACCAGCGTCCTTGTGCTGGAAAAGTTAAAGGACTGTGTCTTTCCTGTTTTTATAGCCCCCGAATTCAGTCTCTGAGAAGCGTGTTTCACTGACGACAATGGCTAGACGAGGTTCATGGTCTGCTGTCCACGTTCTCTGGGGGGACTGTTGCGAGGCAGCCCAGGGCTCCTGCCCGAAGGACGTAGGCCAAGGTTTCCGGCTTCACTTCCACTTCCACGTTTGCTGTGTCCATGGCTTCTGCGTCCGGCAAACGACCAAAGGAAGCAGAACCAGCGTCTCCGCTGAACAGCTCCACAAAGCCAGTGCGATTGTGCAAGCACATGGAAAACCAAAATTGATGAAACGCAAAATAGATATTTAACTTTCGGGACGGCACGCATCTTCGGACCGCTAGGTAATTCGGAGACCAATGTTCTTCATACGATCACGTTTCCCTTGAAAAGATCTACAGTTTCGGCTGCCTGGCCCATCTCGTGGCCATAACAGGACATAGTTCATTCAATTCCTGAGGAGCTGCCCTGGAGGCTAAGCCGTCTGCCAGACCCTCGGGCCACCACGGTTCCCATAGGAACGTGGTACACAGACAGAGAGACCCGGGAGTGACCTTGCAGGGGGGAACCAGCCACATCTATGACATTCAGGGCCATTATCAGTGGGGAGAGGTGGCAAAGTGAACACAGACTGGCATCCGAAGGCAAGGCTGACTCTCCCAGGCCAGGAGAGCTTCAGACTCATGCCGACTGGCCCATCTTATCCCCAGGACACCACTGTGCCCCGAGGCCTGTGCCAATGGCCAGGCTCCAACACCCACATCAGCCACAACAAAATCCAAATTAACAAAAGTCTAATTCGGTGTCTACAAAGTGCAGTGTTTTGATCTTGTTGTTAATTGTTAAATCGGGCCCTGTTGACTTTGTGTGAATATTTTATTGCTTTGGAGTCTCACCGTCGCAGGGATCCCCGGACACGCACAGCGGCCAGGGTGGCAGAGCGCGGGTGGGGCGTGTGGAGCAAGCACCCCGCCACAGCGTGTTCACTGAAGACCCTCCCACAGCTGCGCGGCCGGGGATCAGCAGTGACACAGGCTGTGGCTACGTCATCCCGTTGGGTACGGTGTGGAGTTTCTGAAAAGGGTGCCTGAAACGAGGGGCAGCACCCTTTTCCCCACAAAGAGCCAAAAAGTAAATCCATTTGGCTTTATGAGAGCGTAGGTTCCCGGTTGTGACCACACAGCTCGCTGGGACAGCGCAGAGCCTTCTGAGGTGGAACAGAAACAACACAAGGGCGTGGCTGGGGGCCGATTAAACTTTATTCACAAAACAGACAGAGGCGGGGGTGCGGGGGCACAGATCCGCCCATCGCCACCATTGTCTGTCCCTTGCCCCAGGCCCAGGAAGGTCCCTGCCAACCCAGCAGACTCAAAACTACTCTTAAAAAAAAAGACTGTTTCCGTGAATCACCCAGAAGACGTCCTAGACTGCGCGAAACGCCCCACGTTGTGGGCTCAGCTGTTCTGCGGCCACAGGCTGGCTCGGGAGGCGCGGTCCCCTCTCAGATGCCCACAGCGTGGGCGTTACAGCAAATATTTCCTCCGCTCCTCTGCAAGGAAAGGGGGTTGAGCCCCAACTCAGCTGAGTCAGTGCAACGCGATACCCCACTGGTTAGCCCAGGGCGCCACGGGGTCCTCCGAAAAGATGAGGCTCGTGAACCACGGAAAGGCTTCAGGTGCGACCGTGAACTGGCTGAGCCACGTCAGAGGCTGAAAGGGCCCAAGAGTGTTTAAACCCACGCTGAGCTGGCCTCCGTCTACCGCTCAGACCGGAAAACTACATGCAGGGTGGGGGTCCGACTACTGTTCAAAATCTTTAATCTTTTTAAGAGAACCGCCCTTTCCCCTCCACCGCACTTGCACTAGCAGTAAGCACACAAGTGAAAAAACCAATGAAAGCTTGTGGTTTTGTTTAAAGACAGAATCTAATTGGAATTTATTCATAAAAGGCTACTAAATTCTTTTACATCTGCAATACCATACGAGTTAAATCATGTCTGTTCATTTTTAAAGTATGTACTACGTATACAGTTTTAGGCATAATCATTTTTCTCATAACATATTTATCACCTCAAAAAGTAGAAAGGATCACTGTGTATTCTTTTCTGTTTCTTTTTCCTTTATCCTCTCTCAAGGATTTTTCCCCCCATTGGTTTCAGAGAGAAAAGAAGAGGGAGAGAAGAGACAGAGATGAGGAGAGAAACACCGACCGTTTGCCCCCCATACGGGCCCCGACCCGGGAATGAACCTGCAGCCTGGCTACGCGCCCCCGTCAGGGAATGAACCTGCAGTCCTTTACTTACGGGACGATGCGCCAACCAACTGAGCCACACCAGCCAGGGCTCACTATTTATTCTTTTTAATCACTAAAAACACCGACCACAAATCTCCGAGAAAACATTTTCCTTTCCACCTCTTAAACTGAAACAGAATCACAATTACAGAAACACAAACAACCGCTACAGCATCTTTGTCCCCCGCCCCCAGTATGGCCCGTTGGTGCTGAATCGCTGGGTAACCTACCGGTGACATTTCATTGACCCTCTGAGCTGGGCTGCTCGTGGAAGCAAGAATTACAGAACTCAAGTTTCTCTGGAAAACCCGACTGGCGGATCAAATTTTTTCAAAAAGCATAACCTGCTGTTTAGTTCTGGTTCGAGATGTCTGGCCTGAGACTATCAAAGCAGCTAATCTACACTCACAGCTTGTGCTGCTCCTAAGACTGGGAGGAAGGGAGGGGAGGGAGGGGGAACGGTCCCAGCGCTCTGTGCTGTCCGTGGTTTAGGAGCAAACACGCGATCCCATCCGTGGGAGCACACGCCTTCAGGCCTCGGCGCCGAGCCAGTCCAGCAGCCCCGGCGGCAGAGCCTGCTCAGAGACGGCGAGGGAGCTCAGCGTCTCCGCCCTCTCGCACTCCCCCTCCTCCGCGTAGACGTGGGGCAGGGAGCCAGACGCCTCCGCCGGTGCGCCCAGGCCGCAGAGCCTCTGCAGAGAAGCCAGGGGAAGAGGAGGTGAGGGCCGGTTCGCCCACGTGTGGGGCACCTTCTTCACGTCCCATCAAGGGGCACCGCAGTGCACCGGACGACAGGCCGCCCCTCTGTCCCCGGCTGTCACAAAAGGTTCTACAGGCTCAGAAGGGGCAGCCAGAGGGGACTGAGCGCGTCTTCGCACGTTTCAGCTGATTTCTGGGGGCGGGGGGGGGGGGGGAGTGGCGTCTGGTGGTTTCTGCCCAGACTCAGGCGGCACGGCACGGGCCCTAGGTAGGGCCTCCCCCTCGTATGGATTTATTGTGGGGGGCGCGTCCCCCACCACCCGTGCCCTGACACCGGCTGTCCCTTCCTGAGTGGCCGTCCCCGGGCCTCCCTTCTGCTCTCTCCACCCCGCCTCCCCGCAGCCCGGTGTGTGTGCTCCCTCGGCCTTCGGACACCCCGTGTCCAGTGCCGGAACCAACACAACGTATCCGGCCCGAGGCTGTGCTCCGCTCAGGCAGAGCAGGGTGAGGCTCCTCTCTGTGCGGCCGTGGCGAGCCCCTCACCAGCGACCAGACCTAATGGGGCGCCCCGTCCCCAGCAGCCACGACTCTGCAGGCACAGAGACCTGGGCCGCCTGCGTCCGGGGCGCCTTCCGCCCTCGGACACGGCCTCGGTGGGTTTTTCTCAGCAGCCACCAGGCACTGTTCCGCCTGCAGCCCTGTCTGCCAGCCGCTCTGATGGCCAGTGGGGGGCAGTGAGGGCGGTCATCGGGTTTCGCAAAGCGGGGTCCGGGACCTCGCGTCCGACCGGCTGCCGCAGGCTCTGCAGAGCCGGGGCCCTGGGTCCGAGGCTTTTGCACCAGCCCCGCGTGTGCCCGCACCCCGGAGCCCAGCCGCCTGTGTCTGACTCCAGCAGTACCACTTTCGGTGGCTGAGACCTTGGATAAGTCACCTAGTTCATCTGTCCCGGGGTCCCCTCCTTTTGTGGTGAAGAAAATGATTGCTCCAGCCCGGCAGGGGCAGGGACGCAACGGGTGGGTGAGGTGACAGCCGTGAGCCCTTCGGACAGCGGCCGATACGCTGCGGTGCTCGCGGCTGAGCCCGGGGAACAGAGCAAGCCTCGGCAGCGCGGGGCGGGGCGGGGCGGCGGCGGGCCTTGACAGTTCCTCCCGGTTACAGTTTCTCGGGTTTGAGCCCAGCTTTCCTGCGACATGGGGAGCCAGGCCCTGGGAGCCAGAAATCACACCGGCAGCTTCTGTGACCTTTCTCTGGTCCAAGGGACGGGGGTGGGCGAGGGGAGGACACAGGGCCCCTCCCCCGACACCTTCCGCTCCCGCTCAGTCCTCGGGAGCCACCCGCAGGGGCGCCCAACTCCCGGGGCGCCTTCCTGGCTCGCTCAAGGACACGCGGTTGCTGTAAGAAGCAACCGTATGGGTCGCCCCACAGCCCCCTTGAGCCAACCCACGGCGCTCGTGATATCACCAAAGGACACCAGTCACCCTCGCCTTAGGTCGTGTTCCGCAGAAGCAGGCCCGGAATGGGGACCCTGTGGAAGCACGTGCCCTGGACTGAACCGCGACTCGGAACAGCTGCGCTGAAGCCCCGCCCCCAGGGAGCCGCGCAGGGAGGTGGGGCCTTCGGGAGACAATCAGGGGCCGAGGTCGGGAGGGCGGGGTCCTCCCGCTGGGGTGAGCGCCCAGGTTACGAAGAGCCCGCCCTCTCTCTGCCACGTGAGGACACAGCAGGCTCCCCCCAGAGGCCGCCCCTGCTGGCACCGGGTCTCAGGCCTCCCGCCACCGAGCTGCTGGGTCAGCCGCGCCCCCGTGGTCCCCTTCCTGCAGCCCCGCGGCAGGGGCAGTGACTTAGGAGACAGGGCCCCGCCTCGGCAGGTGAGGAAGCGGTCCTACCTGCCGCAGGATCTCCGCTATCACTCCCGCGCTCCCTTCCAGGGGCTGCCCGGGCACCGCGGTCGCTGGGCGCACCTGCAAAGCAGAGGGGCAGAATCTTAACACCGTGCGGGAGCCGCCCTTGAAGCTGCCATGGCAATGGCCTCTGCTGGGGGGCCGCCTCCGGGCAGAGCTTCTCCCCGAGGGACAGTGGGATGAAGGGCGGCTTGGTCACGTGCCACCTGTTTGTGGTGACAGAGAGAGGAGGAGACCCTGCCAACACGCGGCCAGAAACTGCTACCACCAGATTGCTTTTTCTTCCTGCACCAAGGCTGTACAACTCGTAAGGACAGCAGAGTCGGGATCCCTAGCAGAGAGAGGTCCACGGGCAAGCCTGCCAGTTGCTTTACGGGGCTGGAGCGTGGGAGTGAGGCTTCCAAGCCCCGCCTGGTGCCCGCAAAGGCTCCAGGGCCTGGCTTCACCGTCCGTGAGCGAGGGCCACCCACCCCTGGGACCCAGGAGCAGCGGCATCATTTGCAGGACCCGGCGCAAAATGGGAACGTGGGGCCCAGCGCCCAAGTAGTGGGAATTCCAGGATGAGGACGGTGGGGCATTAAACCAACAAGCACAGGCCCCCCAGAGCACAGAGCCTGTGCAACTGACCTGGTTCCGGCCCGCAACGCTGGTCCCACCCGGACCGGGGAACACGCCTGTCCATGCACAGTCCTTGCAAGGGAGGGTGTGCGGCGCCATCTCTGTGCAGCGCGGGGCAGCGCGTTCCTCTCTTTGCTCAAACGCAGGCTGAGAAGGGATCATGGAATTACAGAGCTCTTAAACATTTTTGGAAGATTTCCATCATAAAAATTGTGGCTCTTTGGCCCTTGAGGACCTCTTTGAGCTTTTGTCAGAAAAGCACTTTTTTGTTGTTGAAATAATAGCTAGACGCACGAGTGTGGTCGCAGGAAGGTCTGTATTCGAGACCGGCATGAACGGTGGCTCCCCGAAGGCCATGCTCTGGTTTTGAGAGTGCACTGGGGTTATAGAACACGCTCCCCTTGGGGGAGGGGTGCCCGGGAACTCTGAGCTATGTTTACAACTTCTTGTGAGTCTAAAATGATGTCAGAATAAAATGTTTTAGGAAGCAATCGTTCTAGAATCTGTACAAAGACGATATAAAAACATGATGCAGCGGGAAGCCGGGGCTCCTTCTGGCAGGAGGTGGGCAGTCACTGGGCGAGAACTGGACCAGCGTCAAGGCCACGAGCTCCTACTCTGGTACAATAGATGATCTCCCGTGCCCTTCAGTGGCACAGGAAAGCGTTTTTACTTGTGGGTGTTCTAAAAGGTGTCGTATTTGATCACGACCATCAATATCAACTCTTAACAATAACCACATCTGTATCAGTGGGCCAGCTGGCGTTGTTGTGAGAGGCTGCGTTTGGCTTCAGTGAAGTTTTTAAGACTCTTTCACTGAGTTTGCCCATTTCACAATGGGTGATATACCAGTGCACCTGTCCACATTGCACTGAATGTTTAGCAATTTTTGACCAAAAATGGCATGACCCCTGTGCCCCACCCTCCCTATTCACCCCCCCATCTCACCCGAAGTGACTCTTTTTTTTTTGTTTTCTTGGATGAAAAAAGTCCTCAAAGAGAAAGGCGCTGATGGGGAAGAGGTGAAACAAAAAAAACGGCAGAAGCACTAAAAAGTATTAAAACCGTTGAGTTCAAAAACTGTTTTGAGCAGCGGATCAAATGCCTCAACAGGTGTATCTCATCGAATGGAGAGTACATTGAAGGTGACTGAAGATTAAATATGTAAGAATAAATACACAAGTTTTTATAAATAAATTCCAGGGTTTTTTGGTCGTCCCCCCCCCTTATACATGAAAGTTGAGGATCACTTAGATTATGTGTCTAAGCCACAGTTCTGTAATTTAAACCCAGGTCTGCTGTGTGCCCTGCTCTGGGTGTGCAAAGATACCTCGGCAGCCTGGCCGGAGGGCTCAGGTGGTTGGAGCATTGTCCCATACACCAAAAGGCTGCGGGTTCGATCCGGGTCAGGGCATGTATGGGAGGCCGCGGACGTTTTTTTCTCTCATATCAATATCTCTCTCTCTCTCTCTCTCTCAAATCGATAAACATATCTTCGGGTAAGATACCTTGGCAGTAATGGGGTGTGTCCTGAGCTATGAGTAAGAGACAGAGGGAAGGACATCTTGGTACTAGAAGAGGACATGGGCTCTCGGCCCTCTGACGGCTGGTCCTTGGCCAGGGACGTTTGCCACCGGACTCCCTGCCACTGGCCTGGCCTAAGCCCTGCAGTGACCAAGCTTCCCTTGCACACACTCTGCTTCTGCAGCTGCTTCCTCTTTCCAGGGGACGCCACCAAGCCACCTGCCCACGAGAACAGCCCCCGGGGCATCTCCACGACCTTCCCCACCTCGGCTGTGCTGGCAGCCCGTGCTGAGGGGGCGGCTTCCCCAGCATCTCCTCCGAGCCCCGCAGCCTCAGCTCCGCACTCCCTGACCGGGGAGCCCCGTCCACGGTCCCGGTTGCAGGAGCTTCAGAGCAGGGGGGACTTGCCCAAGGCAAGGCGGTTTATCTGTTAGGCAAAGCTCCTCTAGTTGTCAAGATTGTTTCCTTCTTCAAATGACACAGACAAACCCGTTCAGGGCTGCTCTCGTTGGGGTGGGGGGACCCAGCTCCCTGGCTGGTTTGGACTGTGCCCGCTGCCTGCGCAGCCCCGCCCTAGGAGGGCAGAGAGCAGGCCTGCGTGGCCGTGGCCCAAGGCCATTGCGTCCTGTGTGCTCCCGCCAGTAGGGAAGAGAAGGCGGGGCAAGGAATCAAGGAGTCTTGGCGGACCGCCAGCTTCCCCAGCCACCAGCGGTGTCGCCAGGTACCCCCTTAGTTCCTACGGCACAAAGCCAACGTCTGTCCATGGGAGGATCTCTTCCCAGAAGCATCTCACATGGTGTAACAGGTCTAAGACAAAGGAAGGTGGTACCCTGAATCCTCTGTGAGCGGAAAGCGGCGCCTTCTGACATTTCCTTGGCTTTCGTTCGTTGGATCAGCCGCCCTCACTTCCCACTGAAGGCAGAGCGCGAGGCCAGCGCTCCCCTCTCAGGGCCAGGCCGGCCGCACCCCGGGCTGCCACCCCGGAGGTAGGGTCAGAAGCAGCAGGTGTGAAAAACCAGCAGGTGCCGGCTGAGGGCCTCGCGGCGGGGCCTGGGGCGCCTTCGCCCTCTTCCAGCCCACCTGTGAGCTTGATCTTCTCATCCCCGACCCAGCGGGGGCTGCGGGTGACGTGACATGCTCAATAGGATGAAGCTAATACGATGCAGAGCCCGGGTCTTCTCCCTGCAGGGCCAGCGGGTCCTGCTCAGCCCCCGCCAGTGAGGGGCGGGGAGTGGTTGGGCCTCATTCTCTCCCAGGCCAGGCAGCCAAGCCAGTGGGGGCGTCTTTAATTAGCGAGTCCCGCCCCTTGTCCGTTTATAGAGACTGTACCTGGTGAAATCCAGCTTTCCCCTAAGCAGGGTTTCAGACCCTCGGTGCTGCTGACGCTCAGAGCCGCCCCCTCGCTGCCAGGGGGCAGTCCTGGGCACGCGGGGACGTTCCACGGCATCGCTGGGCTCCACCCACTAGGTACCAAAAGCATCCTCTCTCCCCGCCCCGCCCCCGCCGGGTTGTGACAATCAAAGTCGTCTCCCAACATTGGCAGATGTCCCGTGGTGGGCAGAGCTGGCCCCAGTGAGAACCGCTGGCCTTAAACGATAAACCCATTTAGGTAACTCGGACGCCTTTCCCCCTTTGGCTGCGCGAGGGTGAGCGCCGGCGGAGTCGTGCGAGGCGGGCGGGAGCGGGACACGCGTACCTGGGCCGGCGGCGGCAGCGTGGGGCTGCCCTCCACAGCCAGGGCCGAGGTGGCTCTGCTCTCGTCGTTGTACGTGATCAGCGTCTGCTGGCCTTCCTCGCGTGGGACAGGGCATCTGTGCCTCTTGGCTCCAGGCACCAAGCCGCGCCGCCACAAGAAAAACAGAGCAACTGTGACGAGACAAGGCGGGGAGTGAGCTGAACAAGTTCGTCCGCATCAGAGCCTTCACCGGGGTCATGTCCGTCAGCTCGCAGCTCAGCCGTGAGTGGCAGGGTCAGGCTGGCCCTCAGTCACCCCTGTAGCTACAGGGCCTAGCAACGCCCGTGGTACAGGGGCGGCTTACTGTTCGTTGGCCCGCTTGTCGCATGCCGCCTGAGCAGGACGTGAGGCCGTGTTTGTCTGTCCGCCTCCCCCACGCCCCGGCGCCCTGACGGTCATCGGCACACGCCGCCCGGCCTCAGGGCCGCCCTCTGATGCAGTTGCCCGCGGCTCTCATGGCCGCGGGTTGCTGCTCACAGAATAGAAGCAGCTCTTGCCACCCAGACAGCGTGCCCCGACTCGCTGAGCCCCCAGGCCTTTCTCTGGGCACCCCGCTGCTCCCTGCCAGCGTCTGCTTCCCACCCTGGGGGGCTCCGTTGCCCCGGCTCCCGGCCCGGGCCACCCTGCAGCCCGCTGACCTGCCAGAACCAGGAGCACCGCACAGAGAGCGACCGGGATGCCCACGTGGAGCTCCGGCCCTGCGCCCAGGGCCTCCGCCGCACACGTGGACCCGCCGGGGCAGGAACAGACCCGCACGTGGACCGTCTGCTTCTGGGACAGACCCTGTCTGTCTCTGATGAAAAGCGGCACGAAGTAATCCCCACGGGCGAGGCTTTTCTGCATTAAAAGTTCAACCGACCAACCTGCAGGGAGAGGGCGATCTTGAATGTATTAACTCAGTGTTCGGCTCTGCAGCAGATATTTACAAACACCACGCACGTGCCAAGGCTCTGGACGAAAGTTGGCCAACTGCAGAGTTAGAGGGAACCGTCGCCAAGATCACCCTCACTTCTGACAGCAGCTGCAAGTTCAGGGGCTCCCCAGGCCAGCCAGTCAATAGAAGAGGCACGAGAGGGCAGAGTCCAGAGACGCACCGAACACAGCGCCTCTGGTCTCTTCAGAGTCCGGACAGCACCACCTCCCAGCATCAGCGAGGGGTGGTGCGCAGGGACCCTGCCAACCACGGAAGCCCACCCGAGCCTGGCCTCCCCAGTCTCTGTGGGGACTCAGCCTCAAAAACCTGGCTGCCCGCCCACATGACCCAAAGCCCCGCCCTCACCCACACCGTTCCTGTTGATTGGCGCCAGACCCCCAGGTGAACACACGGCTCAGGCAGGACACGCCAAGGGCTGGCGATCTGCCCCCAGAAGCCAGGGCCAAGGCCAGGTCTCTTTTCGGGTGGGGTCCGGTGCCTCCCTACACACTCTGAGTCTGGGAGGGTACCCGTGACCTCAACTACAAAAGCAAGCTACGGCCCCCAGAGCCATGAGTGAAAGCACAAGGGACAAGGTTGCTGGCGGGGGCCAGTGGCTCCTGCTTCGAACGGCGCCCGGGTCTCCTTTGGGGAAGCGCACGTTCCTGAGCTCTCGGCCCACGGGGGTCAGGACAGGCCAAGCCCAGACCCCAGCCCGGCCCAGGTGTGGACGCACTGCCCCCCGGGACCGGCAGGGCAGGGGGCTGCCCTTCAGCCCCGAGGGGAGACCCTGCCTGAGAGTGAAGGGGCCCCAAGCCAGGCCGCGCTGTGGGGCGACAGGCCGCGCCCTCGGGCGTCCCTGAAGTCGACCCAGCTCTGCTGGGACACAGGCTGCTCCGGCTGCATCTCCGCCATGCAAGCCGACCACCTCCGTTTGCCCACGGCTGGGTCAGGGTTCGGCCGTCTCTGTCCTTTGTCCCCGACTGGCACAAACACTCACCCTGACTTTGCCCCAGTTTCCACGCGCCGCCTGCACTTCCCGAGGCCGCGTCCAACTCAAAGGTGAACGGGCCTGAGAAGGGTTCCAGGTCGCCGTCCTCCGCCTCGATGAGGAGGGGCTCGGTCCCCGAGGGCTCGCAGACCTCCAGGTACTGAGAGTTGGGGTGCAGGGCTGGGGCGTTGTCGTTGATGTCGGACAAGAAGAGCGTCAGGGTCCCCGTCCCTGTCTGCGGCGGGCGGCCTTGGGGGATTCCAGGAAGGACTGTTTATCGATTCAAGAGCCTACCCTGTGCCCACAAGCCCCTCCCCGGAAGAGGAGCCCCCGGGAAGGGAACCATCCCACCGAGCTGTGGAAACCGTTTCCCTTCCAAAGCCGTGAGCTCGCTGTGCGTGCTTGGCCTGCTTGCCTGCTCTGTCCACATTCGGAGGCTCTCTTAGCACCAGTTAACAAGGCGCCACCTCAAATGGCCCTCAGAACCAGGCGGGATGTGGAACTGCCAAATGCACAGAAATGCCAACGGCACCGGGTGTTACGCCGGGGGCGGAACGGGCAGAAAAGCGTGTGGTGTGCGGGTGGAACCGTCTGTTTCCGGACTGGGCCCACCTCAGGGACCTGGCTGTGATGCGCGGCGTGCGTTTGCAAGGTGCTACCGTGGCGGACGCTGAGCACCGGGGACTCAGAGCCCCGCTCTGTTATTTCTGTAAATGCCTGGGAGATGGACCCCTCTTTCCTTCCTCTCACTTAGGCTGATTAGAAACACAGGTGTATTATCTTCCTAACCAACGCTCTACTGATTGATTTTTACAATCGGCTCCACATCCCTGCGACCCTGGGTTTGGATTTGCAGATTTCCTTCAATACAATTTTTGAAGCTATTTGACAGTTGTTATGTATTCAGCCTCACGTCCTGGGGGGTTTGGAACTTCGGCCTTGGCAGGGGGGTCACAGAGGACAGTGTTGAAACATGCTCATCATGCTCACCCACTGGGACCGTGACCAATCTGTCTCCTGCGGTCACGGTCACCTGAGCTTGTGAGCCATTCCAAGTCCCGAGAGAGCGCGCTGCATATTTATCACACACCGTTGCCTCTATCCAGGGGCTAAGGAGTTGTCGCGAGCAGATGAGGAGGAGGCTGGGTTTGATTGCGCTTCCGCGGGGCAGCGGTCTCCTCCGAGCGGGTGCTCCCCGCCTGTCCCTGGCCCTGGCCCCGGATGGGCCATTTACGGAGCTACCGCCAGGCACAATGAGCCTGCGCCCACAGCGATGCAAAGGCTGTGTGTCTCCCGCTGGCGCGCTGACTGCTATTTCCCTCCGGAAAACACCCTCTCCGCGTCTTGGGTAAACACTCACCGTCATCAACAGCATGCACCACGACGACGTAGTAGCTGTTGTTCACATACGGGGACTCTCGGTCGATCTGCTTCCTCGCGACCACCGCCCCCGAGCGCTCATCCACAGCGACCCAGCCGGCAGGATCGTGAACCAGCTTATACCTGGAAGAGGGAGCCATGCACAGTCTTTAAAATTGCAAAGTCACAGCGGACACGGTGGCCACCACAGGTCCCGTGGGGAGTTCTGCGAGCGACGGCGTAAGACGCGCTCCTGAATTTGGGGAAGGCCCAGAGACGGCGGCCCGAGACCGCACTTCAAATGTCACATCGACAGTCACTGCGGAGTCAGGGTCCGGTCCCTGCTGGGCTGAGCATGACTTGGTCCCCCTTAAGAGGACACTCGTCCTGGTGGTGATGGTCACACAGCGATGTGAATGTACTTCCTGCCACGGAAATGGACACTGAAAAATGCTTCGAGGGATACACCTTATGTTGTATATGTTTTACCACAATTCAAAAAAACCCCCACAAAACCAACAACAACCTCTTCTGTTGCCCAGAAACAAGGGGGCTGCCAGTTCACTCCCTTTGGTAAAGGGGGGTAGAAACACTGAGGGAAGGATCTAAGTAAGACAAGGAAAAGACAACGCCAAGTCCGAGTGCGGGAGGCGCGAGCCAGGACCGGGGCCAGCACGCGCCGTGGAGGGAAGAGACGGCGAACCTGGGCCGGGGCGCTCGGGGGCTTCTGGAACTTTCGTAACTGGGACAGAGGCAGCCTCCGCACCACATCGAAGGGGCCGGGTTTCCAGCAGGAACGTTCTCGGCCCTGTGGCCACGCCGCGTCAGCAGCTTCCTGGCGTGGCCACAGGGCCGAGAACCTCTCTCCTTCCTCGCGACTCACCTAATCTGGCTGTGGGGGCCGTCTGGGTCCGTAGCGTTGAAACTTCCCAACCGAGTTCCGGGCCCGGCGCCGTCAACCTCGCTGACCAGGAGGGTCGGGGGGTGAAAGGCCGGCGGGTCGTTGGTGTCTGTCACCTGCACGCGCACCGTGGCGCTCGCCGCCGCCTGGGGCCTCCGAGGCTCCCCGCCCTCGCAGGAGAAGAGCGGCTCCTCATTTTCCACCGCGATGACGAGGCTCCACGTGGGGCGGGTTTCATAATCCAGAGCCTGCGGGGGCCGCCGGGAGGAGTTCCTTAGCGCTGCAGCTCCCGGCCAGAGGGCCTGTGGCTTTGCGCTTCACTTACTATTGACCTTGTCTTTGATAATGATCAAGAGACAGTTGTCAGCTCATTGTCAAATCCTTCTTGCAGCTCCTTCACCTCCTCCCCCCCATCCTGGCGGGAGAGTGCCACCATCCGTCAGAGGGTAATGAAAAATGCAACAAAACCCGTCACCTAATGCAACATTCATGTGACAGCCGTGCCGCCCAATGAATCAGGGGGCCTGGAGGAGGTGACACATGAATGCTTGCCGCACCCCAGGGTGCAAGGAGGTCAGCGATTTAAAAGGGATGGAAAGACTAGGAACGTTTGGGCAGCTCAGCCGCAGGCACCTGGTGTCACAGGGTGTCTTACAGGGAACCTGCCGCGTGGGCAGGCAGAGAGGATGGCCACCCCAGGCCTAGTGGCTCAGGCCTGCCTTTGAACCTGACCCTGGGCGGCCGCCGCAGGCTCTCGCTGACAGCAGTGAAGCCTGAAGGCCTGGGAGCCGGGCCGCCAGTCCGAGCCCCACTCCACCGCGCAGCCTCATGAAAATGGCCCAGCCCCTCTGCGTGTCGGTGTCCTGGTCAGTAGAGATAGTGACACTTCGCGGCAGGACCAGCTGTCCATTCGGCACAGCAGGTCGAGCGCCAGCCAGCGGCCCATGACACTCTCAGGCGCGTGGGCAAATGTTCTCATTTTTGTTAGACTGAGAAGAAATGAGTGCATTCTTGGAGTTGGAGAAAATGCCGTAGATAATTTTTATTAAATGTCGAAGTACTTAAAGCCTTATCAAAAGCAGTATTTAATGTTGCTATTAACCTGGTGGGAGAGGCCAGGCAGGCGAAGGGGCCACAGCTCGGCCCTGCCCTCACTGGGCGCTGGGGGCCGGCCGGACACGGCGGGTCACAGGGCTTAGCTCCCGCCTCAGCGTCCTCAGGCACCTGACCGGAGTGCGTTCCGCGTGGCTTTACCTCGATCACATTTATGATCCCTCCGTTGGTCTCAGGGTCAGTCACAATGTCAAAATGCCCCTCTTCGTTGCCACTGGATATGCTGAATTTTGCTCTCCAGGCCGACGTGAATGGCGAGTCGCCGTCTTGGACCGGGAGACGCAACACGTCCTGGGTGACTTCGCCTTCAGGGACCTGGACCTTGTACTGGGAGAGACGGTCATCATTTCCGAGCGGTGGCGGCGGAGGCAAAGAAACGCAGTCGGAAAAGAAAGCAGGGAAGGAAGAGTCTGCCCTCACACAATAGCCTGGATGTTTCTCTTGCTGTTGAAGTTGACCTCAGGGGACGTTTAACTGCCTGACACAGCAGAACGGGCATCAGTAACAAACGCCTCCGTCCCCTCCCTGTGACTCCACACCTGCAGGGGACCGACTTTGAAAGGGCTCTCCAATCCAACACCGGGCCCCAGTTTTCTAAGAATTTTAAAAATAATAACATCCTAGTTTATGCTGCCTAAAAAGCCCAGCTCTCCCCTGAAATAGAACTCCCATGGTTACTTGAATCTGTTCTCCAACAAACAGATCATTCCCACAGATTGCTTTTCAGGGCTGTTGGTGAAGAGATAATTTCTCTATACGAACACATCCAAAGCGCAGGGTTTATATTTCCCAGCCCCGCTTTGGAGAGCACAGCTTCTCTCCGAGCCAGAGGAGGATTTGGAAAGGTGGCTCACACTTGATCAATATTATTTTTCAGTTATTCTGTGCTGTTTGGTGCTTTCAGTGAAAACATTTCGGCCTGAGTTCGTAGAGTTTTTTAAAATTCTTCAATGATATTTTTTAAAGATAACGATTTGTTGCATTTATTTCTGTATCGGGTTTTGTTTCAGGTGCGATGAACAAGAGACCAGCCCGCCCCCCAGGGAGCGGACGGTTGAAAGTGCGGGCGCGCTCGCCGCGTGCTGCGGGTGGGGACGCGGGGGGCGGGGCCAGAACAAGGACACAAATATAATGGATACTTCCCTTTCGAAAATTCAACAGCGGAGTAAAACATGAAGGAAAGAAAGGAAAACAGATCCTGAGCGGGTTTTGTTTTCCCCCTGGGCCACCCTGCCTACTAGAGGTGCCAGGTGGGGGTGCAACACCTCCGCTCCAGGCTGCGACACCAGGTGTCACTCCCAGTCGGGCGCCTTGTAGCATGTGACATCCTATGTGGGACACCGATGATAAACCGGGAGGCGGAGGCCGGGCCAGAGCCTGCCTGCTTGCCTTCCCTGTCCCCCCAGGGGGCATGTGACAATATCTGCAGGAAGTTCTGGTTTGTCACACAGGGGCGGCTGCCAAACATCCTACAAGACGCAGGGCAGCCTCCTCCCCCCCGCAAAGCCCCCGCCCCCAATGTCGGTAGGGTGGAAGTGGAGCGGGGTACAGTGAGCGGGGCGTCTGTGACCTCCCGAAAGGCCTCTGTGTCCGGGACGCAGCTCGGGAGCGGAAGTCAGGGGTAGTTCCAACAGCTAAGAGTGAAATGATGCCGCGGCGGCTCCAAGTGCAGTGTCTGGCACAAAACGGTGAGAAGTGCGAGCTCATTTATTTTCAAACGATCCTCTACCCCTGGGGTCACCTCTCGATTCTAGTTTCCGTGATCTTGGAGAATTGGAAGGATAGGGGGTGATATGGGCAGTCGCCCAGTGGGTGCCGTACCTCCTCCTGGGAGAACATGGGCCTGTGGTTGTTGCCTTCCTGCACGCTGACATGGACCGTGGCCGTGGAGGACAGCGGCGGGTCCCCGCAGTCCCTCGCTCTGACGAGCAGTGTGAACCTAGGGGCCGTCTGTATGGGGAGAAGAAGGGAAGTCAAGCCCTTCGCATCCGGGAGAGGGAAACATGAACAAAAATTCCATTTTAACACTTTCTAAAGCCAGTCTGGCCACAGAGGGTTCTCACTGCAAATACAAGTCCTGCGTCCGGGGCGCAGAGGTAGAGAACACATTTCAGTGTTTTGAAATAATAAAATCCACATAACCTCGTAATCTAAGCATCCCGAGAGCCGTATTTCTCCGCTTCTCTGGTCAATCTTGAAGCCACTTTCTTTCCGTGCCGGCGTTTGAGAAACAAGGGAGTAAAGGACTTGAGAATTTGGAGTATTTTCTTGATCCAAATCAACTGCTAACATCTGAAAAATAGGTCGACCTGGAAAGAATTGTTTAAAAGGTTACTATTGACCGGAGGCGGCCAATGAAACAAGCAGGAGAGGGCTGCTTTGCCAAACGGCGCTGGGGGCGCCCCGAGAGTCGCTCAGATGTTTAAATGCAAAATCACACCGTGGCTAGAGCAGGCAACATAAAGAGGGGCGTTTCCAGGGTGCGCGTTCTACGCCGCTGCAGTGCCAGCTCCGAGTGAGACCTCGAGCACGTCACAAGGTCACGCTCGCAAATGCAGAAGACTTAAAGGGCAGAACTGATAGACAGATGTTTAAATGTGTGGCGAAAACCAAACCAAACCAAAACAAACGAAAACTACAGACAGAATTTAAATGGAAATGATAAACCAGGCGGACGTCTGTGAAATATACATGGCAGGCACAGACATTCTTAACATAGAATGAATTAGAAAAAGAGGACATACACATAGAACAGGGAGGTTAAAACCAAGAAGAAAAACGGCAAACACACTAACAATGGAAGGAACAAGCGACAGCAAGGAGGTGTGGAGCTGTCCCGGAACCTGTGCAGACGGCCACGCGCTGGACTGCTCCGGGTGACCCGTCCACGCCCACCACGGCCACTAAGCGGGGAGACCGGACGCCTACCCCATGGGCGCAGTTCGAGTGAGCAGCTCGGCGTCTCTGAACCTGTGCTAACCGACCACTGCTGGGGCGGGATGCAGGGGTGGCCCAGCTCTGCTCCCTGAAGCACGTTTTACGAAAATAAAAAGGGGCAACCAAACATCGATGTCCAGCCGTAGGGGATTCGGCACCTTAAAGCGCAGCCATAAAAGAGTTCACTCTCCCATGCTGTAAAATACTGTGAGATTACAAACAGAAGATCCCATTTCTGAAATTCATAAATATGCTCATACATTTGTAAGTATTTATACTATGGTGATTTTTTCAATGTATGTATGTAAACAAATATGCATTTGAAATTATACAAAAACCTGGGAATACACACACATATATACAGTGTGGATACACACAGATAAAATGCAAAGAAAAACACTGACAGCAGAAACTAAAACAGCAATGGTACTACTGCTGATTGGTAGCATTAAAGATGCATTCTGTTGCGGTCTTCTCAGAATTTTCCAAGTTTTCTAAAGACCATTTTGCAAACGAAATAGCGCTTTTTGTTATTAAGACAGAAGTGCATTTTAGTAAGAGTGGTTTGGCTTTAAACGCTCGCAGAACCTGTAGCTCAGAAGCTCGATGCCGTCTTGTCCTGTCACCCTGGTACGAAGGTCGCAGCCAGCCGGGAACTCCGCCCCGGCCCTGCCCTCTCCCCTCACCGCACTGGGCGATCGATTGGATTGCTGGTTACCCATCAGCCCTTCCGGCGGACTCAGGTCCCATCATCGCATTGCCAGCTCAGAGTGAGACCTCAAGCATTTCGCTCTACCCCGGGGCCTGGGACCTCTGGCGTGCGGACAGGGAACGTCGTGCTGAAGCCAGCTGGGACGAGGTGCCCCGCGGCCGGGGCAGAGCGCCGTCAGGCAGCGGCGGGGGGGAAGGGCAGCCTGCGGCCCGCCGCACCCACCTGGCGTGTGGTTCTCCCTCACGCTGATGTTAAACTCCTCGGCAGGGAACTGGGGCCCATGATCATTCACGTCGCGGATCCTGATGTTGAAGATCAAGGAGCTGTCCATGACCTTTCCGGTCAGGCGGTCCACAACATCGAAATAAACCTAGGGAGCAGAGAGCCACATCAGCGCCGGCAGGCCACGGGCTGGGCCGCGCTGGTTAGCGGCCGGCGCTGCGCCCGCCGCCTCCACGGGACCGGGGCTCCGGAGGGCACGCGCCAGCGGCCCGGTCCGCAGGATGGGCCACGGTGCTGGCGTGCTGGGTGCTCAGCACACGTCTGCAGGGCAAACCTAGTGCACTCACTTGAGAAAACATGTCACTCGTCATTATGAGGTTCAAGTCTCAGTTTCTCCACCTGAGTAAACATGGGCATGTTGCTCAGGAGCTTCAGCCTCTGTGGCCTATCTGTTGTTGTGTGAAGTAACTACGTGAATGAGTTCTATTCTGCGCATGCAAAATGCTTCAGGGCACCAATACGCGTGTGATCCTTTATTTTCTGCATCAGAGGCTTGGGCCCGAGGACAGAACCCGGAGGCTCACTACACCTGGTCACGTGGCGCTGTGACAGATTCTGCTTCGCCAGCTTGCTGGGGCGTTTCCGAGCCTCCGAAACCCACCCTCCTGCCCCCGCAGTGAGTGTGATTGAGGAATCGTCACGAAAGGAAGAGCAGCAAGGAAAAGAGCCGCCATGCAGTTGGCGCTGACGAAGGGACAGGCACGGGGACAGGGAGGGGGGCGGTCTGGCGAGCGGGCCGCTTTCGTCGCCGTCCTTCAGCCCAGTCGTGCCTCTGAGGGACGCAGGAAGCGCGTTATCACACGCACTCAAGGGCGGCTCCGTGTGGGAACCAGCGCTCGGACAGGCGGCCTGATCGCACCAAGGCCCCGGTTCCGTCTTCCGCCCTTCGCGCACACGGCGGACGACTGCCGGCAGAGGAAGAAGGGGCTGCCCTTCCCTGGAACTGCTGCGGGCGTCAGCGAGCTGAGCATCCGGGGGGTGTAAGCGCCTGCCAGGGCACCCCCGCTGCAGGGCACACTGAGCTCGGCACGCGCGCGCGATGGAAGAGGGCGGAGGTGGCCCTGGGGGACCGGCCGCCGCCCTGTCCCCTTGAGAGCTGCTTGCGCTCCATCAGCACCATGTCTTTGGCGCGAGGGCCCGCTTTTCGCAGATGATCACGTGAAGCTGCAGAGGCACACGAAAAATAGGAGACACCAAAATGCACCAGCAAGGGCAAGCGTCCCACGTCCAGCTCTGAGACTCTTTTAAGCGTCTTCTCGTGGCCCGCTCGGTTTCCGTCTGTGGGGACGTTTCTGCAGGAGGCACAGCCTCGGTGACCGGCTCGGAGAGACGGGATGTCGGGGGCAGGCGTCACTGTCTGTCATTAACCGTTCGCGGGGAAGAAGCAGCTGAGTAACTCTGGGGCCACATCAGAGCCAGACCCAAATGCCCCTGCTCCACGGGGAGTGACATAAATCTGTGCAGTGTCACAAACACACGTCTTGTCAGCAGGGGCCGCTGAGAGGCTGTCTGCGCAGACGCTACTGCTCTGGCACAGGTCACGATGCTTGCAGTGGTGCCTTGTTTGCCCTTAAACTGTAACAGATTTCAAGCCTACGCTTGTTGGCAATACATGTCACCCATGCTCAGAGCACACATGTGACATGGTGGCCTCTTGTAACATTGGACCAGAGAGCAGAGTTGGAGGTGAGGGCAAGGCTTTTAATGACTTTCATAGACCCCTGTATTGTTTAAAATTTTGTAAGAAACCTTTGTTCCTTTTGCATCTTACAAAAAGTAAGAAAAGTAAGAAAAGCAACAGCCGCTCTCGCTTACTGCCGGGGGCGAAGCAGACGGTGCGGCCACTTTGGAGGACAGCTGGGCAGTTCCTTACAAAACTAAACAGACTCTTACCGTACAATCCATCAGCTGTGCTCTTCGGTATTGTATACAGGGAATTTTCAACTTATGTCCATGCAAAACCCCGCACAGCGTTGTTTAGCTTTATTTATAACCATCCTTGGAAGCAACCGAGACGCCCTTCCCAGGCGACAGAGAACAAACCGCGTACGCCCCCAGCATTCCATGCGGAGTTTTATTCAGCAATACAAAGGCATGGAGGAAACGTCAGTGCACGTGCCCAAGTGAAAGAAGCCAATCTGGACAGGCTACCTCCTGTATGGCGCCAACTATGCAACATTCTGCAAAAGGCAGAAGTGCGAGGAGGCTAGGCTCCGCGGCCGCCAGGGGCTCAGGAGGGAGCGAGGAGCTGGTGCACAGGGCCGCGGCTGCTCTGCGTGAGGCTGTGCGGGCGCATCCACGTCACCGCGCTGCACAAACCCACGGGACGTACAACACTGTGCGTGAGCCCCGCTGGGAACCGCGAGCGCTAGTTAACTCCAATCGTCACCGACGGCAACGCGTGCACCGCCGCGAGGCACGACGCGGTGACAGGGACGCGGGGGGCTGGGAGGGGCGGTGGCCCTAGAGGGCGAGCGAATCTGTACATCCCACTCTGTATTTCTGGAAACCTAAAATGACTCTAAAAAACAAAATCTTTTAATCTTTTTTTTTTTAAGTCCCTACTTGTAAAATAAAAAAGTGAGCAACCATACAGACTTTTAAAGTCAGCGTCACCTGTCTTGCTGCTGAGCCTCAGGGCGCGGGATGAACGGGAGTTTCCTTGTGGGGAGGAGTCAGCGGCCAAGCAGAGGGGCCGGGTTACAGGGAGAGGGGAGGGCAGGGGGATGTCGCACCAAGGAGCCCTCAGGTGGGGGTCCTCTGCCGTGGGGCCGGGGTTATCTTGCCGTCAGGTAGAGTCCTGCTCAGAGACACTGAAGAAGCTTCGTTCCAGAAGAAGCCTCTCTGGTCTTCCCTGGTCTGCAGATGCATCACTCCTGTCTCTGTGCCCGGCTCTCCACGAGTCCCCACTGCCCGCCCCCGCTGTGTCTTTGGCTGGGTCTGGACCGGCGCCCCCCCTTACAAGGGGGCCGGTCCCTGGATTTGGACCCTCCCCCGCAGCCCAGCACGGCCTCGTCTTAGTTTGCGTACATTTGCTGAGGGCATCTCTCCTGGGTCGGGGCCTGAAGCCATCTCTTTGGAACACACAGTTCAGCCCCCGGAGCCCTGGAGGGCGGAATATACGCTTTGCTGGGCGCGTTCATTCATCCAGCATGATGAAGGGCGGACCTACTGTGTGCAGGGCCCTGTTCTTGACACCGGGGTTGTGGCCGTGAATGAGACAGGAACTTCTCAGACCTTACACCCCGGGGGGAGATGCTCAAACACAGAGGTAGGCATCGCATGCAATGCAAAGAACTGGGGAGAAAGCCCGGAGCCGCGGGACGGCGAGCCCGGGGGTGGGGCGCGGCTCCGAGTCCCCACCCACCCGTAGCTTCCGTCAGGGAACCTGGCTGTGAAAAAAGGGGCCTGACAGACAAGTCGCGGCAGAAACCCGCGTGAAAGGACAAGAGGGGCCGATGCTTTGGGGGAAGGAACAGGGACTTGACCCACCCAGCGGCCCGCGCGGGGGGCCTCAGGACCTGGGCGGGGGGGGAGCACGGGGACCCTGTTCCCGTGCCCCCCGCCTCTTGGGCCTCACTGGCCCCTGGGACCTGTCTGCGACATGCCAGGCTTTTCCATCTGGACTTCGCGTTCCAGAAACCCTGTGCGTGCCAACCCGTAAGGCATCACCACGGATGCGAAGGGTGAACAAAGAGCAAAAACCCAAGAAGAAAAAACTGTAGGCACTGCTGGGTCATTGCCCCCTGGCACAGGCCTGTTGGGACTGGCACGTTCCAGGTCCCCGAACTCAGCATCTAGAAGCCTCTCCTGGAGCCTGAGACGGCAGGGTCTCAGGCCCCGACCCCACCTCCTGCACAGCGTCCACACCTGAACGAGACCCCGGGGGCCCCTGCTTTCTGAAGACTGGGAAGCGCTGCCCCAGGGCCCCGAGGGCCCCTCCCTGTCCCTTCTCATAACCGACACGCTGGCTCCTGTGGAGGAAGGAGAGGCGCCTCTGCCTGCCTTTCGGAGTTTGGGGTAATTTCTGCCTGTGTGCAAGTTAGAGATGCAGAGCCAGCGAGGGAGCAAGCGGTGCACATTTGACTATGTGTGTGAGTGTTTGCAGGTCACCGAGGGGCCCGCGTGCACCGTTTCTCTCTGATGTCACCGTCTTCCCACGCTGAAGGAGGCAACGCACAGCCAGGCGGGCTGCGGGCTAAGCCCGGTTTTCAGCACAAGGCAGCACAGAACAAAAGCCGGCTTCCACAGAACCTTCTAAAAGGTTTGCTGGTAACAGGAGCCCCTCCCTGTGGCCAGGACATTTTCCTTTCTGATTGCCCTTCCTGGTTTAGAACTGGAATTTCCACCTCGCAGGGGCGCTGGGGGATGAAAGCCGCAGGCGCGCCTGGGTTCGCGCCTGGGTTCGCTCCCGGGTGCCGCTGTCAGGCGCGCGGCGCCTCACTCATCGGGTATTAGTCAACACCGGGGGTTCCGCGTCGCCCTCTCTCCGCAGGTTTCGGCTGTCACTCACCGAAGGATAAACGCGCCCACTTCACAAACATCCTGTAGCTCTAGCCCCACAGCCGTCAGAGACCCTGATGCGTGCAGGCACCGGTCCACAGAAGGCAGGTGTGTGGCAGTTCACGTAGATGGCAGAAATCGTCCCGGAAGGAAGGTTACAAAATCACCCCGGGTCCCGCGCACACGTCTAAGCTCGCCACTCGCATGATACAACACGTCAGCCTCCCAGGACCTGGCACTCAGCTCAGGTCGGGCCCACCAACGCCTGACCCCCACAAGCTCTGTACAGCCGCAAACTCAGATACCATGAAGGATGGCGTCGCCTCTCGGTCAACAGGGCGGTGAACGTATATTTTCCCATTCTCGTGGTCTTCTATAGAGAACAAGCCAATCTCTGGATATTCATCCACACCAGGCCCGCTGATTAAATACATCAGAGACCTGTTGCCAGACACATTGTTGAATAGCTGGAAAGAGAGAATGTGAACAAAAAAAAAAAAGAGAGAATGAGACGAAGCCACTGTGCCCGTCACCCAGCCAGGTTAAGGCGCAAAGGCTCTTGTGAAGAACTACATACACCCAGCAACCGCACGTCGAGGGCTTATCCCAAAGACCTAAAAGGATCGGCTGAGAGGCAGGAACAAGGAACAAGCTGACTCGTGAGAGGGAGGCGTTGGAAACGGCAGCCGTGTGCGTCCGTGTGGAAGGACTCCTGCGTGACGGCCCCATCACGCAGCACAGGGCTGGGGTTCCCACGCCCCGCTCAGAGCCGGGTGGGACCACGGGAGAGGTGCCCCGCACCACAGCCCGTGCAGAGCGGTCCCCTCCTGTCCGCCCAGACTCACATGCTAAGTCCGGAGAGACGTATCCGGAAGAACATGCGTGTTTGTTGATACCGGTTGTCCAGCCAGGGAAAGACAAGTGACACCACACAGCTGACGTGTAGGAAGGGCTCAGCGGGAGCCCGCGCCCTGGCTGCCTCGCTCGCCCGGCCCCGGCTCTGCCCGTGACACGGCCCCGCAGCATGGGCGCGTCACCGCCGACCTCCCGGTGTTGGGGGAGCGGAGAGGGCCTCTCCCGCAGCTGGGCTACGGCACGTCTGCGGGACGAACGCCCTCGTTCTTGGGAGTTCACGCTTTCAGCCACTGAGCTGGAAAGCTTCCCGGAGACGTTTTCTGAATAGCAGGCAAATACTATTTTATAAACAATGCAAACGCAGGGGTTTCTCCTCATTGTTTTCTAGGGCTCACAGGGCGTCAGAGCTGCAGGGCACGTAGGCCCTCGGGCTGGCGCTCAAAGGCGCGTCAAGGCTGGGGAGGTGGTGGAAGAACCGCCGGGCCGAGCGTGTGGGTTCTGGCATTCCCACAGTCACCCGTGTCCCCTTCGGCGCCTCGGCTGGCCCCCCACCGCAGGGCGGGGACACGGCCGGGCGCTCTGGGGGCCTCAGGCGCACCTCGCCGCCGCCACGTGGGAATGGGCTCGGGTGGTCAGATCTTCCGATTTCTAAAAAGCCTCTGAAGGGCAGAACTTTCCATACAGTCTCCCTATTTTTCTTTCTTTCTTTTTTTATCGTGCCAAGACGACGCCACACAGAATGTACCATCTTAGCCAATTTTAGGGGCATGGCTCAGGGGCAGTGAGTCCACGCAGGTGGCCACGCAGCCGTCACCCCGTCACCTCCAGGGCTCTGTCATCTCGCAAAAGTGGAACCGTCCCATCCAACACTAAGCCGGCCCCCACGACGCCCCACCCCCGCCGGTGCCCGTCACCCATTGCTTTACTTCTTAGTTTAACCTCCCCTTGGTCCCATACCCAGCTTCAGGTAACCACACTCTCCTTATTTTTAAATAATGCTTTTTTGTAAAGACTCCGTGTGGGCCCGATAAGTCAGCCTGAGGCTGGAATGAACCGGTCCTGCTTTTCTCGGGGACACGCCCAAGGAGGGGCTGCCCACCCAGCAGAGGTGGGCGCCCGCGCCCAGCCCGCCGCCCCTCCCAGCGCAGGGCAGGCCTTCCGGGGCCTCGCCCTCCTGCCTCTCGAGAACAGGTGACCGGGCCTCACCTCGCCGACAAGTTTAGGGAAGGGTCCTGGGTCCTCCTCCTCCAGCTCCAAGGTGGTGACAACCCATCTTCTCTTGAATCGCCGTAGAGGTCGGTGGCTCTCTCCCTGGAAGTGACCGTGACATGGTTCTAGAAGGGTGGCGAGGCCAGCAGGCCCCGGGCCGGCCGGGGACCAGCGTCCTGTCTGCCATTCCCACGGCTGCCTCCCGCGCTCAGAGCTGCTCTGTGCCTGTTCCCGGGGCCACCGCCCGGCCCTCTCCAGACGGCGGGGCACACGCCCCCGCAGCGGTTCAGCGTGATTCCTGAGACCGCGTCAGGGGCTCTGGAGACAGGACACCAGGGGTGGCTGCCTATTCTGCGCTCACACGTGTCCCATAGCCGGCGTGCAGGTAGTTGGCGAGTGAATGAGAACGCGCCCCCTCTCCTTCTGAAATCACTGAGGGGGAAGATAGTCCCCTAGTCGGTGCAGATAGGTTTCTAACGCCTCTGCCTGCTGGTCTCCCTTGTGACAGAGGAGAGAGACTGACTCCAGCCGTGGGGTCGGAGGTTTGTCAGGAACACAGATAGAATTCCACAACGTGGCTTTGTTTGTCTTGTGTATATATTCTACAGTTACCATCTATTTATTACGTGAACCTGGTTTATTGCCACATTCAGGTTTATCCAGAAAAATGTACTTAAAAAAAAAACAAAAACGACTTAACTACACAGTGAGTCGATCCCAAGAACAAGAGGAAAGAAAGGGCCGCGGGCGGCCTGCGCGCGGGAGGGCACGTGACGGCGCTCGGAGGCCACGCTCCCGCAGAAACTCCCAGCCGCCTCTGTTTCCCCGGCCCAAAGGGGAAACGGCCCGGCCACAGAGCCTCCGGCTGCTCCCCGACGGCCGCAGAGCGATGAGGGCCGGCCCGCATCGGCCACCGGCCCGCCTGCCGCCCGCCCGCAGCGCCCGCCCGCACCCTGACGCCCGCCGCCAGCCCAGCGCTGCCGCAGGCCCGGCTCTGGGCCGCGGGGGCCCCACGGGGGGGTCTCTAGAGAAGCCGACCGCCAACCCCACCTTTGTTTGCTTCACCAGGACATCGCTTACTTGTTGGAAGCTGTCGATGAGGTTGACCTTAAAGATAAAAATGACATTAATTAGTAGGGAATAAACGTATCAACATCAGCTAGAAACAGAAAACCTGTAGAATTGGGGGGTGGGGAGAGCGTCTGTGTGTGTTTATGTTAATAAATACAGTTTCTTGTTCTAACATCTCGATCCCCAATGACCGCTTCCGGGTGTGAATGCAGGAGAGCTCGCCAAAGACTCCTGGTCCAGGGCGACCCGGGGTGAGGGCGTTTCTGGCCGCGCAGTTAGCCAAGTGGGAGGTCACACTGTCTGCTGAGGACACGCACACAGAGGCACTTCTGGGTGCACATGTGGGATGGCACCAAATCTTAATGGGTGGCGGGGATCCAGTGGGCTTTTTTCCCATTTTTCTTTTCTTTTTTCCTTATTTTTGGACTTTCTCTTACAGTAACCCCGCCCTGGCGATTACTTCAAGCATGTCAATGTTCCCATCATAGGGGCGCCAGAAGGAGAAAAGAAAGAGCAAGAAATTGGAAACCTATTTGAAAAAATAATAAAAGAAAACTTCTCTACTTTGGTGAAGGAAATAGTTATATAAGTCCAGGAAGGACAGAGAGTCCCAAAGAAGATGGACCCAAAGAGGACCACACCAAAACACATCATAATTAAAATGCCAAAGATTAAAGATAAAGAAAGCATCTTAAAAGCAGCAAGACAAAAGCAGATAATTACCTACAACGGAGTTCCCATAAGACTGTCAGCTGATTTCTCAAAAGAAACTCTGCAGGCTAGAAGGGGCTGGCAGGAAGTATTCAAAGTCATGAAAAGCAGGGACCCACAGCCAAGATCACTCTACCCAGCAAAGCTCTCATTTAGAATAAAAGAGCTTCCCAGACAAGAAAAAGCTGAAGTAGTTCATCATCACCAAACCATTATTATACGAACTGTTAAAGCGTCTTCTTTAAGAAAAAGAAGATCAAACCTAGGAACATTAAAATGTCAGTGAGTGCATAGCTATCGACCATTGAATCTAAAAAAACGAACTAAGCCAACAAGCAGAACAGAGACAGAAACACAGATGTGGAGAACATTGGGATGAGGGCCAGGGGGGTTGGGGGTCTGGGGGAGTCAGGGAGAAGGCGCAGAGGTCAAGAAGTACACATGAGTAGGCACAGAATAGGTACGGGGATGTTCAGAGCAAGTATAGGAAAGAGAGTTGCCCAAGAACTTATATGCATGACCCAGGGACATGAGCAACGTGGGGAGAGGGGATCGCCCGAGGGAGTAGGGGTGCTGGGTGAAGGGGGGCAAAGGGAGAAAAATTGGGACCACTGTAACAGCATAATTAATTTTTTAAAAAAGAATGAAGCCATCGATGTGGTCACTTAATTGCTGAAATCACTTGAGAGACAACGGAGCCGGGAAAGTTCCTGATCTTATTCCGTTGCAGCCCTGGAGCCGACACCTTGGCAGCCCTCTGCGGGCCAGACCGGGGGTGGGGGAGGCCCGAGAGGCGGGATGTGTCGGAGGGCGGCCCCTGTGTGGTGGTCACAGCGGCCAGCTGAATAGACCACCGTTTTTTGTGGTTTTGTTTCTTTTTTAAAGATTTCATATATTTGTTTTTAGAGGTGGGATAGAGAGGAAGAAAGAGGGGGAGAGACGCATCAATGTGAAAGAGAAACATCAATCGGTTGCCTCCCATACGCACCCCGACCGGGGACCGAACCTGCAACCGCGGCACGTGCCCTGACCGGGAATCAAACTGGCGACCTTTCACTTTGTGGGACGACGCTCAACCCACTGAGCCCCTCTGGCCAGGGCGAGGCCACTGTCTTCATGGGACAGCAGTCGATAGAATTTAAGCTTTCGAGCAAAAATTAGGATGTTGGAAAACATGCGCCTGCTACCATGAGCTAGGCAGCTGTCCCAGTGCGTAAAGATTCTCCCGATAGACCCACGGAGACACTATTTTTATTTTGTGAACTAACCCACGTCAGCGTTCGGAAGATCCGCGTGGCCCAGGGGACCGAGAGCCTCCTCGGGGCGAACGCATCACGTTCCACGCCCAGGCGCCAGCGAGAGCTGTCCAGTGCGGAAGAGAGGCCGGGAGTTTCGATGTCCCCAGGACATTCACGTCCCACGTTGAGAGTAAGTGCTGCTAAACGACCTGTCCAGTGCAGGGCAACTGGACATTGTTCCCTTTCCAGAGGCCCGTCTGAGCGAGGCCGGACCGTCACCCCACGCGCTAACCAGCCACACTCCCAGGAGGCCGGACGCAGAATCGGGGGGAGGCTCCCGCGTCCTCTTTTAAGCTGGACATTCAAGAGACTGGCAAAAACACACAACAGTGCCACTCCTCAAGCTAAATGGACATTGTTAAAATATGGTGTTTTTTTTTTTTTTTTTTTTTTTTGTCCTGGCTGGTGTGGCTTCATGGATTGAGTGCCAACCTGTGAACCAAAGGGTCACCAGTTCGATTCCCAGTCGGGGCACAGGCCTGGGTTGCAGGCCAGGTCCCCAGTAGGGGGCGCGTGAGAGGCAACCACACATGGATGTTTCTCTCCCTCTCTTTCTCCCTTCTCCCCTCTCTCTCTAAAAATAAATAAATAAAATCTTTAAAATACTGTTATTGTCCCTAAGATATGTGATTTATATTAAGATGCAATCGGCTTATCATCATCATCTTCAATGGACTGAGAAATACGCTTCAAACCCCGCAGGCTCCAGTGCTAGCCCACAGACGCCGACGCTCCCTGGGTTTTCAGTGACATTCGCACGCGTGACGGAAACAGGCAGAAGAGGCAGAGCTTTGCCGCGTGCTTCCTGTCAGAGCAGCCGCGTGGGTGTGGGGATGCGTAAGCGTGACAGCTCTCCGCAGAGCAGCCTCAGTTTCAGATTCGGAGGTCAGAGCAGGGAGGAGGAGTAGAAAGCAAGCGCGGCCTAGTGCTCATTCGGCAAAAACACTCACAACCCGATATGGAGAAGAGTGAGCCTGCCGGGGCTCCCAGCGCCAAGCACCTGGCGCCAAACCAGCGTCCCCTGCAGGGTGAGTGCCGTAGACGGGAGTTCTTCCCCTCTTTTGTTTCCTGTGACGTCCCGGCGCTAGGGAAAGTGCCTGGCCCAGGACAAGCCTGCAATGGGCCGTCCAGTGTGGGGACTGAATGCACGGAGCCAACTCTTCCCCGGGGGCCGGACAGACCAGGAGAGACCGAGGGGTGCGGCGGCTGAGCCGTCACCGGACCGAGCACTTCCTGGTTCACTGCCATGACCGAGGGTCAGGCAAATGCTGATGTCAGCTCCCTCTTCCAGTGAAGGAGAGAGGACCAGACAAGGTTCAGTTCAAACCTGATGCCCGGGCCACACCCCCATCAGCGCAACACAAACTGCTGGACGAGGCTTCAGGAGCTTCACAGCTGCTAAAAGACTTCTGCTGAGGCCACGGTGAGGACCGAGGTCAACCAAGTGACCCAGTTCTGCAGCCAGATGTGGAGGAGCCGGGGGAGGCCAGGGGAGACCGCACACCTGGGACCCACCCGCCCAGAAAGGGCTGGCAGAAATCAGGGAGCCACAGAGTGGCGGGGACGGGGGTTGATGCCTTAAGTTTTGACCACATCTCTCACACTGAGCGTCTGATCAAAAGTGGGGAACTGTTAGAAAAGAGAGAGCAGACCCCACATGAAGTCACCGGTGCTCATCAGCCCCATGTCACCAAACTGAGGCTCAGTCCTTAACTTCTTGCAGCTTCAGCCTGTCCCAGGAGTGGGCTCTTCACCCAGTCCGCCTGGCATCGCTCCCGGGTCGGCACCGGCGAGGTCAGCGGCCTGGCCCGGCCCCGCCGCCCCCTCAAGAAAGGCGCCCTGGCCACGGTCAGCGCTTTGCCAGCCCAGGCCCCTGTCCCGCGCCCCCCGCCTGGGACGCGGAGCTCCCGTCTGGCAGGCGGGAGGCTGCGCGGCTCCTGAATCGCTCAGGACACCAGTCAGAGCATTGGAATTTACCCATCTGCGCTTTGTTCGTGAGCAACCTACACAACTGAGATTCTCTCGGTCTGACGTCAAGTGTGAGCAGGAGACTCCTTGGTAGACTTGCGTGTTGATAAAAATCTAAACAAGACAGTGTGCGCCGCTTCGAATGGAGTCCCCTCAGCCTGGCCCCCCACTCCCCCAAACCCTCATGGCCTAAGCCCCTCGGGAGGTCCCGGCAGCCCCAGCACACTCGGCTCTGGCCCTGGCCCACGGAGGCCACGGGCGCGCGGGCTGGTCCCAGCCCCACTCACCTGCAGTGGCAGCAGCAGCAGCACTGTGAGCAGGCGCAGCCGGGAGAGGGGGCCCCCGGCGCCCATGACCACACGACTGCCCTAGGGGTCCGAGCCCAAGCCTGTGGGTGGCAGCAAGTCCCCTGGGCTATGGTCTCCCCTGGAGCCAGGCACCGTCCTTCCCAGCAGGACCGTCTCCCCAGCCACTCTGCGTCCGTTGCTCGGCCCCAGACGCTCTCCTCTCAGCACTCCCCTCCCGGTCCCCTCCCTGCTTCATGTCTATGTGGGCGGGGCTGCTGGAGCCTTAAACTTTGACCTCCCAGTTCCTGGGAAGGGAGTGGAAGGGAGGCTACTGCTCCCTTTTGTTTCTTTGTTTGTGTTGAGTTTCCACGTCCACTGCCCAGAGCTGAGCTCCCTCTGCAGCAGGGTAGTCAGAGCTGTTCCCTGTCACCCCCTCCCTTGTACAAAAGAACTAGAAAAGAACTCCAAGAAAAATAACTTTATTAAGGAAAAGAAGATGGAAGGAAGGGAGGGAGGGAGGGAGGAAGGGGGAAGGAAGGAAGGGAGGGAGAGGGAGAAGGAAGGAAGGGAGGGAGGAAGGAAGGGGGAAGGAAGGAGGAGAGGAAGGAAGGAAGGAAGGGAGGGAGGGAGGGAGGGAGGGGGAAGGAAGGAGGAGAGGAAGGAAGGACGGGGAAGGGTCATTACTTTTCCTTTCCAAAGCACTAACCATCTTCATCACAACCATGACTCAGGGCTCTGGGGTTGACAGACAATTGCTGCCAAAATCCCTTTTAAGCTTAGATGGATCTGCCACTGGAGTTCGGGATTAGAGAAGGAGGGAGAAGGCGAGGGGGAGAGACTCCCTGTGGGAGGGCCTCCCTGGCCCGGGTCTGGCTCTGCATTCGAATTCTGGAAGAAAAGGACACCTTGGGAATTCTACTCTGTCAGTACTTAGGGTTGCAGCGGTGAAGCTTAAAGCAACACCTGAGATCGGTTGTAATGCTGATTACCTTAGCAGACGACTGCGTTATCATATTTCCTTGTTTAAAATAGTAAACAGCTCTGGCTGGGCCAGGCGCGGCTCAGCCGGTCAGAGGATCGTCCTGACTTGCCAAGGATGCGGTCAGAGCAGAGCCCTGGTCGAGGTCGTACAAGCCTCAGTAAGTGGATCAGCAACTTGATGTTTCCCTTTCTCTTTCTTTTTCTCTCTTAAATCAATAAAGGAAACAAATTAAAATAGCAAACACTTCCTTAGTGGGTGAAACAGGTGGTAAACTTTCTTACTGGACTCCTTTAGCTCTACGAGATGCTGCCGAACACTGCAGCTGGAATAGCTTATTATCTTAGTCCAAATTAATGGCTTATTATTGAAGAGGGTAACCAATGCAGTTTTAAGCCCTGTACATATTTCCTGCACATAAAAAGAAACAATAAAAATTACTGGATTTACAACTCTGTGCTCATTTTTACAGTGGGTAAGTTCATCCCACGGCAGTCTATTGGGAAACTTGATCAAGGGAGAATCTCTCAGAACTCATGGGTCAGGCAGGCTGAGCCTTGCTGAACGGTCGTGGGGGCGTCAAGACGCAGGTTGCACATGGCTGGTGGCAGGGAGAACAGAGATGAGGAAGACAACGTCGAGCCAGAAAGGCTGGGTGCTGACATCCAGGGATCGCGGTGCGGGGGAGGGGATGCTTGTGAAGGGCCCTACTTTTCCATCTGCTGTAAGTGCAAAGAAATTGGTATATTAAAAACAACCAAATTTTTACCCTGGCTGGGGTGGCTCAGTGGGTTGAGTGCCGGCCTGCAAACCAAAGGGTTGCCAGTTCGATTCCCAGTCAGGGCACCTGCCTGGGGTGTGGACCAGGTCCCCAGTGGGGGGCGTGTGAGAGGCAACCACACATGGGTGTTTTCCTCCCTCCCTTCCTCTCTCTCTAAAAATGAATGAATAAAATCTTTTTTTAATTAAAAAAAATAAAAACAACCAAACTTTCAACATCCTCAAGCGTTTAAAAAGAGCTGAGCAGGAAGGCAGTTTCCTCTGTGGCAAGCCTTCTCCGTGAGGCTGTGCCACCCTCCGCAGGTGACCCCGGGCTTCCTCCGCTGTTGTCTTAGCTAAGACCCACCTGGGGGACACTCGAAGGCTCCCTTATGCTCGGCGAAGACGGTCTCGGGTCGTCCCCAGAGGTGCAGTAACGCGCTGCGGCCACAAGGTGGCAGCGCCCCGCTCGGTGGAAGCTGCTACCGGAAGACACGGACAGCTTGGGAGATAAAAGCGCCTTGCAGCCCCGGGGGCCCGCGCGTGGACTGCAGCTTGTCACCCAGGCTTCTCCCCTCGGGTGTCCAGAGCGCCCGGCCGACCGCCAGCACTCAGTACTCTTTCCGCAATGACGAACTTGTAAGGCAGGGTGAGAAAGGAGGGACTTTGTCCTGAGTTTCCCGTGCCCACCAAGGCGGGCGCTCGAGTGTCTTTGCAGGGTCCTGAGTCCCCGCGACATCAGCCTGCTGCTTTGTCACCTCCTGGGCAGAGGGGCGGGGGAGCAGCGCGCTGAGGAGGAGGCTTTGCAAATCTGCTCAGAATGCACTTTCCAGTCCCAGGAGTCCGAGGTCAAGGTCGCAGGTCTTCGGTCACAAAAATAGTTTATCTCCCCAGAATAACCTCAAGTGAAGAAACAGAGAGACAGAAGGGGCCTCGGGGACGGGCTGAGCGCCCAGGAAGAGAGGAGCGGCCCTTCCTTAGCTGAGAATGAAGACACAACTCAGCGCCTTCTGAAAAGGAAGGCCCGCCACCTCCGGACTCCACAGGGCGCGGCCCAGAAGGCCATCCCCTGCCATCTGCCCCTGCCCCGGGGGCCCGGAGCCCGCCTCCCCGCTCCCCGCCGCCCCGGCCAGGTCTAGAGGACCCGGGGTGCCCGGCGCCTCCTCTGCCAACTGGGAGGCCAGTGGGTGGGTCCCCAGTGGCTGGCACGGGAGCCAGGGAGCCCCTGGTGGGTCCCTGCGGGGAGCAGGGGCAGGGCGCGGGTGCCACGGCACTGCCCGGCGGGCAAGAAGGCCAGGTTGGGCCAGCAGGGCACCCAGCAGCGGGGTAGGGAAGTGCCCAGTGCGCCCCCAACTGCACCTGGCCCAGAAACACCGTCTGTCCTGTGTCACAAGGACAAGTGCGAGAAGATGGTCGGGCTCTGCCTCCTTACTGCTGCCGGGCGGGAGCTGGGGAGGGGCACAGGCGGGGCCTGCGCCTTCCTAGGGACAAGCCGTGTGACACCTGTCCCCAGGTGAGCCAGGAAGCCTGGCAGAGGGGCCTGTGGAGGGGGCACACGGGCTTGTTCCTTCGCCTCTTTCCTTTGTCCTGCCCCTGGAGGACGCAGAGCCAGCAGAGGGGGCCGATGGAGGGTCCCAGGGGCCGAGCACAGCCATGACCTCTCCCCGTCGGGGCTGGGGACCCTCACGTGCTGACCCGGAGGACAGCGGCCGTGGCAGGGACCTGGTCGTTCAAACTGGGCTGGTTTCCCCGACAGGAGGCGGGTCCTGGGAGTCGCCCCGATGGGCTGCAGGGCGTGGGGAGGGGGCGGACAACGCAGGTGAGGGACGTTCCGCGGCTCCTGGCTAGGCCTCGCGTGGCGGCCACCCTGCGGGCGTGTCGCTCAAAAATGCACATTCCAGTCCCAGGAGTCCGAGGTCAAGGTCATACGTCTGCACAGTCACAGGAGAGTTTAACTTCCCACAATAACCTCACGTCAAGTGAAGAAACAGACAGACAGAGAGGACCCTAGGGAAGGGCTGTGCGCGGGGGATGGGGAGGTGGTTCCCGCAGCGTGGCCCGGCCACCCGGACCTGTCGCCTGGCCCTGCTCTGTTTTCAGAGCTTCTGCTGCGCTTTCTGTCTCTTAAAAATGACCAGCCTAACATGACCCTTATGCCAAGGAGGCCTGTTGTGGTAGCCAACTCTGCCCCCTTTACCTTTTAGGGCCTAAGAGTTGGAGTCATAAGGCAGAGGCGACAGGAGAAAAGCACCCCAACGTATGGAAGACAAGTCTCCCAGGCCACGGGGGCTTCCGAAGGAATGGAGGCCCCAGGGACCGGGGGTGCGGACTTGCTTCTGCGCGCAGGTGGGACGGAGGGGCCACGGTGAAAGGGAAGCACGCGGCGGGCGAGGCGAGAGCAGCAACTAAATCTGCGCAGACCTTTCCGGGTCTCAGCCTCTCGGCTCTGATGGTCAGGATGTGACTTTCTTTCGGGTATAGGGACGCCTCTCATACAGGGTTTTCACCTGCTTTCTGTCCGCTGGATGGGAGGCCGCCCCATCCACATGCCACTGAACAAAGCCAGGAAGGCCTTTGAAAGGCACTCAGCTGAATTTTGTTTAACATGCCCCCCAATTATACGCTGCCACTGCTCGGTGGGCCCAGAAGAATGCATGTCGCTGAGGGGGAGCGAGTTGAGAAGGGGAGCCAAGGGCCTCCCATGGTGTCCGGAGCAGCAGCTGCCCAACACTGCCTTCTCCGCACCAGGGGTCACGGGAAAAGAGGGCACGTGTTTCCAGTTAAGGTGCAGGTGACACGCGGCACGTGACGTCAGGTGTCCAACTCCCCACCCTGCTCCCAAGCCCCCCAATGCTGTCCGGGCGATAAAAAGAGGAAGAGGGACTCGAGACAGGCACAGCCCGCCCCGGTGCTGTGGGTGTCGCTCCGGGTTGAGAAAGGGGTGGAAGAGCTTCCTGCTTGGCCCATCCCCAGCCTCAGCAGGGGAAAGGCAGACCCGGAAAGCGAACGGCGTTAAAAACCAAGCAAACCCGGCAAGGTGCTGACGGCGCCCTTCCACCGCCTCATGGATCCCAAGGAAAGAAAACTGCAGGTCCACAAAGACTCGGGCGTGGTGGTTTTATTGCACACAAAACAAGCATACGATAATTGTCCGCACAGCAAAGAACACACATGCTGCGTACTTTCAGGCTGTTTTGAAAGGTGCTCCGTGCGTGTACATGAACAAACAACAAATACTGGCTCTCTGGCACCTTGGAACAAGCTGCCTCCCAGCTTTGTGTTTTCCTGGGGCCGCTCGAGTGAGTGAGCATCAAGGGAAGCGGGAGGAGGCGATGTTTGTATCGTAGGAAGAGGGATTCTCGCGTCTTCTTGGAAACTGACCTCACAGGCCTGAGGCCCCCTACGAACCGCCTTCCTTGTGCCGCTGGCACAAGGCCAGCAACGGCCCCGGCCCCTCTTTCTGTCTTAGGCTCCCAATGTGACTCCAGACAGGACAGTTCCAAGCCTTCAGCCAGCGCAGTCAGTCAAGTTCTGAGACGGTCTAACCCTGCACGACGTAGATAATACTGGTGTAGATTTTTAGGTCATTCTTGTACATTTTAAAAAGTTTCCCCACTAACCGGTTCTACCCTGAAGCTGTTCTTCTTACAGTCTCTCCATGGGTTATTATTTTTTACACGTGGGATTGTTTTAATTGGTTTAAATGCAACTTGTATGTAAACAACTCCCCAGAAATGAGGCACTTCTTAGAAATACAGTGACTTCTGTCACCAGATTGGCACGAGACTCAGTGTCTTAGACATGAACTGAATGACTTCCTGACTCAACGTTCCAGCATTGGCTGCTTGAAATCAGCTGGGTTTCTATCTACGGCATGTAGGGCGTTGAGCTGGGTCAGACGCGTGCATGAGAGATCGTGACGCCAAGACCATGCGTGTGCTCTCTGGTGGAGCCATCCTAGTCATCAGTGGCCCGGGTCCATCCCAGGACCCCTGGTTAAGTGAACCATTGGCCTGAGGAAGCCGGAGGCAAGCAAAGCCACTTTTCCAGGCTTTTGAAACTGCCTTGCCGCGTAACGTTATGGCTGTTCCCAAATGAAGCCAGGCCCTCAATTCTAGAGCAAGGAACAAATGCAACACTCAGGGTGTTGCCTCTGAATTTCTTAAGCAGTATGGCCTTCAGCTCAGACACACACGAGGCCAGCAAAGTCGCCCTTGTGGGCTCGCCCTGTAGGGTCCCCGGGAGCACCCACAGGATGGGCAGTTACCGGGACAGGCAGCAGCTCCGCGTGAGGCCTTCCGCGTGAGCAGCGGGAGTATGCGTGCACATCAGGGGCTTGCAGAGGTTTATCAGCCCAGGGTCTTCTCAAGAGCCATGTGAAAATACGGCAGAGAAGGAACCAGGGGTGAGCTGCCGGCGTGTGCGAAGGACTAACCCACGTGCGCGCACAGGGAGCAGGCGGCCCGGACACGCGGGGCGCCCCCTCCGGGCGCACAGGGAGGAGAGCAGGCGTAGCTGTGTCTCTAGAACACAGTTCCCACGGGTGGACGCCCGGCGCTTGCCCCGATGGAAAGGTGTGAGGCCACAGGTGAGAGAGTGCGTCCTCCCGTTGGGTGCGATGGGGGGTACAGGATGGAAGACAGGAGCCGGCTGTTCCTCAAAATAAAGCCTGGGGAAGAAAAGACTGCCGTGCACGTTTGTACATTGTTTAGTGTGACCGAGAAGCAGAGTTTAACACAGGATCTTAATATCTAGCACTGGCCCGTTATTCTAATTATGTGTATCTGGTCCTTCTGCTGTTACTGACAAAGTGTCTCGGATGACGCTGGTGATTGCTGAGGGACCAATCTGCAAGCTGGGACGTGTGTTCAAATGCAAAGCTCCATGTTTTTCATTTGCTCCCAAGTGGAGAAACAGAGAAACGCGTTACGTAAAAAAGTAGAACATAGGATGGGTGTTTAAAGGGATGCAATCCGCTCCTGCCGCTAAAACGCACTGTCCAGCGAGCAGCAGTCCAACGGAGGCCTGAAAGCGGTTCCGAGAATGGCAGCAGGTGGTCACGGCACAACCCCAGGGCCGCCGACTTGTTACTCAAGTGCGGTGACAGGAGAAGACTCCCGGAGGCCCGGAAGCCAGGGCCGGCTGAGGCCGCCCAGAGGGCGGGCAGGAGCGCCATGCATTTCCACGGCAGGGCTTGCCCCCGGCAAGACTCTGAAATCCTGCTCAAGCAGCTGACGAGGTCACTGTTTTGACCGCAGACGGCGGGATGCAGGTCCCAAACCAGTCGCATAGTAACTGTTCCGTTCAAAGCGGCTCCCCCGTTCTACCGTGCAGGCCTCGGTTCACAAACTCAGCTCAGTGGTTTCGCCGGGGCGCCTGCAGGCGGCGCCAGGGACCCCATGCAGCTCCACGGGACAGCAGCAGCCGCAGCCGCAGCCCCTCCCTCGGGACCTCTGCACCCACAGGCCACTCACTTTTGTCCTCAGCGTAGGGGACGCAAAGAGCCGCCGGCTCTAAACTGAAGATGCCCTCTTTTTTTTTTTTTAACCCAGTTCAGGGAAAATGCATGAAAACATTAGATTCTGCAGTCTCTGGTCAGTTCCTGATAAACGTCTTTGCTCAAAGTACATGCTCCCTAAACTGAGCCTCTGGGACTGAATGGGACAGGGCTTCTGCTCCAAGGGCCCATGACGGGGACTCAGAGGCCTCACCCCCTCTGCCGCTTCACACCCCAGGTGGGTAACGCTGGAGGCGCTGTTTCCCTGCGCACAGGCCAGGGGAGTGGGGGGTGCTGGACGTGCCAGTCTGTTCCCCACGCTTCCTGCCGGTTCAATGGAGGCGACTCTTCCTCCGAGAGGCGTCGCTTTGTCCCTTCGCATGGCACAGGCCTTGGTTAGTTTTTGTCCAAAGGGCTACCATTTGCTTGAAAAGACAGGCTTCCTGCCAGACACCTTTTTTGGAAGAGAACCCGGGTGTGTGGGGGTGAGGGGGTTGGGGCGGACTGAAGAACCAGCGGAGTCCTTAGGTGGCAGTCATCACACCATTTCTTAAAATTCACAGTATTGTCGCGCTTGAAGGAGCTCTGATACTTGGGCCCCTGTGGGTCTCCGCGGTCCCCCGTCTCGGCCGTCATTTGAATTTATGTGCATTTTGCTTTCCTCCGTTGGTTTTGAGTTTTTTCTCGCCGCCGGACCCCGAGGCGTGGCCGCAGGTGTTCGCAGTCCCCTTCTTCTTCAGGCCCGCGTGTGCCTGCGGTTGGGAGGCCTTGTGGGCGTCGGCGGGGTCCGGGGTCGCGGAGGCCTGTTTGGGGACGCGGATGTTGCCACTGCTCTCCATGGCGGCGCTGCGGTCGCCGCCGGCCGGCAGGTGCCAGCGCGGCGGCCGGGGGCTCTTGCTGCATTTCTTCTTCTTCTCCTCGGCCCTCAGGTCGAGGCTCTGCTTCTGAGAACACAGCCGGCCGCCGCTCGGCCCCTCGAGGGGCTTGGGGGGAGTCACAAAGGAGTGACAGGCCGCGGGGCCCTGCGCCCGCGGAGGGCCTTTCTTGCGCGCGGGGCCTGGCTTGGGGGCCCCGTCCTGGGGGGGCCTGGACGCCGCGCCTGCGGGGAGCTTGCCTCCGCCTGGGCTCCGCAGGGGCCCGCAGGGCGCGGCGGCCGGCCGGGCTTTGCCGCCCTTGGCCTTCTCGCCCTGGATGGTCTGGATCTGCAGCCATTCGAGCTGAAGCAGCCGGTCCACGTACCTGCCCAGCAGCCCGCCCGCGCGCGGCACGGCGCCGGGCCTGCGCTCCGCGTGCGCCAGCACCGCCATGCCCCGCAGGTCCCAGGAGCTGCACGGCGGCGGGAGGAAGTCGGGGTAACGGTACTGGGGCCTCGCGGGGCGCTGCCCCGGGGCGAGGTCCAGATCGAAGCAGGCCGGGTCAATGTCCTCCGCTCGCAGGCGCAGGTCTGGAGGCCTGCGCGGCGAAGGGCCCATGGGGACCCGCTCCGAGTCGGAGAGGTCGCTGGCGCTGTCCTCGTCCGCATCTCCTTTCAGGATCCCCATCGACCGAACGGTGAGAAACAGCTTGCTCTCCGGGGTCCCCAGCGGGCTCCTTTGGGCTTTGCCTTCCGCCGGGGAGATGCTGCCCCCAGGAGCCGCCGGGGCCGGCGGGGAGACGCCCACGAGGCTGCTCTCGGGCCCGGGGGACACGCGGGGGACGTGGGGCTCACTCTGCCTTTTTCCTGAAGAGTTCTTCCCACGTGGCACTTCGGTCCAAGACGGGCCAGCATCCATACTGCTGCGGGAAATAAAACTGCAACTCTTAGTACCTGTGACCAAGGCTGGTCTGGGAGCCACGACCCAGGAACTGGGCCCTCTAGTGACCGCTGGGGGTAGAAAGGGGACGGCCTCGCAGCCCCTCCCAGAGCCAGCCCTTCTCGCAAGTTCCAGGGCCATTTCCACCCGGGCCTCTCGTTAAGCAGCACGATGTTAACGATTAACTAGCACAGGTGCAGGAAGTACAGGCAGGGGTTCTATTTTATGTCAAACACCAGCATCAGAGGGAGAGGTGAACATTTGTTAAAGTGCCTATGTGATAATCATCCATGGCCATTTCCAAAGGCCATGGCATGGACTTTGGAAAACACAAGTTGGAAAGAACCCGTCAGAGAACTCCGTCTGTTTTGTTAATGCGGACCGGAGTTTAATAACGTTCGTGAGGAAAACCCGCGGCGGCCTTTGGCAGGCCCGCTGTAAGCGAAGCGTAAACAAGATGCCAAAGGCCCGCTTTATAGAACTTACTGATGCGAGGGGGTCCTCAGCTCCCAAAGTCCTAACGTGAAAAAGGGTAGCACCTACAACCTGGGCCTTCCACCGAAAGCGTCTTAGTGTTTTCCAATGGGAAACACTCCGAGCCCTGGGTTTCTTCAAATAGATGGCCACATGGCGTCTTGATGCACGGCATGAATGGAAACTCGGGGTTAGTGCGGGTCTGGCAAGTGGCGGGTGGAGGGAGGCAGCGAGTGCTGTGTCGCGATTCCACAGCCTGATTCTGTTGGGGGTACCTGAGCCTGAGGCAGGATCTCATATCCAAACCGAAAAGACTTTCTTTTCAACCGATTTACCCAGGACAGAGCATTTTACTAAGAATAGTAATACCTCTCCATACCCTAAGGCAGATGGAGTAAAAAAAAAAAAAAGGGGGGGTGAACGAGCTTTTTGGACACCTCAGGGGAATCATGTGTCCACGCAAAGTCATCTGAAAACGCGTCACCTGTGGATTCGTAAGCAGGGAGGATATGAAATGGTCGCCCGTAGCACACCGGGCGCTCAAAAGACAGATGGAGGAACTGCCAGCACTTAGTTCTCCTGACCAACTCTGTCAACGCGCTTGTTTACCTCTCGCTGTCTGAGTGGATCCCCAGATGTTATCAAACATTTCCTTTTTAGGGAAAAGGAAACTAAGGTAGAAAGATGATTAAGGGGCTCACCCAAAATGGTCGGTTCTGCCAGACAGAGTGCCAGAAGGACGACCTCTGGAACTTGTACCAACTAGCTCTGTTGGAAAGCACTTGCTCACTGACCCCTGCTAGAGTAAAACATACACGTGTGCGTCTCTCATCCACAGACACGCCATCTCTTTTCCCAGCCACGTGCAGCCCCTCTGGTGGACTGAGATGACGCGATTTCCCCAAACCAAGCAGTTATACAAACACTCTTTACCCGCTTTTCGGATGAGATTCATTCACCCGACTCCCTCTCTGGAGAAGGTCGCATGGCTGGTCATCATCTAGTGCTGCAGGGACTGTCTACAAAACAGACACGCAGTAAGAAACAGCAGGGGCACACGCACCAGGAGCCAACGCACAGAAAAACAGAACAGATTGAAGCGAGGTCCTCCTGCAAAAGTTACATCACCTTCGCCGCGGCGTCTGAAATATTCTTGCTCAATCCGCTGGAAGGGGATGGCCGCTGGGGAAGTGGCCGCTTTATTCCTCTTGCAGCGGGGACGGCCTCCCTGCCACCGGAACTGTAAGCGACAGAACAGTCAGTGAGCGCGTCCTTCACTCACCTTTCGATTACAGTGGACAAGCACGGCTATGTGAGTTTCAGGTGTACATCGTGGCAGTCAGACATTTCCATAACTTGCCGATTGCCCCTAATACGTGCAGCGCCCCGCTGACACCGTGCATGGCAAAGACAATAACACTGACTCCGTTCCCGGGGCCGGACACGACAGCTCTGGGACAGCTTCTGTCACCGCTACTTTGTGCTTCTTAATCCCTTCCCCTTTTTGACCCATCCCCCCCCCCCCCCCCCCCCCCCCCCCCGCTGCTCCCCTCCCATCTGGCAGCCATCAATTTGTTCTCTGTATCTAAGGGTTTGTTTCTAAAAATATGGAACACTTTGTTTCTAAAAATATGGAACGCTTCACAAACTCGGAATTTGCGTGGGCTCCTTGCCCAGGGCCCAGGCTGACCTTCTCTGTGCGGGTCCCCTTTGGGGGTATGCACCGCGGAAGCCAGCAGAGCCAGCGGGCATTGGTCGCACGTGGTCCTGTCCCCAGAACGGGGCTGGTGTTCACCTGCTTGGTTTTAAATATTTGCTTAGTATGAAAATATTGGTAGGGCATATTGCCTTATGTTTACAGTTTTGTTTTTTCAGTTTTTTGTCCACAGTGGACATGGAACACGAGATCACACGACCGTAAATGCTGTGGAGGGATTCCCGCACCCGCGGTCTCCTTGGAAATAACACACCGAGGGAATCCGCCAGGCTACGGCCAGGTGCTACGCCAAAGCTTCACAAACAGGGACGGAAGTGCCTAGGAAACGGCAGACACCATGGCCACGGGCCAGTTCCCACGGAGCTTGAACTCGGTGGGGGAAGCTCCCTGTCAATTCTCCCTATCACAGCAAGCCCATAAAAGACTATAAATATACTAGCGCCTATCTTATCTCTTCGCGAAATTCTGTTGACTCAGACCGCAGGGCCCTGCTACTGCCTCTGGTTCGGAGGGGCCTAAAAGCACCCAGAGTGGAAGGTGGACACTTTCTCCGGTGATAGCCCCTGCCTCTCTCTCCCTAAACAGAGGAGGAGGTGGGATTTAGATGTTTATTTTCTTCCTGAAAGTTCACTGTATCACTTCTCACAAAAACAGTACGCCTTTGTAGCCAGTGTACCTGCCACGGTGATCAAAGTCCCACCTGGGCTCTCACAGTTAATGAATTCCACCCTGGTCCACAGGCTTGATTGATTTTAGACACACAGGCTGTCCTTTCCCGGCCCCCTTTCATTAGTTGGGTTTCCCTTCTGCTCTGCACAGTATAAAGGAACCCTCTAGAATTCCTGGCCCCAAACTGCCCCCTAGGCTGCTGCGTTTTCTGCACAGAGTTCCTGAGACACAAGCCTGCGAGGCCCTGGGGATGCAGAACACAAGAGCGGATTGGGGTTCCCGAAAGGTCCAGGCTTGCCTCGCAAGAAAGCTCCAAGTCTGCGACTCTGGCTGCAGAAACGCTTCCCCAGCGTTGAAGGCAGATTAAGGTCAGCTACGTCATTCATCACAGGGTATTAACTCTTGTCCCCAGATCTTCCTCTCTGGCTGGGCGTCCAGAGACAGACAGACAAGCAGCACCGCCCCTCCCGGCTTCCCCACCCCCAGGAATCGGCTGGCGGTCCTGGGCGGCAAAGCATTGTGGGTGATGTGTGGACAGGACGCTGCTCCACGCAGCCAGGCTCCCTGGGTCTGGGCGAGGGTCCAGGCGGCAGTGCAGACGTCCAGAGAGCTCGCCAGCCTAGAGGCTTCAGAATGAGCCTGGGGACCGGCTCCTGGAAAGGCCAGTTTTTGCGTCCCCCATCCCCCTGCGCCCAGTAACCCAGAAATCCAAGGACCCGCAGCATTTTCCCTGTCTTCCGTGTGTGCAGACACCGATCTACGATCGATAGGCGCGCGGGCCAGGCAGACGCAGACAGAAATTGATCAGACCTGTTTCGCGATCGCCCGGGACACGTGACGAGGCCGCCAGCCCTCCTTCCCGGCGCGCGGGCGGGAGGCCGTTCCGCCGCGCGCTGCTGCAGGGGCGCCGCAGGGGGCGGCGCGCGGCGGCGCGCGCCGGGCAGGGCTTCCCGGCTGTGCTCCGGCCGGCGCGAGCCCGCGCCCGCGCCCGGGCGGCGTCACCAGGGGCGGGGCGGAGGCTCGCCGGGAAGTTGCACCCGGACAAGTTGCAGCTCCGTAAGTAACATCGCGGACCGCGGAGGTGGGAGGGGCCGCCCCACCAAAGCAGCCTCCCCATAAGAACCTCTAAGGAGGCCAAAGGCGGTGTCACCCTGCGCTCTCTGGGTGGCCCCGAAAGGCTTGCCCTGCAGACAGCACTCATCTCTTGGGAAACAAGCTCCGGTTTCGCTGCAAGAAACGGAAGACCTGGTAGGGAACTCGAGGGGCGAGGTGGCAGAGGAGGGAAAGGCGGGGCAGGCCCCAGGGTTTTCCTCCAGGCTGCATTTTGGGGACTTCTGAGCTCGGCCAGGGAGGCCGCCGAGGTAGCGGAGGCAGGGTCGGAGGCTGCCCCTCGGATCCCTACCCCCATCGCCGGAGGGCCGGCTGGGCCATGTCCACAGGCTCGGGCTCCGCGGTCCTGCCCCGTGCCCTGGGGTCTCGGAAGATCGCCCTACGGAGCCTTAGCAGCCTCTCGGACTTGGACGGCCGCGCGGTCCCGGAGCGGCGGCTTTGCCGGCCCCCCGGGAGCCCAGGGCGAGCGCCGCCGCCGCCGTCCGCACCGTCAGGCTGCGACCCCAGCCTGCGGCCCATCATCCTGCGGCGGGCGCACTCGCTTCCCAGTTCGCCCGAGCGCCGCCAGAAGACCGCGGGCGCCCCGGGCTCTGGGTGCCGGCCGGGCTGCAGCCGGCAGCACCGCGTGCGCTTCGCCGATGCACTGGGCCTGGAGCTGGCTCAGGTCAAGGTGTTCAATGCGGGCGACGACCCGTCGGTGCCACTGCACGTGCTGTCGCGGCTCGCCATCAACTCAGATCTGTGCTGCAGCAGCCAGGACCTGGAGTTCACCCTGCGGTGCCTGGTGCCCGACTTCCTGCCGCCCATCGAGGCCCCCGACTTCGGCGAGCGCCTGGGGCGGCAGCTCGTGTGCCTGGAGCGCGTCACCTGCTCAGACCTGGGCGTCAGCGGCACGGTGCGCGTGCGCAACCTGGCCTTCGAGAAGCAGGTGGTGGTCCGCTATACCTTTTCCGAGTGGCGCAGCGTGCACGAGGCGGTGGCCAGGTGGCGCGGACCCGCGGGCTCCCAGGGCACCGAGGACGTCTTCGCCTTTGGCTTCCCAGTGCCGCCCTTCCTGCTGGCGCTAGGCTCCCGCGTGCACTTCGCGCTGCGCTACCGCGTGGCCGGCGCCGAGTACTGGGACAACCACGACGGCCGCGACTACAGCCTCACCTGCCGCAACCACGAGCTGCACATGCCCCGCGGAGAGTGCGAGGAGAGCTGGATCCACTTCATCTGAGCCGCGGGGCCAGGGACCTGGCGCCTCCGCCCCCAAGCCCCACCTGCGGGGGCTCTTCTGGAAGAGGCCGTTGCTCTGCCCGACACTCCATCCCCAAACCGAAGCCTGACCTCACGTCCTGCTGCAAGGTCCCTTGGCAGGGGCGATCCCACCATCTACTTGAAATGTGTCACTTGGTGTAAATAGTAGCCTCAGGTGGCCAGAAGGCCGGGTGCGTAACATGCTGGGGGCGGTGCGGGTGGCCGCTGCGTGGGAGTGACGCGCCCGCTGGGAGCGGCTGTGGCTGGGTGTCGGGGAGAGGCCCGCCGCCCTGGGCCAGCAAGGCCGGCGCTTTTGCACGGGTCGCGATTGGGTGTCTGTGAACGTGATATTTATTGTCATTGTGAAGCTGGAGCTTTTGACGGATGCCTTCTCAGGAACATTCTGGATTTAATAAGCTAAAAAAAAAAAAAAATCAAGTCTTGCGTATTTGTGACCGAGTGTGACTCCCTTCATGGTCCCTTGAGGCATTCCTGCCCCGGGACAAGGAAAACTTGAGACCATGTGTGCTGCCAACGTCCGTGGACCTCTCGCCGTGGGAAACTATTAATAGGCAAGAAATTTATGCCTCATCAGTCACCGCACAGCCATTCTGAGGAGCTCAGGCTGTCCTGGCCAGGCCGTGTGCCCTGCATCACAGCCGGGAGAGGGGAAGCGGAAACCTTGTCACCCAGCAAGACAGCCCTTCCCTGCGCTGTCTCCTCTCACCTCGTGTACTTCTCCTGTACGTGTTTGATAAGTATGTATGTGCATGTTACCAGGCCATTCTGTGGACGTATGAAACTGCCAAAACCTGATAAGAAACTCTGCCTTAAGTTATTAAAATTTCCAGGTGACTCTCTAGAATTTCAGGCAACAATGTCCTTCTCAATTACCTTTCTATGATTAAGATGACTTTTTTTGTCTCCTGAAGTGGCAGAGTGCCCCAGCAGTCCTCTCGGAAGTCAAGATACCAAGTGGAATTAGGTGTTTTCAGCCACGGCCAGAGAGCCCTGGGGAGAAAGAATTCCCAGTATGTACACTTTTTGATAGTTTTAAGTTGTATGTAGTATGCACGCTCTTTTCAGTTACCTGCCAGCTCTGTGTGTGCCTTCAGATTGGGGAGTGTCTGGATTGGTTCCCCAGTTTTAAAATGTTAACTGCTTTTCTTTTGTAAAACATCTCCAACCAAGAAGTCAAGGCCGGTGTCCCCTGCAGAGCGCTGCAATGACTTAAACGCCCGGCAAGGGGCGGTGATTTCTTTGGGTGCGAAGTGATGTCCATCGGACAGCAGGTGCTGGCGCTGAAGTGTGAAACCCACCGCAGGGTCGAGGCCTCCAAGTTGTGAAGTTCCATTATGCTACTGTTGAAACCAGTGTGGTCAGTTTTGTGACAGCTGTCGCCAGTGGATTAATTCTAAATTTGTAAATTCTTGTTGACATATGTTAAATCAGTAGGTAAAGCTCTTGCCTTTTGACCAATTTCTTTTTTACCATGGCAACTTCTGTGGTTTTAGAATTCCGAGAAGGAGGAAGCTTTCTGATCTAGAGGGAGTACCTTCTGATGAAGAAACACTGAATTTTGATGTAAAGTATTGTGATTAAGTTGAACAGCCTTTGGCTGTTAGCACTGGGCACTACATTGACATGCAAGAGAGAGAGTAGCCTGGTTGCATTTCCTGTTGTTTAACAAACTGTCCAGTTAGGTCAGCAAGCCCGTGAGAGCCCTGGCCGCTCTGCCCTCGGCCCCAGCCCAGAGTGCGAGACGATCACCCAGGGTATTCACGCACGGAGGTCCGAGCTGCCAGAGGCATCGCTGTACAAGGCACGCAGAGAATCTTACAACCCGTGGGGAAGCCACTTACCAAAAAGGTTCTGGTCATGGAATGGAAAGTAAATATTGTATCTGCAGTATTAAGAGAACCTTTATGTGCCTTTTAAAAAAATCAATGTTTTTTTTTAATTTAAAAGCTTAAGTATCCTTGCTTAGTTCATAAAGGTCAGCTTAACAAGAACTTCCACACCCTAAAACAGTCATATTACTTAGATGTTAACATTCTGTTATGGATTGTGCAGTGTTGGGTTGTCTCGCCAAGCATATTTTAATGTCTGTCACTTAAGATGATTTTACCCAGCCCTCAAATTAAATTATATACGCACAAATTGGTAGCTGGAATGTGTTTTGCTTGTGGCCTCATTATAGAAATAAGGTGTTAGAAACTTGATTGTTTAAGTCATTTCACGGTTAAGTCTTATTCTTCCCAAAACAGTCAGATTTAGTGCCTTGCCAAGTACACACACACACACACACACGCGTGCGCGCGCGTGCGCACGCGCACGCATGTACGTATGGTATGCTGGTACCTCAGTGTCAGTAGCACAGCTGTGTATGTCTTTAAGAAAGCGAAATACAACCACTCGTTTGTGCCAAGTCCCATGTGAAGAAAGCTCTAGCAGGCATGTCCAACCTCCGGCCACGGGCCTCATGTGGCTCAGGGTGTCTGTGAATGCGGCCCAACACAAAATCCTAGATTTACTTAAAATATAATGAGATGTTTTTGTGATTATGTGTCACAATGTATTTAATGTGTGGCCCAAGACAACTCTTCTTCCAGTGTGGCCCAGAGATGCCCAGAGGTTGGACCGCCACCCCTGCCGTTCGGGGAATGTAGGGGGTGGGCTAGTGTTGTATTTCCTTTACACTGCGTATTGAATCACATACATGAAATAATTAGTGTGTATTCTGCCTCCCCCAACTGTGACTCAAGTACAAAGCCCTCACACAGGGAAAGGAAACTAACATTTATTGTGGTCTGTGTTTCCCCGGTGCTGGGCTCTGTGTTTGATTTCATCTAATTCTGAAAATTACCCTATTTGGTAGATAATATCCCCATTTTTTACAGTTGAAGAGAGTGGAGCTTAGAGAGGTCTAACTCATGCACCTAAAATCCCAGAGCTGGTAAACAGCAAAGTCAGCCTTCGAACCTACACCAGAGACCAATTTTGATGACGATTGATAACCTTTTTCCAGCTCACACCGTAAATCTATCTATCTAAAAATCTATCTTAAAACAACTCAAATAAGAAAAATGAGTGATTAGCTATTTTCTTCCTTGTGAATGTTTTACATTCACTGATGTTTAGTAAACAATTCCAATGCTTTTTGAATACACGAAACAATAAATGGACTAACTTCTCTCTACTACAAAGTGGCAGGCAAGGTGAGAAACCACTGTTTTTAATTTTTGAAGTGACTATCTGCCGCATCCATTTCCGAATTGCCGAATATTTTACACAACAAGCACCACTGCTTTCATCATTTAAACTGATAGTTCAGATGGAAACCTTGTAAAAAGCCTGGAATACGCCGAGGATTCGGCTCGGTAAGTGCTGCGCCTAGACGGCCTCAGCCTGCTTTCCCCCTGGGGTCTCGGGTTCCGGCTAATGAAGGGGGCGGCACCTGTTTCTAGGAAACCCAGGCAGCAAAGCCGCTGGGCACCGCAGCTGTCGGGCGCGGCAGCCGGGCGGGGCGGGGCCAGGCGGGGCGGGGCAGGCGGGAGGAGGGGGCGTGGTCAGTGGGCAGGGCGCTCGACTGACGGGGAGGTGTGTCTCGGCCGGATGTCGAGGGCGGGGCTCGGCGGTTAGGCTTCGCGGTCAGCGCGGAGACTTGCCCAGGCATGACTCTGCTGCCCTCTGCTGGCCCGCAGCGTGAAGCTCTATAAAGGGAGTGCAACCCTCGCATCTTCGCAGGTTCCGTTTGGTGCCCCCGCGTCTCTCCGTCCCGGCCAGCCCTCCCAGGCGGTTGTGGGGGCCCCGGGGGTCTCCTTGGGCCCATCGGTCCTTCTGCCGCGCGTCCTGCAAGCAGTCATGCCAGGGCGCTCGGCCGCGTCCGCACCACGGGAGGAGGGGAAGAGCAGCGCGTCCGTGAGGCGCTGCCTTCGCGTCGAGGCAGGCAGGCGTCAGGCGAAGGGGTTTGTGTCAGGGTCCGGGACGCGGAAGTCCACTGTGTTGAGGGTCCGAGCCACGCCCACCGCGTCACCCCTGGCTCCCTCCTCAAACGGCCCTGCGCACGCAACTGCACGCAGGGCGGGGCTTGGTCCGACGGCCGCACTGATTGGACGCAGTGACAACCGCACCTAGCGCCGATTGGAGGAGCGCTTCCCGCCTCTTGTCGGCCAGCTCAAATAACGCAGCGGACGCTGAGGCACTGAGGTGCGACGCCCGGCGATCGTTGGCTTCGGGACGCAGAAGCCTCCGGAGAGCGGGCAAGTCGAGCGGAGCACGCGAGCGGGTTTCCTCTGAGGGCGGGCGCGCGGAGGGAGGCGGGGGGCCGTCGGGGCCGAGGGGGCAAGAGGAGGCGGTGTTGAAAAGGGGCGGGCCGGCGCGACGCTGGGCCTGAAGGACGGGGCTGCGGCCTGGCGTCCAGAGGGCCGAGCGCACCTCGCGCGGGGCGTGGGGGCGCGGGGGCGCGAGGTGGGCGGCCCGCGCAGCCTTGGCTCCCGCCGGTATCTGGGGCTGGGGCGACCGAGGTCGCGAGCCCTCTCTCAGTCCGGGCTGTGAAACCGCGCGGGCGGGCTCGGCCCGAGTGGTCGTTACGGTGTCAGGGTGGACGGCCTGGACGGCCACGGCGGGGCCAGGGCCCCTGCCCCGTCACCCACAGGCCGGCTTTGGAAACGGTGGGACGGTGCCGGGGGGGGCGGGGCTCGGCCCTCGCGAAGGCACCGGCGCCCACGCGGGTCCTGCCGCCCGCCCCGCGCCTCCACGGCCGCGCCCCGCCCCCGGGCCCCGCCCCCATCCCGGCCCCCGCCCCGCAGTCCTTCAGCCCCGGAGCGCGCCTGCGTGGGTTGCTCTCGTCCACGCCGCTGATGCCCCCTGGCGCGGGAGGAAGACGAGCATGGAGAGGACCCGCGTGCCGAATGCCGGGGGTGGGCTTGACGAGCGTTCGGTTGGAGACGCGTCGGCACTCCCGCCGCTAGGGAGGCGGGCGTTCCCCGCCGCCCCGCGCCCGCGTGGCCGGCCTCTGACGCGCGGCGTCGTTAACGGTGGAGCGGCCCGTGCCGAGCTGCTGCCGCCCGCGCTCGTTCAGCCCCTGGGGGGACGCGCCGCCCCCGTGTGCCCGGCTGCCCGCTCGTCGGCTGGCCCTTGGCCTCCCCGCCGCGGGCGCGGGCGCGTTCGGCCCCTCGCCGGCCGTCTGCCTGCCCGGAGCCGGCCGGAGCTCGGTTCCGGCGCGGGGGCCGAGAGCCGCGGGGGCGCGGGGGCGTGCGGGGCGTGCGGGGCGGCGGGGGCGTGCGGGCCGCGGCGGGGGCTGGCGGACGCGCCCCCAGCGGCGCCCGGCGGTTGCCTCCCCTCGGGCTGCGCGCGGGAGGCGCGAGGACGGGCCGAGCGCGCTCCGTCCCGTGGAGCCCCGCGCCTTGGAGAGGCCGGCGGGGGCAGACGCGGCGGCGCTGCCTTTCCCCCGCCGCCGGGCAGGGCAGCGGCGGGCAGGGCCGCGCGGCGGGCGGGCCGCGCCGGCCCGGCTCCTCGGCCCCGGCTCCTGGGCCCCGGCTCCTCGGCCCCGGCGGCGCGCGGCCCCGCCCGCAGTCAGTCTGTCCTGAAAATGCCGTTAGGCGGGTGTTTTTAAAATTTGTTTTTATTTATTGATGTTAGAGAGGGAGGGAGGGAGGGACATCTCTTTGTTGTTCCACTTTTTTATGCAGTGTGTTTACATTTTTAATGTTTTAAAATTGTGAAGCGAAGTGTTCCAGTCTTCAATCTCATCAATATACCATCATTGCTTCAAGGTAGAAAAACACATGTAAAGCTATTTTGATGACCCAGTGTTGAGAAAATATCAGATGAATGAATGTATTTATTATGGATATTTGATGATGGACTGGTGAATTTGTATAAGTAATAAAATAATGACTTATGCAGAAATTAGTATCATTTTAGCAAAATCAGTAAATACGTTGTCAAGACTTTTACTTATTTTATGTTCTATTGACTATGACTTAAGGATTAAAACAACATATCAAATTTTACTAACTTGAATATATTTTTATCAAAAACATGAAATAAGCACAAAAGTTTTTAAAATTCCATGAAATAGTAAATTTTTTTAAATTAAGGTAAAATAAAAATGCTTAATGAACATTAATATAGTTTTAACACTAAAAATATTTACTTTGAATAAGGAAATCTTACTTAATTTTTTAAACATTTTATTTCCTTTTAGAGAGAGGGAAAGGCAGGGAGAAAGGGAGGGACACACCCCGGTGCGGCTGCCTCGCGCGCGCCCCCTGCGGGGGGCCTGGGCCCCGACTGCGGATCGCACCGGCGACCCTGAGCGTCGCAGTCCGCTTCTCAGTCTTCCGAGCCCCACCAGCCAGGGCTTATTAAATATTTTGTAAAAGTAAACTCGGTCACCATTCTAGAGTTCGCTTGCCATCTAACTGCCATTTTTTTTTAAGTGTCCATATCATGCTCATGCAGTTTGGTCTAGATTTACATAGAGATTAAAGAATAATAGAAATTGCTTACAACTACAAATGTTCCTCAGTCACTGGGTACATCTGTTGCACATACTGAGCACAAAGTTGCTAGAGCTTCCTGGGCCACGGGTTGGGGTAGGAAGAGAAGCAAGAAAATGGACATTTGGCATTATTCAGAAGCAGTTCTTCCTGAGGCAAGAATCAACCGGCAGCTCTGCCAGAGGAAGGATTTGACAGCTGATTGCTGTCTCTCTCTCACCTGAGAGCAGGTGGCTTGCTCACACTGTCGCTTCATCCCGAAGCAAAGCCTAAAGCGTCAGTGTCAGCACAACCGACAGCCTTCTCGGCATTGATTTAGACTCCCCTCCGCCCCCGAAATCTTCACGTTTGTTTTGATTTGGGCAGATTTCTATCATACACAAAATAAACGGAACAATGTAAGTAACGGCAGTTCCCTGTTTTCAGAGGAACAGGCACGGGAAGTGCTTCCCTGGGGCCGGATGGCTGTGAGTTTTGAGAGCGAAGGTCTTCATCCTGGTCCTAGGACTTGCCAGGCAGCACCCAGGACTGGGCTCTGAGTGACTAGAGAGTCCCGTGTGCTCCCTAGTAAAACCGCGTGTGAGAGCGTGGGTGAGGGAGGCAGTGATGTCCGGAAACTTCCTCTCTGTTACGTTCATGGTTTGTGCTTTTTATGTCTTAAATCTTACCATATTGTAAAGTCTGAGAGATGGCCTCCTGTATTTTCTTCTAATAGTTCTTAAATATTTACACTGTACAGTATGTAGTTAATTCATCTAGAGTTTATCTTTGTGGATGGTGGGAGTTAGAAGTCTAATTTTATTTTTTTTCCATATGATGAGTTAATTAGTTTCCCCATACCATTTATTATATTAGCTAGTTTGCTTTCCCTCCCGATTTGCAAAACCTTACTCATATGTGAACTTACAATATGTGCTTGGGTGGTATGCATTTGAATTCTGTTTTGTTTTATTGATTTCTGTGTCTATTTTCTATTCTTAATACTTTTTTTTAGTAATTGTGACTTTGTGATGTCTAAGTATCAAGTGAGATGATTCTTCCCTTTATTTTTGAATAGCATTTTTGATGGCTATAAAATTCTAGTTTTCTTTTTTTTTTTCCAGCACTTTGTAATTTCTTGCACTTCGTAACTTCTGGTAGCATCCTTGCTCTGACTTTGGTATCCCAGTAGTGACGGTTCTTTAAATGAGTTTGGAAGTATTTCTTCTATTTATTTTATTTTTTTTAGAGGGGGAAAGAGTTTAAGGAGGATTGGTGTAGTTCTTAAAGGTATGGTAGAATTTACCAGTGGAGCCATCTCATCCTGGGCTTTTTATTTCCTGAGAGGTTTTTGATTACTGAATCGATCTCCTTTCATAATTGGTCTGTTCAGATTTTCTATTTCTTTATGATTGATGCAATATTAGTAGGTTGGATGTTTCTTGTAGCTGTCATTTATTCTAGGCTCTCCAACTTGTTGGAGTGTAATTACTCATAGTAGCCTCTTATGATCCTATGTATTTCTGCGATATCAGTTGTAATCTCTCCTCTTTCATTTATAATTTTGTGCCTCCTGTCTTCCTTTTGTCTTGGTAACTCTAGCTAAATGTTTTTCAGTTTTGCTTCTCTTCTCAAAATATCAGCTCTTAGTTTCATTGATCTTTTCTATTGTCTTTTTAGTTTTGATATCATTTATTTCCACTCTGATCTTTATTTCCTTCATTTCCACTCTAATATTTATTTCCTCCCTTCCTCTAATGTTTGGCTTAGTTTAATTCTCATTTTTCTAGTTCCTTGTTTTGCCGGCACTTAATTCACTGAGCCACAATAGCCAGGGCAAGACAACATATTTTTAATCACTTAAAATTGACTACAAATATCTAAAATTCTGGGGCATTTTATTTAACTGTTATGTTCACAAAATTGATTCCATATACCACATTTAACTGTTCATTTCTCACCCTCCCTCTCATTCCCAAATCCTAGCTAGGTGCTTTTAAATCCTTGTCACGCAAAACAATACTGCAAAACCGTCTTTAGACTTGGTTCCTTATATACATGGAGGAAATGTTTCTTTGGGCATCAGAACTTTTCCCGTAGAGTTAATCTTTGGAAATCTAAGATTTTTTTTTTACTCATCCTTTCGGTATGCCTTCCTTATATGTATATCTTTATTGGGACTTAAATTTCTCTACTGGCATATCTGTAAGAAACCAATGCCTCTTGTTGCTTTATGGGTACACAGTCCTCTATTCCTCTGGATTAATGAATTAATTACCTCTCTATGTTGGATTTCCTGGTGACTCTGTTATATAGTAGAAATTCTTTTAAAATTGTTCTAGCTGTGATGTCTAGAAGAGATTGTATTATATCTTTCACTTTATAGAGCTAACCTCCAAATTGCTTTGGAAGTTGAGGATTCTTTTGTTAAGATGATAGATGGTGTGTAATGTAACCATATTGTTTCCTGTTTCCATTCTCCTTTAAAGGGAAAATGTGCTCAGGTTATCTTTTCCTCACTCCTTTCATTGCATTTTTGTGTGTTCTCATGTATCCTGTTCTTTGGTAATATTCTTCCCTTCTTAAATGTTGTATTACAAGTCTGAATATGATTTAGACATTAATTCAAAGTTATTTTTCTGTTTTCCCCCAAGTTGGAACAAATACAGCAGGAACCTCGGATGAGGGAGATGTCGATTTGCCTTCTTCCACTAGTTCTGTGAATGTTAAGCAGGATTTTTGGTGGTTAAGTAATTCATAAAAAGAGAAAACTTGAATAAATGATCTTCAAGCTTTTCTCCAAAAACTTCTCTGGCCAGATTCCGCAAGGAACTCAAAGAAACAATATTTATTGCCTTTGGGATAAGCAGCAGTGCTTATTTATGCATACAGTATTAAGATTTTTAAACTGTATATATGTAGAAGAGACTGTAAGATGCAGAATGAGTATGTTTTCTTTCATAGGTGTTTGCTTTGACCTGCCACTTTAAAATAAGTCAAAATGCCAATAAGACCAGATCTCCAGGTATGTAGTTTTGGACCAAAAGCAAGTATTTTTTGTTCCTAAAATCATTTTTTTATTTACAGGTATTAAGTGCTATATTTTTGGGAAAGACAAGCTTTCTTATTTTTATGGAGTAGACAGAGGAGAATAATTTAAATTAAGATGCTATCCTTTCATTTTTTTCAATAGGTTTGTTTTCAAATCTGTTTTAAAAGCACTTAAAGTGTAGATGCTAATTGCATATATCTATAGCTATATATAACTTTTACATTGAAAAGAATAGTGCACTAATTCATGTATAAAACTTATGCGTGGGTATTATCATATCAAGGTTTAAATTGTAAGATACTTCACTTAGGTAAAGAGTAACTTGTAGCTATTTAACTTCTGTGCAGTTCACCCCCAAGGCTGGCGATCTGATTGTAGAATGAAAATTCCTTATTAGTGATGTTTACACCAATACTAGAGATGGCAGACTTGTAAGGTTAGATAGCCATGCGCTGCTTAATGGTGGGGGTATTTTCTGAGAAATGAGTCATGAGGCAATTCTGTGGTGCGCACACCATAGTGCACTCACACAAACCTAGATGGTACAGGCACCCACACACTTAGGCTGCATGGCACACAGCCTGTGGCTCCCAGGCTGCAAACCTGTCCGGCACGTCACTATACTGAGTACTGTGGGCAGCTGTAACACAGTGGTAAGTATTAGTGTATCTAAACATAGAGAAGGCAATGTAAAAATATGGTATAAAAAGATGAAAAATGGTACAGCTCCGTAAGACACTTACTATGAATGGAGCTTGCTCTGAGTGAGTCAGTAAGTAGGCTATTACTGTACACACTAATGTAGACTTTATGAAAACCATACACTTAGGCTAAACTAAATTTATAAAGTAACACGAGATTAAGTCAAACATGAGAGCAAATAATGCAGAGATTAGTAAATATGAGATGTTGAACCTGCTACAGGCCTAATGGTGCACTGTTTTACAGCTGCCATTTTTAGGTAAAAAGAGTATACTCTAAAATAATGGCAAAAAGTGTAGTAAATATATTATACCAGTATAATAGTCATCTACTAGCATTATCAAGTACTATGTACCATACGTAATTGTATGTGCTGTAACTTTATGACTGGCAGTGCAGCAGGTTTGTTTACACCAGCATTGCCACAGACGTGAGTCATGTGCTGTTATATGAGGTTACAATGGCTACGATGTCACTAGGCAACAGGAACATATCAGCTCCATTATCATATGGGGCCAGGATCACATATGTGTGTGGTCATTGTTGACCCAAACCTTGTTATGTGAAACATGACTATAAACATGTAATATAATAAAATATATATATACACACACACATATATATGTAATGCTTAAGTCATACTGGCTGGTACAGTTTCTAAATAGTGCTTTTACCTGTCTTTAAGAAATTTTTTTTACTATTTAAACCTCATTAAGAAGTTGGTAGATATATTAAGGCTTTATCCATAGTATTATGGATTATTTACTACAAAGTTTATTTTACTTCTTTCATTAACAGGTTTGTGTTGAATCCAACATAATGATGACTTTCTAATTTAAGACATGGAGTGGAAAATTAATAATATATATTTTTTCATATATAGAGTCTTGTCAAAGAAAATTAACTGCATTACTCCAAATTTGAGAGTGGGCAGTTTTTTTTTTAAAAATTACTGTATAAGCGCTTCCGAGAATTTTCATGTGAAAACAATTTTCAAATTACTAGATTGTTAAAGTGACTAATTTTGATTTTGATTCAATGTATGTGCCATTGACTCTATTTCTCTAGCAGTTGGAAAAATGCATTGATGATGCTTTAAGGAAAAATGATTTCAGGCCTTTGAAAACACTTTTACAAATTGACATTTGCGAAGATGTGAAGATCAAATGCAGCAAACAGTTTTTCCACAAGTTGGATGACCTTATATGCAGGGTAAATATTTATCTTTGTTGAATGATTGTTAAAATCATTAGACAGCAATCTTCTTTTGAAGAGGAAGTATTCCATTGGAAGAAATGAATAAAAAGACCTTGGCAAGCTTGCTTATAATTATATAAATAAATGCTTGTTTTACCACTTCCTTTTTTAAATGTTTTATTTGATGAGCTCTAAATAGCATATTGGACCATTTTTTAAAACAATATACAAACAGTTGTGTTTACAGAGTTACCATTGGGGAAAATAGTTTACCTGTTTGGAGTTTAAACAACTTGATCTATTCTTAAGAGAAAGAACTCATAGATGTGACGACAGTGTGATGACTGGGGTGGGGGAGGGGCGGGAGAGGCGGCAGAGGGTGTGGGGGAATAAATGGTAATAGAAAAAACGCAGTAAAGATCATGTAAAAATAAACAACTTGATCTATTTTAATAACTTATCGACATATTCTTCATGTTCTATGGACAATGCTTGGTGCTTACAAATATTTTTTAAAAATTGTCCAACCTTGGACTTGATTTATCATGTGTAAGGCAGTTTTATAGGTGAGAAATGTTATTATTGAAAATCAGTATTTGAGATTTGCTTTCTTGTCTCTCTTAGATACATGGGATTTTTTAGAATTGGAAGGTTAACTTGGCATCATAATCTAAAGTTTCTTGAATTTATAGAGCTCTGCACTTTTGTACCTAGTTTGTCATTCACTGACTTTAGGCTTTTTTTAAACCACGTTTTTGTCCTTTATCCTTGAAGATTATGATAATGGCTAACTTTCAGGATTGTGAGGATTATAAAGCTGCTAGCACAATGCCAGTTCCGTACTATCTTGTGTTAACAGATGTTTAAATGTATGCTTTTCATTTTAGGAACTTAATAGAAAGGATATCCAAAGTGTTTCAATCATTTTCATTTCTTTTGGAAGATGTGGCAGAAATATCAGTATATTGGGGCAAGCTGGACTTCTAACTTTGATAAAACAAGGACTAGTCCAAAAGATAAGTATAGAATATGGAACATTAATGTGAGGGAAATACGATTACAGCTGTGCTTTCTAATAAAATAAATGGTTCCAACTGTTGAAAAATAAATATAGGGGTTATATATAAAACTTTAAGATAAAATAACTATCTATATAACCTGTAGTATATGTACAAAGATAAAGCTCCCCAGGAAACTATGCACAGACTCCTTGGTAATCACGTAAACTTAGGGTCACAGGATTCCTTAGAGCCTTTACTTGCTTTAGTTTCCCTTAGGCTCACCTTAGTCACTATCTGACTTTATTATTTTTAAATATTTATTGTCTGTCTGCCATGCTAGAATGTAGGATATTGATTTTTGTCTGTTTTGTTCATTGCTATTTATCCAGTGCCAAGAACAGTATCTGAGATGTCATTCAAACTCAGATATCTGAATTAATTGAAGGTAAAAAGTACCAAAACTTTTCCCACAGTAACAATGCTAAAATAATCTTACTGGTGGTCATTTATTTTCACCTCTTATTTGAATGTACTTGAACTAGGTATTTGAAAGGGGAAATAAAGTTATTCTATGCCTAGAATTAGGATTAACATCATTCATTCCTATTTAAACAGTGGGAAAATACAGTGAGTTACCAAAACACAAAACAATAATGATGTTTGAAAGCATAAATTTATTTTGGTAGAATACTGGAATTTTTATTTTTTTGTTATTTCTTTATTCCTAGGTTTACTATTTATACTAAGATAGATAAGTACAGTCTCAAAATTGAATTCAAAGTAACTAGTATATATGTTTTTCTTTACATGGTTACCTGGTTTGAAAAGTCCAAGGAGATAATTCTGAGTCGAGGAAATTCAAAAGATGAAACTCTTACAAATATGATAGAAGACTTACTTGATCTTCTGATGGTAAAATCACATTGATTAACTGATGCTATGAAGCATGTGTTTATTTAAAAACAGTCTGTGTTCTGTATGCCTTGAACCTAAAAGTCGCTGAAAGATTGGTTTGTGACCTGTTTGGATTAAGCTGTTCAGATTGTATAAAACATTTATCTTGAGTAATGTGATTAAATAATTAGTTAATATATAAAAGTTAAACAATTACGTGGTGACTTCAAATTTAATGTTATTTCAATACTATTTGTAATGGTTTATAATATAAGATAGTAAATTATAAATTAAATACTTTCACTTACTTTTCAGGTCATATATGACGTCAATGATGAAGGTATAATAATCATTTTATTTCTATGGAACAATAATTTGCAGTTAGAATTTTAGTATAATTTTGCAATTATCATAGTGTTTTCCTAATATTAGGAATTCATTATCTAATTCAGGGATCAACAAACTTTTTCTGTAAAGGGCCAGATAGTAAATATTTTAGGTTTTGTGGGCCAAGAAAAGTTGAGGATAACAAGACAGAAAACAAATTTCCACATATATTTTATGATGCAATTCAAAACAATAATTGAGTACAATGTTTTTGTAATATAGGTATACTAATAAGGAAAATAGCACTCTTGTGAGGGGAGGACATTTCACTTATTCAGGCTCAAAGTCAGTTTATGCTGTTGTCAAAATGGATTACAAATGTTTATTTGGTGCTGCTTCTCTGTGATGAGATTTTACGTATATTGCATTAGAAAATGTCTTTTCATGCAGATAATGACAAACACCAACATCAATTTGTAAGCATGATTTTTAATTGAACATGTTCATTACTTGGAAAGCATTTACAGAATTATATTAGTTTCTCTTCTTAGTATTTGCCTTTTGGAATGTCATTGTATTGCAGATTAATCACTTTTGATTGAAGGTTAGGTAAAGCTCCTCAACTGTACAATTAAATAGAGTTTTCCACAAGGGAATTTTCTCTTGCACTTACATCAGTGTCCAGTAATGCTGCTGGACCTGTAGTTGGAACTTGAAGAAAATATATCCCCTGTAATTTCATGTAGGAATGGAGATGTCACTTCTTGTTTTAACTCTCGACAACCCAGGAGGTACAGAAAGCAGTTTGGCCTTACTGGCAATGTAGATAACTTTAGTTTCATTGAAATAACTTTACTGAAGTACGTGCGTTTCTTACACAGCGTGATTTTGCCTTATAATTTTGGGATGAAGTCATTGAAAAAGAACTCTGCAGTGCAAGCTATTTACCAAAGTCATTCACTGGTAGCTGATGATGACTAAGTTTATGAAAGTGAATGACATTCACCTTGACGCTGCTGGTTCAATAAAACATGAGAAATTCAAATAATTTCGTAGAGTACTTGCTAATGAATAATACAGCCATACAGAAATAGGCAGTGAGTTAGTTCATGGGCCATGGTTTGCAACCCCTTGAGCTAACGGAACAAAATTTTCAATAGTCCGCGAGAAGTAGAACATGTTACAACTCTTCCTTTCACTTATGGCCAGCCAGTCAGTGTCTCGTCGTTAGCAATCAGTCCAAGTTATTTTATCTCTGTGTTGCTTGAGAAAGAATTACCTACGATTACTGAGACTGGTGAATTATTTATAAATAAAGAAAGCTGCTTTTTGAAGGCTGCTTTTTGCTGCCTTCAAAGCCAGAAGTTTTAAAGATCAATTGCTTTCTATTTCAATAGTAGTTAATGCTACTTTTTCAATGATTTTTTAGTGATTAGCATAACAATCTATTCTGAAATCTTACATTTTTAGAGGAGAAAACAGTCTGAAACCACCAATGACTATAAAGTGATGCAACAGAGTTCTGTTTTGTTTTTTAAGTAAATTATCATTTCTTTTCCCCTAATCAAGAGGCTTTTTCCCCCCCAATGTGATCACTTTGGAAGGCTCTGTTACAGTACTGCCATTATTTAAAGTTATTTTTTAAATTTGCATAATGAAATAGCATGTGGAAAATTCTTTTGAGTATATTTAGTGTTAATAAAGCCTGGTCTTTGAGAATAGGTTTGAATTTTGTGAGTTGGAGGGAGATTGATGGCCATTATGGAGTTTTTGGGTACGCCTATTAATGAGGCCGGTTTTCTAAAAACCTCGATATAAAAGTTTCTACTTTAGAATTGTATTCATTTCATTCACGAAAGTGCCTTATGTGCCTGAAAGGAGAAGCTGGATTTGGATTCCTTTGCCAGAATTGAGATCGGTCACATCTATTGAGTGGTTTTTTAATTCAAAGCCACATAGCTAGTTAGTAACGGAACCAGGACTGAATTTTATGCTTCCTGATGCCCAGGCCGGTCCTGTGGGCCTTCTAAACTGAACTAATGCTTCCTTTATAGTAACTCATGTAAGTGAAGCTTGTCATTTAAAGTAATTTAAAATACGCACTTATCAGTAATTTTAACACTTTTATTCAGGTAAAAAGCAAGTAATGGAAAGTTTCATCCCTCGGATTTGTGCCCTGGTTATTGACTCAAGAGCAAATATTTGTATTCAGCAGGAGGTAAAGACATTTGTTAGACTTTCTTTTGAAACCTAAAAATGAGAAAGTGAAGAAAATTTGGTAGCAGTTTATCAAAGTGAATAATCATTTTATCTTGGCACAAAATTGTTTATCATGTAGTATATATCTGTTATCTTAGCAATTCATTGTCTGACATGATGAATATGTTACCTATTTATAAAAACTTATAACTGTACGAGTTTATGTTTACATATATAGTTCATATGAAAATATTCCATTTAGACATTAGTGGTTTTTTAGAATTTAAATGCTAAAATAACATGTAATAGTCTATTGATGTTTGTACATTTGTATAACAAGAATAAATATTAATAAGGTAATATTTTTGCCTTCCCAGTTCTTAAAGTGATAATAAACATATGTCATATTGTGAAGAGTATAACTTTTAAATGTAGAAATCATGGTATATTCTTTTTCTGATACTGTGTTTCATGTTTTCTTATATTAACTGTTTTTTACTGCATAGTCTTTCCGCTACCCTTTTCCATTCCTTGCATAAAATGGTATGATTAAGAAGACATAGGCTTCTAAGTTAATGTACCTAGAATATTTTTCTAAATACTTAAGGATTTTCTTTTGTTTTTCTTTTCTAGACTCTAAAAAAAATGAATGCTATCCTTGACAAAATGCCTCAAGATGCCAGAAAAATACTCTTTACCCAAGAAATGTCAATTCTCATGTAATTATTTGTACTATATTGCTTTAATTAGTGGTTAAAGTCAGGAGTTTAAAGGATGTTTTATAAGGCAATAAGGCAACTGAGTTGCATTAATAATTAAAACTGATAAAACTTTTAGCTTTCTAATATAATTTATGGGTATATTTTCTGCAAAAGCACGTGATACTAGCCAACTGTAAATTTTAGTGAAGTTCCCCCCTCCAACATATGTGTTTTCTATTTAGTTGATACTAGTCTAGTATATAATCTGTTATTTTGATTCATAGGAACAGTATGGGAAAAAGGATTTTAGATGTTGGAGGTAAGTTTATTTCAAAGTGTTTATATTTGAAATCGTTGCAAATTTATGAATAGACAGCATCTTTTTAGTCAAAATATAATAATTAACATTGTAATGTAGTGAGATTATGTGAGGGAATTATAAACTAGATAGTCAAGCAATTTTAATTACTTGAACAGGTAATTAAATGAGAAATATTTGTGGGACCGAAACAACAATTAAGCATGACAGTAAGAGTTGTTAAGTATAATTTGCACCTAAATAATAGATTTATGAATATTAACTTAATTTTCCAAGGGATTTGAATTACTTTTGCTAGGAAGTTCCTCAAGTGGTATTTTATGAAGTTAGTAGGTCAAATTTCTTGGGATTGATAGATTTATTTTGAAATAATGTGTTTAATAAAAAACTCAAAATTTTTCCAAGTTTCATATGAGAAAATTTTGATGTAGTGATTTAAATATATCAAAGAATAAATCACTAGCTTAAATACTTTGGGATAACTTTAAACATCATATTACACAAAAGGAAAACAGGTTTTTTGATTTATAGACTATTACATGAGTTATTTTACAATTCACAACTCTGATAATAATGAAGTGGCATAGTGTTTGAATATTTAGGAATTTATTTTTAAATATCCTTTAAAAAATTATTTCTGTTAGTAAATTTTTTTTGTTATTTGGGTTGTATTCATTTCTATAATGATCTAGTTCTAATTCATATGAAGAAAAATGGCAAAAGGGAGTAAATTACCCTAATATTTTCTTTATCTTGCTTGTTTTAATACCTTATAAAATATATTGACTTTTATAAATTCTTAATTTTTAAATTTCAAATAATGCATTACCTCTTTTTTCAAGATTATGACTTACAAGTAGGTATCGTAGAGGCTTTATGTAGAATAACAACAGAAAAACAGAGACGAGAGCTGGCATGCCAGTGGTTTTCAATGGACTTTATTGCTAATGCATTTAAAGGAATTAAGGACTCTGAATTTGAAACAGTAAGTAGTATAAAAATAAAAAAATTAACAATAGTTTTTGAAAATTACTATGGTTTGTTAAAAGTCTCTCTTTTTTACAAAAATTAGGACTGCAGGATTTTTCTCAACCTTGTAAATGGCATGCTTGGAGACAAGAGAAGGTAAATTTAATGCAGATTATTTAATCTCAGGAATGAGCATGTAAGGATAGGTGATGTAAATTTTGATCACTTTGATAGTGACAGAAGAAGAGAATATTTGCAGTGTCAGGCACCTTATAGATGCTCAGGACTCACTGGATGACTGAGTTCCTGTTTGTTTTACCTACTAAGGAAATAAACGGGAGGGTGAGGGTTAAGTGCAAGGGATCATACCACTTGGATTTGAACCATAGTTTCTCTCTCCCTATTCTACCATTAATCAGATTATTTAACCTTACTTGCCTCTGTTTCCTTAGCTGTAATATGAGAATACTAATAATACATATTCAATGTTTGTTGTGAAGATTGAGATAATTATATGGTAGTAGTTATAATTGTATCTGACCAAGAAAGTGTTCACCGAATTCAGCTATTTTTATTCAAGTCTTATGCAGTTCTCTTCCCATCTAAGTCCTGTGGGAACTTTCATTGTATTACTAGTAAAAGCTAAAATAGGAATCTCTGCCCAGAGTCAGTAGCATGGAATGTAATATGAAACAGTCACTTCACTCAAAATGGTAGGTTGAGTAGTATCCTCAAAGTAATATGCTTTTTCTATAGAAACAATTTTTTATTAAACTTTTAAAAAGTAATAAAGAAGGAGATATGATTTTATTTTAATTGTTAAGACCACTTCCTGATTTTCTTTTAATCCTAGGCACGATTTCTATGGCTAGTCAAGCTTATGTTGTTGTAAAAACTGATTAATTTATTTCTTTACCTCAAACTTTTTATTTCAGGGTCTTTACATTTCCTTGTTTATCAGCATTTCTTGATAAATATGAGGTAAGTTTTAAATTTAACATGTTTTAGTTATTGAATGACTTTTGATGCAAGGGTGAACTACAGATTACAAATTGGCAAGAATATTAAACATAGTTATAATTATATCACAAATACAGCTGGTCTAGTATTCTATGTATAAGAGACATTTTATGACAAGACATATTTGTAGTTAAGGATAAATGAAATACAAAGACTGTATTTCAAATTTTATTGTTTCTTTAATCAAGCCCATTATTGATTTATCATTAATGAATATATTCAAAGTAATACTTTCAACCTTTATTGCACTTGGAATATTTGTGATTGCTTGGAGCTGGTTAATTTCTGTGTGTAATACTAAGCAGAATTTTTTTTATTCTTTCTAAACTGACTTAAATGCAATACTTGTCTCCTCTATCTTCCCTCACCTTCCAGCTATACCCTCTTCAAAAAAAAAAGAAAAAGAAAACTCAACCATGAATATTACAGGATTAAAATTCTCTCTTGTCACTGTTAAGAGCATAGGATATATTACTTTTATATCTTTATTTCATTAGCTGCAAATACCATCAGATGAAAAACTTGAGGAATTCTGGATAGATTTTAATCTTGGGAGCCAGTCTCTATCATTCTATATTGCTGGAGATGATGATGTAAGTTTTATTTCCTCTGTACTATTTTCTATGTATGTATATATAAGTGTCTTAATTCAATAAAAGAATATAGAATTGATTGTATATTTTTGCAGCCATTTTAATGTTTCAATGTTATCCCAGTGATTTTGATTAGCATGGTAACTAACATATCAAGCTAATTAGGAATGAAAACTATTTCTGATGTTTTATTGAAACAGGAAAATTAATGCTAAATTTTAATACTAGTTTTTTAACATAAACTTTTCAGAGATAAGTTACATGTTACCTTCAGATAAAATTTAACATTCATATAAATAAAGTGAATTGAATTTAGGAAAAAAACAAGTTACTCAAATAAGGAGGCACTCAGAAATAACATTAAGAAATAATGACGAATGGTCTTAGTCATATAACATCCTGTTTGAAAATAGTGAGGAGTTGACTCTCATGGTAGCATCTGGAAGTGAGTTATAGTTCTTTTCCTTCTGTGTGCTATATTGTAGCCATGTTCAAACCCTCCAACTAGGTGGTATATTTTCTACTGATCTCTTTCTAACCTGAGGAAAATTTTTGAGCCTTTGTTTCTAAATAGCTACTATTTAATATTTGATACTTGGGATACTTCTAGCTCAAACTGTGTGATCATTTTGCCAAAATCTAAGAGTTAATCTGCATTACTAATCCAATTGCTGCACCTGCTATTATAGTGAAGCTTTAGTCCTTTTAGTTGATGTCTTACAAAATCCTGCGTTCTGCGCCAGTTCAGCTCTCTCAGATGAACACTAACCCAGACGCCTCTTAGGACTGCCACACACTTTTATTTCTTTGTGTTTTATAGCGCCTTCGTAGACTGCGTATTTAAAACGGAGTCCCAAATGCCAGCGCTGCTTCTTGGGCACTGGCAGTTGTATTTACTCCTGCTGGGTTTGTAGGGATATTCTTAACTGGATTTTCTTCAGAAACTGGACTTCCATTTTGGGAGAAGAGGATAGAATTGGATTGATGTAGTTCCTGCCCTCACTCAGCGTGGTCTAGTGGATGATTTGGACAAGAAAATGAGCAATTATAGTATTAAACGCAATTGGGATAGTATAAAGTGCATTTACAAGTACTTAATGCCTATTATGTTCCAGAGGCTGATCTAGAGATGCTGGGAGACACTTCTTCCCCGAACTATGTATATTTAGAATCCCCTCTCCTCTGGTTTCTGCAGCAGTTGCACATCATTCCTGTGTTCTCTTACTAGAAGCCATGCCACATAGAGTGGCTGCGTAAATCCCTTCTTTTGCCTCTTCATCAGCCCATTTTAGGGTCTTCTACTTGCTGGCTCTTCCACATAGAAACTGCCCCAGATATTTGTGTCTTAGTTCCTTCCCAGGTAGATTACTGGCTTCCTTACTGAGGTGCTCTCTAAGGTCTTAGTCTGAAGTAACCTCCCAGCTGCATCATAACATGGTGTCCTGTTTTATTTTCTTTACAGTAGTTATGTATACTTAAAATCACTACATTTATTGTTTATTGCCTGTTTTCGCCCCATTGAATGTAAGTTTCATGAAATCAGGGACCCATCTTTCTATTTATAGCGATACATATTTATTATAACAATGCATAAACAGAGTATTCAAAGAACTGAAAGATATGTAGTATGGTTAGTGCAAAGAGTGCAAAGGAGAGTGGAAAGAGAGAAGGCAGTGGGAATCCAAAGAAGGGCTCTAAGTGAGCGGTGAGGACCACATTCTTGTTAACGATTCTCTGGGTGGGGACAATGGATTAAAAAGGGACGAGACTAGAAGCAGTTGGGAGACTTGCAGTAATCCAGGCGAGAAACCGTGGTGGCATGGTTTCAGAAGGGTGCCGTGGGGATGGGTGGGAACCGATGGGTTCCAGAAAAGCTAAGAGGAGGTGGCACTGAGCAGACTGGGTGGTTTGTGTGTGGGAAAGAGAGGCAGGATCAACCAAGTGTGAGTGACTGGGTGGTCTTGTCGCAGGAGGACGTTTTGTAGGGAAAATGACGGGTTCAGATTCGAGCGTTTTGGTTTGGAGATACTTGCGGGATATTCAGCAGAGGGTATGTGGCAGGCAGTTGGACATACTAGTCGGAGGTTCAGGTAAGAGAACTGGGCCACAGTGGAGATGTAGAAGCTATTGCCATATAGATGATAAAACCACGGGATTTAAAGAATGCCTAGATGACAGAACTGTGACAAACACAAATTTATTCAGGATAGGCAGAAGAGAGTCTGAAGGATACTTGAAGAATCAGCCAAAAGAGACCAGGTTAAAAGGGTGTCATGTTATGGAAGTCAAGGGGACAGTGTTTTCATGAGAGCAAATGATCAGCACTGTCAAAGCAGCGCTCTAAGTGAGAGAGCCCCCTCACTGCAGAGACAGGGGTTTAGGCGCTCCGGGAGCCCTGCAGCGCAGAGGGAGGGAGACGCCAAGGTAAGGGAAGGGGCACAGGCCTGGCGGAAGTGTGCTGTGGACTCAAGGGAGGGGTTTGTGTCAGGTGCTTTATTTCAAGGTCACAGGCTTTTTGAAATTGATGACTGGGGTGATAGAGAGGCTGGACAGAAGCTGATGCCGAAAGGAAGAGAGTATGATGCAGGGAGAGCGAGGGGTGAAGGTGACACAAGATGGGCACCGCGCATTGGCAGCTGTTGAAGCTAGATAAACACACCCTTTGGGTTTGTTAGGTTATGGTTTCTACTTCTAACAAAATCTGTTTGAAAATTTTAATATGAAAAAAATTTAAAGGAAGGAGTGACCCCGGTGCCTCCGTATACAGGAAGAGGCATTTCAAAGTCAGATGATAACAACCAGTAGGTCCTGGCACACACTCTATGGGCCTCGAAGGAGCACGTTCTTCACGGAGAAATAGAAAGCTGCTCAAAGCGCTGGCGGGGGGGCAGGGGGGATGATTCCAGCCCTTTGCCCCTGACCCAGAGCTTTCGAGGTACGGGACAGTCAGCACCTTAACTGGAGAGGGCTGTCACGGCAGGGGTGCCGTCAGAGTACGGGCTGGCTTCGGTTCAGGACAATCTCTGTAGAATGGGAATGAGTTGTCCTTTATCAACTAAAAAATCAGATCTATTTTTCTCACAAGATTACTGGAAAGTTTTAAGATCCCGTTTTTGAGGAATGGTATCTAATGTTTACTATGACTTTTTTTGTGAATTCAGTATTTTTCAGTTATACAAATGAATATACTTGGAAGAGGAAAAACATTTTAGATTATTACTAATGTACATTTGATGTTTTAATCTGTGGACAATAAGTGAGAATTAAGAAATGTGTATTTCACAAAACATTTCAAAGAAAGAAATTATAGGATTTGATAACTTTTATTTAAGAAGGGTATCTTCAATTTTTAATGGACAATCACTCTTTTTTGGTTGAGAATAGGACACCATAAAATTACTTCCATTTTTAAAAGTGAACAAATAGATTAAATGTGACACTTATAATGTATTATGCGGTCAATTGATGGAGCAAGAATTGTATTATATCAACTGGTTACTTAGTAATATATAGCCACTATGGTTTGTATAACTGAAAAATGGTGTTTAAAGAAACTTTAAAGAAGGAATAAATTATTCATTTATAGTCAAAACCTGTTTTTAAATTTTAAGGATCATCAGTGGGAAGCAGTCACTGTGCCTGAGGATAAAGTAGAAACATACAGCATTGAAGGTATTGATCTTTTCTAGAAGTCTCTTCTTGATGCCTGTGATACGGAGTAGAAGTCACATGCTTTCTGGGGAAAAAAATAAGCTAATGAAAGCAAAGTCAACATTTTCATTATGTTCACCATCCTAAATTTGTTACATTTCCCTCTTCCACAATCTTCCATCTTCCTCCGATACTTATTTCCTTTACTGTCTAATCTAAAATTCATGAATAATCACTTTCTTATTAATATGTTCAAGGTTCTTGCCCTTCTATTCTATTTGTGTGATTAGATCCAAGTATCTCAGTTATCTACTCCTAGAGCCAGAACTGCGTAACAGCGCTGGACAGAGCCATACCATTTGGCAGACTGGCATCACTACCAATTCAAACATCACGACATGCTGGTCATTTTAGTGGGCATGTTGTGTACATCATGATAGTTATTTGTATTTCCCTAATGAGCGGTTGATGTTGACCACTTTTTCATGTGCTTGGTGGCCATTCGTATATTGTCCTTTGTGAAAGATGTGTTTAAATATTTTGTCCATTTGTTTACTGGGCTGCTTATTTTATAAAGTTTTTGAGTTCTTATGCATACTAGATACCACTTCTTTGACAGATATATTTTCCATGAGTATTTTTCTCCCAGTCTGTCTTTTGCTTATGTATTTTCTTAATGGTCATTATTAAATGACCCTATTTTGCCTATGGTAGTATTCTTTGCTCTGTAATCTACTTTCTGTAATGTTAATATGTATGCATATACCCTTCCAGGTTTGCATAGGGTAGTTATAACATGGCATATATTTTTCTTAAACCTGTTTCTGTGTTTGTACATTTAAGGATCATCTATACATATATATATATAGTGGGTTTCTTGGAGGCAGCATATACTGGATCTTGTTTTTTAAATGTAATTTGTAACTTTTAAATGTAATTATTCATATGTTTTAAATTTACCATCAAGTCCTTGTTTTTTCTACCTGCCATGTTTTTCTCTTTTTCTTCCTTAATATTAATTGATTTTTAAATAATTTCATTGAACCTCTTCTGTTGGCTTTATACTCTTTTTAGCAGTTGATTTAGACTGTATTTGATACATCTTTAACTTAATAGTGTGTATGTTCAAGTAATATTATACCCCCCTATGTATAATATAAGAACCTTGTACTTCCAAAATAGCATAGAATGTTTCCTCACCCAATTTCTCTTTTTTTATTATGGTAAAAAAAAAATGCATAACATAAAATTTACCATCTTACCCTTTTTAAGTGTAGAGCTCAATAATGTGAAGCATATTCACACTGTCGGGAGACAGATCTCCAGGTCTTTTGTCATCTTGCAAAAGTGAAACTGTATCCATTAAACAACTCCCTTTTCACCCCTCTGCACAGCCCCTGGTGACCACCACTCCACTTCTTGTTTGTGTGAATTTGACTCTCTGAAGTGGAATGAATCTTAATCTCTAAAGCTTGATGACTTAATGTTGAAACGTGTGACTTTCTTTTCCCAAAAACAAAACCCCACTCGCACTGTTGGAGTTACAAAGTGTTGCCACTGTCTTCAAGCAACTAATAATTCTTAGTTAATCAAAGGACATCACTGTGAAAGTCTCATGACTGTTTGGCTGCAAACACAAGACATTTTCTGCTTGGGTTAGCCTCACAAGAATCAGAGTATTCTAGCCTGTTGGGTCATTTGTCCTTTAGGTTAGGTCACCGAGTGGCCAGCAAAGCTCTTTCTATTGTAGGGACAAATTTTTCTATTTGGCGTGTCCTTCTCCCTCAAGATATTTTCCTTCTGCCCAGAAGTATACACAGAGGGCAAGCGTAGGGTCTCCTCAGTCACCAAGAGGAGCACTGCTTGAGGTTGGGACAGGACCACGGTGGCCGTGAGTCCCCAATACAGGCACATGCACTGGGTCAGAGGTAGTCCTGTGATGACTTCTTGGAGGAAGGGAGGTGAATGCCTCTTATAAACTGGTGTTTACAGTCTTTTTTCCTCTGGATTGATAAATTCATTGAAGGAGCGTATCGTATGCTTACCTCACAATTCCCCAGCACTCATGTTTTCATCACATGTTATTTGTTTACTGTCAACATGTTTGTAGTAACTGTGGATTTAATAGAACTGTTTGAACAGATGATAATGCACAGAAATATGGTTATTTAAGGAATTAGCTATTTTTTGTTTGCTTCTTTTAAATTAAGAAAATAGTTTTCTCAGATGTGTTCAAGGGATAATTATTAAGAATCTGTTGGTGTCCAGCATGTATTCAGGCTTTAGTTCATTAATTATTGTATTACTCTGTGATTTATAGATCAGGAAAGTGAGGCTTTGAAAAGTAAATTCACTTAAAATTTTTTTACATAAATTGACTTTGTTTACATAGATACTATTAGAATTCATTTAAATACTGTTAAATCCTAAAAGTTAACTTTATTAAGTTAATTTTTATTAATATGCGGTATGCTTTTCTTATTTATAGTATACTTATAGGGTGGTATCATAGAAATGGATATAAAGTAATCAGTGTGATTTTGTATATGTGTGTACAGAGAGAAAATCGAAGAAGCTGCTGACTGTAATTCTGAAAAATATTTTGAAAATTGGTAAAAGAGAAGGGATAAAATTGCTTTTGTATTTTGATGCATCATTAGAAATCACTAATGTGACACAAAAAATTTTTGGCGCACATAAACATAGGGTAAGTGTTTAAATGTTTTTAATAAAAACTCATTTTCATGTTCTGGAAACTTTTGGTTACTTGAGTTTCTAAGTTTTATTCACTTCTTTTTTTCTAGTGTTCTTAAAATGACATGTAGATTTTTAGTTTTTTAAATTTGTATTGTTGTTAACCATCAGATTGTTAGCCATATCCTTTGACATAACTATTAGTAAAAATCTCAGATGACAAAATTAGCAGCAGCTACTCAAAATATTTAATGAATTCCTGCTAGGTATTTAAAAAATGAAATGAGACAAATCCCTATTTTCAACATGAAAACATAGTTTGGGAGAATTACAGGCTATACCTCCAAAGATGTAAGTAAGTGGCGTAAGGAAAATGAAGTCTAGAAGTTGAGGAAAGAGAATGCTCGTTAGGAATCAGATTTGAAGGAGAGGCCGTAGAGATGGGGTTTGACTGGCCTTCAAAGTTGATGGATAGAAGTAGGTCAGACCCTTCCCACGACTGTGGAAGAACTGTGAGTTGGATACTCTTTAACTGGGAATCTAAGGTGACAATTCATCCTGTGTTTGGGGGAGATATGCAGTTGACAAGTTTGGATAGTGTATGTCTTCGTTAAGGCTGCTGTAACAGAAATGTCCTAGACTGGTTGGCGCCAACAGCAATGTTTATATCTCATAGTTCTGGAGGCCGGGAAGTCCAAGATCAAGGTACCAGGAGATTAGGTGTCTGGTAGGGTCCCTTTTCCTGGCTCATAGCAGACTTCTTGTCACTGGGTTCTCACGTGGTGGGTGGAAGTGGGGAAGGAGGTCTCTTGCGTCTCTTTACTGGGCACTCATCTGCTCAGGAGGGCTGGGTGCTGGTGACCCCATCCCCTCCCAAAGTCCCCGCCTCCTGCGCCATCACTGCGGGGGCCAGGCATCCACACGAGCCGGGATGGGGGCCCATTCAGTCTGCAACGGTGCCAGAGGGTTATGGTGAAGACTAGCGGAGACGGTGTTTGTGAGGAGTCCTTACCAGAATGGCAGGCTAAGAAGTTCAAGTGTTCTGAGAAGGGTATTTATATGTGCAAAATTATGACTTGAGATAATTTGGCAATTTTGAAAGGAAACAGGTAGGAAATAATTGCATTAAAATGGAAAGGACTAGAAGAAAATGACATCACTTTGCATTACTTTAATTTTAGGAATTTACCAGAAAACAGGGTATTTCAGTTGCCAAAACATCTGTGCATGTACTTTTTGATGCAAGTGGATCACAGGTATGTATCTAACTCACTTAATTTTAATCATTGGGCTAAGTTTAACGCAAATAATAACACAAAGTTTATGCTGGAGGTTAAATATCTAAAAAATAAATCATTTTAACATGGATAGTGCTTCAATGAGATGTATGTGATTTTTAAACATGTTGTTAATGATGATTTATTTTAGTACAGAAGGTAGATGTTCTTAATCAATACTAGTTTTGGTAAGCTTAAAAATTAGAAATAGATGTCCTACTAATGCAAAAACTTGTGTTAGGTCTATTAATATTTGAAAAAGTAGATGCTTTTAGTTGGGTTACTTTGTGAGACTAAAAATGATAACAGTAGGTAGAAGACGGAAAGAATTGACCTTTGGAAGTATGAGATGAATGGCCGCTTTATTAAGACATCCAGTGGTTTTTGAGGATGTCCTATGGTTTGCAGTTTTAAGTATTTTTTCCATATTCTCCTACAGATTCTAGTGCCAGAAAGTCAAGTCTCACCCGTTGCAGAAGAACTCGTTAGTTCAAAAGAAAAACCTAACTCCCAAAAGGAATTTGTTAAACCTCAAAAACACATCCAAAACAGTACTCAAGGGGATGGGAAAAATAGTCAGCCTGAGGTAAATGTGGTGTCTAAATAGTTGTCCATTAACAAAATACATCAAATTGTTGCTGCGTATAATTACAGGGGCAAAAAAAGCCTCTATGACAGTTCAGGGGACTTTTCCTGCCTTTTACAAACACAAACAGAAGGTAGTGTTTTCGCAAATTGCTTGTACATGTAAGGGTTAGGACAAGGTATACTCTACACCTGGAAATTCTAAATTAGAGACGTTTAGGAAAGTAACGACCACTTTTCCACATAACCTTCCTGTTCTCCGTTTCCCCCTCCTGCTCCACTGAGGATCTCCTCTGGGCCGGATCCCATAGAAGCATTTCTCAGCCTTCTTTGTCATAACTTGCTGTGACACTTGAGACACTGCTGACAGTCCTCTGTGCCTTAATGCCCTCCTCTTGTTTGACTTGTTAGTGCTTTAATTCTCTACCTCCTTCTATTACTATATCAGAAATACTCTCTCCCCACCTCCTGAGAGTAGATTTGCTCTAGAAGCTTCATGCCCAACATCTCTACGCCTTCTCCTGTAGTGAGCTGCCTTCCTGTGCTTAATTTAAGCCCCTAAAGTTCTATAGCTACCTCTCCACTCACTGTTCTAACATTTCCTCCATATCTCTTCAAGCCCTTTCCTGAAGTCTGACAGCAAACTGTTTTCCTTTCGCCTCAAATTTGCATCTGCCTCCATACTCCCATAATGCACCACTGATGACGTCCTTGATTCCAGCCTCCTCTCCCCTGACTCGGACCAGGCACTGGTGACTGGGTTCCCATAGTATTTCCCACATCCCCTCCCCGTCGTCTCCTTCCGCCGCTCACTTCAGCTCACCATACCTATACCTAACACAGGAACCTCTGAACTCGCCTTTACAACATTGTTTCCACTCATTTTCCTTAATCTTAGCTTTTCTTTCTTTGCTCAGAAAACTTTGTGATCTCTGTTTATCTTAGTCCAAACTTTGACTGTTCTGAGACTACAATTTTACTTTATCAAAATGTCCTTTAGGTAGGTCAGTTGCTTCACGCTGTCTTTTTATGTCATGCTCATTCTTGCCTTGATACCTTTATTTATGTTGTTTGTTCTTGTTTTTACCTTTACTCATCTAATGTGTACCTACATTTTAAGTCTTGGTTCATTTTCACCTTCTTGAAGCTTTTTCTGATTATTTTGGTATTTATCAATTTCTCACCTTTAAGCAACTATAAATCTCTCAGGCTTTTCCATACATTTTTGTCATGTTTGTCACAATTTTTCCTTTTTTCTCTTTAATCTTGTGTCTGTCCTTAAACTAAAAATGGCACCTTACATTTCCCTCAGATGATTAGGTCATAAAAGGCATTTCTGTGTCTTTGTATCAGAATTGTAACTTGAGTACTTATTTAAAATGCAGATACTTAGGCCCTCCACCTATTCCTTCTGAATCATAAAGTCTGAACACATTGCACTATTGTGAAATAGCCACTATGTTTTCAATAATTTCAAAAGATAAGGGTGTTTACTGTGGTTATTTCTCATGGTTTAAGATAATTGCTCCTCGCAAAAGAAAAATGTCTGAATCCTCAATAAGGAATCACTGTTAAAAGCATTTATATGGATAAGTAACTTTCAGGTCCCATTTGCTAATACCACTATGTACTGCCATTTTTTAAGAAGAAATTATGGTCCAGTAGCTTGTTTTACTTTAATCCTCCTCTGAGGATATGCTTATTGATTTTAGAGAAAGAGAGAGAGAGATCAATGTGAGAGAAACACCGATTGGTTGCCTCCCAAATGTGCCCCAATGGGGCATTGAACCCTCAACCTTTTGGTACATGGGGCGACACTCCAACCAGCTGAGCCACCCGTCCAGGGCAGTAGCTTGTTTTCTGCTTAACCTTAGAATTCCTTTTCTCCTGTCCTTCACCACCTGTCCTCCATGCCTCCTGTGCAGACCTGCACAACACTCCATCAGTACTTTTTTCTGTCTTAGGTGCAGGAGCCTTTTTAAAAACAGCTCTCCTCTGTCTTTATAGTTCGCCACCATCTACTCCTTATATGGTATCCGCTGACACTCCTGTCCCATGTGGTCTCTTCCTCTGCTCTCTACTTCTGCAGCTCATTCCAGGCATTCCAGGATGAAGTTAAAAATGTAGGTCTTCATTGGGACCACTAGGTGGTGTGTCATTGAGATTCTGAATTCCTGTAGCTACTTTTTACTCCAAAGGCAGTTTAGTCTTCACAGAATATTAATACAGTTTTTTAAATGTGATAAAGTTTTAGATGATCCTTAACATTATGAAAGCATTCACAAACACGTTTACATAAATATGTATCCAAACATCATGTACATGAAATAGAATAGGAAACCATGAGCCATTGCTTAACTAGGTAAACCCAGTATCAACTTAAAAAGTTTTTTTTACATGTCTAGATGTTCTATAAATGTTCTTCTACTTTTTTTTTATCCTCACCTGAGGGAAGGGAGGGAGGGAAGGAGAGAGAGATGGGGAGAGAAACATCAATATGAGAAACAAGCATTGATTGGTTGCCCCTTGGCCATGTGCCCTGAGTGGGGACTGAAACTGAAACCTAGGCGTGTGCCCTCACCTGGAATCAAACCCATGACCTTTTGGTTTACCCAACGATGCTCCAACCAACTGAGCCATACCAGCCAGGGCTATAAATATTGTTTAAAACAATATTCCTTACTTATTTTGGCTACTTGTTCAATATCAAATATTAGGATAAAATCCTTAGTGAAAATTCAGCCTAAAACAAGAAAAACGTCTGGGTATCGCATTGTTTATAAAATACCACACATCTTTTGTGTATAGTCAGGGTGAAATGTTATGAATAAAAATTGTAGGATAGTCAACTTCAAAAGGTACTGTGTGTTTACTGTGGTTGTTTCTCGTGGTTTAAGATAATTACTCCTAGCAAAAGGAAAATGTCTGAAGCCTCAATGATCGTTACTGGTGCAGAAAGGTACACCGTGAGAAGTCCGTTACTTTTAATCAACACATGTGAGTTCTACAGTCTTGTAAAATTTCTATCAACTGTTATTATATTTTAATGTAGACATTTTTTAATTCAGGGATATCCTGGGCATCATTTACCTAGAGGATAAGGTAGGGACATAAAAATTGAAAACTCTGAACCACAAATGTCTTCTAATTGTCAAGAAATTTCAAAGGCCTAACAAAGGTTTAGTGGGTATTGACATATAAATGTCACTCAAAATATTAATATCCAGCCTTAATAATTTATTGTAATTTAAGCGGGAGCGGCATAACGTAGTGGATAAAACACTGAATTAGTCATGCCACCTGGGCTTGTTTCCCACTCCCAAGTGTGTACTTGCAACAGATTGTCCTCTAGCTAAGTTTAGAACCAGTTTCCTTTCCATAAAATGGAACTAAAGTTTGTCTATCTCATCAAGTTGTTTAGAGGTTTAAGTAAAAACCATTCATTCACATGATGTTTGGACAGTACCTGGTACATACTAAGAGCAAATGGAAATAATCTGATACTGATACTAGTTGCTACAAGCATCATCTTATTTAATCTCTATGACAATTTAATAGTCGCCCTCTGTTCCCTGAAATCCAGTTGCCCACTGGGCAGTTGTCTAATGTCCCCAGGCTCCTCAAACTTAGCAGTTCCAAGGTAAATTCATCTTTTCCACACCTCCCCGCCACCTTCCCACCAACTTTTTTCTCCATTTCTTACCGCAGTAAAGGGTATCCATATTCACTTACTCATCAAAACCAGAAACCTGGGACCCACCTTAGAACCTCCCTCGTTCGCCTTCCTCATCTAAAGAGGATCTCAATAACAGCAATATACAACTTTAAAATCCCACAAATGTACCGATCCTTTGTCCTCCCTTTTAGCAACACCGCGAAGAGGAAGAGTTAAACCACCACTGCAAATGATGAGTTCTGCAGAAAAACCTGGTGTTTCTAAAAGAGCGGAAAATGAAGGGGACCATGCGACGTCATATCAGTCTAAATCACCCGCAGGAAGAAACAGAGATGATACCGACAAAGTAACTTGACTTTGAAAGCATTTTATAAATTTTTTTCAAGTTATTGTAGAAATACATATTATGCTCACTTCTTTCATAGGCAGCAAACATCTCACTTTAAGGCGCTGCTTTCTTTCCTTTTTTTTTTTTTTTAAGATACCATTTGTTGTCCTTGAATGTAAGGTCATTGTCAGATACAACTCATTTACTGTGCTGACAATAAAATTTAGGACTATCCATTCAATATGACTCTGATTTCTACATTTGGTAGAATGGACTTACAATCTTTTTTTTTTTTTTTAATCTTCACCCAAGGACATTTTTTCATTGCTTTTAGGGGCAGGTGGGAGAGAAACATCAATTGGCTGCTTTCTTGTGCATGCCCCAACCGGGAATCAAACCCCCAACCTGGGTGTGTACCCTGACAGGGGATTGAACCCGTGACCTTTCGGTCTATGGGATGACACTCCAACCAACTGAGCCACACTCACCAGGGTGTCATTCTTTATATAAATTAGCGTCTGCTATAGGGACGGTTCTGCTATATAAATATGAAATACAAGCGGAGCTTGTCATTAAGTATCTCCAAGTCTAGCATGGGACTTAGACAAATTAATAAGATCTCTATAACATTGTATAGGTTTTCTCAGATGCACCTATGGGATGCAGTAGGAACCTAGTGGAGGGGCTGGTGCCTAAAGCCAGAGCTGGAAGGGGTGGTTGAAGGTCAGGAGAGGCTTTTTAAGGAGACAGGGAAAGAGTTATTTTTGAAAGGTAAATAAAGGTAAACAAGTGGATATTATGGACAAGGGCATCATTCCAGGTAACTGAAGGGACTTTGCAGGGAATGGATAAGAGGAAGTTGTTCCTTGGAGAAGCAGAAGGTAATCAGAGATACAGATAAGTCTGTAGATAAAGAACACCTAGAAGGTTAAGTTTCCGGAAGTGTGAGGGTGCTGAACCGCTCCTGGGGATGAGGTGGTGTCGAGGGCTCAAGGACAAGTCAAGATCTGGAGCCGCTACTGAGAGGCAGTGGAAGGGTAAGAATGAGTGCAAGTGTTAGGCGCTGGGGGCGGCAGGTAAGACGTTACCTGTGCAATGACCAAGGCTTTACAAAACATTTACTGTTTCATAATTTTCAGCTTCTCTATGTGTATTAGTGAGAAGTCAGAATAAATACACGTTATCAGATCAAAACAACAGGAGGTGTTCCTTGGAGGGTCTAGAAATTGTCAGTTAGAGAGGAAGATCGAATTATTTTACTAGCTATGGAGAGATCAGAAAATTTGTAGCATCTTCTGCCTCCTCTGCAGTGAAAGTTATCTTATTGTAGTTTAGGATAGGAAATATTCTAACATGGGCACAACCTTAATGAAATACAGTTGACGCTTGAACAACACAACTCTGAACTGCACAGATTCGCTTGTACATGGATTTTTTTCCCAATAAATACTGTAAATGTATTTTTCTCTTAAGATTTTCTTAACATTTTATTTTTCTCTAGCTTTATTGTAATAATATAATATATAATGCCTTTAGCATACAATATATGTATTAATCAACTGTTTATGTTACCAGTAAGGCTTCCAGTTAGCAGTGGGCTGTTAAGTTTTGGGGAAGCCACAAGTTACACGCAAATTTGACGGTGTAATGGGTTCACCTCCCAAACCGCGCCCCCCCATTTTTTAGGGTCAACTGTAAACAGAAATACTATCTAGCTTTTAATAGCAAGGCAGATTGATTTTAAAAGTTTTAATCTTTAATACTCTGACTTTTAAAAGTTGTTTTCATGTAATACCTTAATTCAAATTTACATTAACATGTCTTCTGTGTTTATAGCATATCAAAACTGCTAACGTTGTAGAAAAGACAGAAAATAAGGACATTGAATTCCTAAACCAAAATTTTAGTAAGTACTTTTCAGTTTAATCTCAGGCACGCTTATAAAAAATATATATACTTCTCTCTATTCTTCCCTTTGTCTCACTGCCTCTCGTTGATTTGAAAAAGAAAGATTTCTAATAAGTGTATTCGGCTTTACTCAAGGAACTTAGAGTTACAAGGAAATATAAAACAGCCTCTGTTTCCAAGTAGTTTGGTTTTGAGAGGGGGAAAATGGAATCAATTTCTCCATCCCAGTATGTAAACCTTGATCAAAATGTATACCAATTTTACTTTGCCAATTGCATGAAAATACCATAATTTTTGTTTTATTTAGATGAACCTCAGTATATGGTTCCTGATTCACAGGCAGTAAGAAAAATAGATAAATCTATGTAAGTATGAGAAAACCCATCAGATCTTTCAGCATATATTGTTACTTTTAGATGAATGTAACAAATTTTTTTAAAAAAGGCCTTTATAGTCTTAAAATATATTATTGCTTGTAGCATTGACCATCTCTCAAGTATTATGGTAGCGCACTGGGGAATAGTGTATGTTTTGTCCATATCAACCAACATAACTCCTTTCAAATTGAGACTTAAAACGAATGAGATTTTAAAAATAATAAAGTATGAATGTAAAGGAATTTAAACTAGTTTGGGAATATATAAATACAGTAGCAACAATAGAACTTTTTAACCTTTAATCTGCTCAATTCTATGGTAAATTTTAACTTTCATAATGACTTATGAAAATGCTTTCCTACTTGATTGTTAAAAAATTGCTATCAATAAACATTGATAAAACTTTTAAAAATCAAAGTCTTATGTCAGTCATAGCTAATGTTTTGTGCTACATTAAGCAAATGAATTCACTTTCCAGGTTTCCTGGTGTTTCATACAACAGTCATGGAAATAAAACACCCTCTAAGTGGGCATGTTGGACACCTGTAACAAATATCAAGCTATGCAATAAGCAAAGAGCAAGCGCTTCTTCACAAGGAGATGCCCTTAATCAAGGTGAGGCGCAACAGTTGGCCCTTGAACAACCGGGTTTGAACGGAATGGGTCCACTTATATGCAGATTTTTTCCAATAAATTTTGTGAATGTATTTTCTCTTCCTCATTATTTTCTTAACATTATATAATACACATTGCATACAAAATATGTGTTAATTGACTGTTTATGTTATTGGTAAGGCTTCTGGTGAGCAGTAGGCTATTGTTAAGTTTTGGAGAGTCAAAAGTTCTACGTGGATTTTTGACTGTGTGGGATTGGCACCCCTAGTCCCATGTCATTTGGGGGTCAACTGTAGTTTGTATGTAACAGTAGTTCATGAAAATATTCATTTCTTGAAATGTTTGACAATATCTTTGGTTTTAACAAATTTTATGCATTATCAGTTTATTAATTTATTAAAGATTAATTTCCTTTTCCCACTAGATGTTGCTATCAACAAAAAAATTACTAAACAAAAATCATCTTCTTCATTATCTGATGATAACTCCGAAGAAACAGGAAAGGTGGACTATAGGAAAAAAATAATGCAGCATAACAAAATAGATAAAGCAGAAGATGACATTCGCAGAAGAAACAATCAAGTAAATCAACATTCAGAGCAGAAAAACATTGAAAATACTGAGCAGAGTGATTGGCATATTGAATCTGAAACTACTTTTAAGTCAATTCTCCTAAATAAGACAGTTGAAGAATCTCTCATCTATAGAAAGAAATACATATTGTCAGAAGATATGAATACTGCTCTTTGTGATAAAAGCCCTTCTCCTGGTAAAAGCCTAAAGAGTCATAGAAAATCAAGGAAAAGATTAATGTCTGAGCTTGATTCCTGGGAACGGAAACAAAAAACAATGGTAAGCTTTCAGTGTGTTTTATTTCTGCGTACCCATAATATCCTACTTTATAACATACGAAAGTGAAGGCAGCTTGATTGATCACCGCAAATTAAACACTTGTAACGCCTAGTTCTTTAACACAAACTCAGAGTCAGGGCCTCCTAAACCCACGCACCTCGCTCCAGGCCTGGCTCTGATAAAATACACGCGCCTGCAGGTGCATAGCCGGTATGTACCCAGGTACCGCATGAGTGAACCCTGGGTGTGAGTTTTAGTTCTCTAGTTACATTAAATTTTCTGTTATACATTTTTTAAAGTTTACAGGTGAAATTAATTTTAGTAATGTATTTATTTGCAGTTACAGTTGACATGCAGTGTTACATTAGTTTCTGTCCTGTCTCTTCTTGTCGGGTCTTAAACCATATACTCTTTTAGGGAAGGTTCATTTTCACTACATTTTAATCAAGCCAAATAACCCTTGTTTTCATTATGGTAGTCTTCAGAAGGTTAATAGGGAAAACTTTATTATATACTAAAAATATATGAACTTAAAAAAGGTTAAAATAGTAAACTTTATGTTGCTATGTTTATATTTATGCTGTATTTTATTAGAATTATAAAAACCCATATGCCTGATTCCCAGAAAAGTGGAAACAGCATCAGGAGAACTTATATCTTTAAGAAATATTGGTAGAGTTTTCTAAACTTTTGCAGATAATAATTCTTTGTAGTTCCAGTTTTAAAAATATTAATACAATTTTCTATAGAAGTTTTAGGTATACAGGTGAACAGTTCCCCCCGTCATTAACATCTTGCATTCATGTGGTACATTTGTTACAAATGATGAGCCAGTGTTGATACATTATGATTAACTAAAGGCCATAGTTTACATTAGAGTTCACTCTGTATTGTCTATTCTGTGGGTTTTCACAGATGCACAGCAACATGTATCCACCCCTACAGGATCAGACATAATAGTTTCACTGTCTAAAACTCCCTTGTATCCCGTCCCTCCCTCCTTCCCTTCCTTCCCCCAAACCCCTGGCACTCATCCTCCTTTTTACCAGCTCCATTGTTCGGCCTTTTCCAGGGGGCCGTACAGTTGAGATCACACAGTATGTAGCTTTGCAGACTGACTGCTTGTACTTAGCAGTATGCACTGACCATTCTTCCATGTCTTTCTGTGGCTTGACAGCTTGTCTTTTTATTGCTGAATAATGTTCCATTGTATGGATGAACCAAGGTTTGTTTATCCACTCACACCTTTTGAGGGACATTGTGGTTGCTTCCACATTTTGACAATTATGAACAAAACTTTTATATGCATTTGTGTGTAGGTTTTTGTGGGCGTAAGCGTCAGTTCATTTGGGAGAACACCAAGGACCATGATCGCTGAATCACATGATAAAAGTGTTTCGTTTTATAAGAAACTGTCTTACACAAGTGGAAAAAGTGGCCATGCCATTTTGTATTCCAGTAGCAATGAATGAGAATTCCTGTTGATCTAAATCTTTGCCAGTATTGCCCTGGGTGGTGTGGCTCAGTGGGTTGAGCACAGACCTGCACACCGAAAGGCCATTGGTTTGATTCCTGGTCAGGGCACATGCCTGGGTTGTGGGCTAGATCCCCAGTTGGGAGTGTGCGAGAGGCAGCCAGTCGATGTGTCTCTCACATATTGATGCTTCTCTCCCTTTCTCCCTCCTTTCCCCTCTCTCTAAAAATAAATAAAATCCTAATAAATAAATAAATCTTTAATAAAAGTGTAAGTCCTTGCCAGTGTTGTTTGTTGTGTTCTGGATTTTAGCCATTATTACAGGTACTTAGGTATCTCGATTTAATTTGCAGTTCTCTAGTGACACATGCTGCTGATCATCTTTTCATATACTTACCACCTATATCTTTTGTTGAATTGTTGATTCAGATCTTTTGCCAATTTTTTAAGATGAAGTTCTTTTTCTTATCGTTGAGTTTTAACACTTTTTGGGTATAATTTAGATACAAGTTACTTATTAGATATGTGTTTTGCAGTTATTTCTCCCAGTTTGTGGCTTGTGTTTTCATCCTCTGAAACAGTCTCTCGCAGAGCTGATGTTTTTAATTTTAATGAAGTCCAACTTACCAATTTGCTTTTTCATGGATTGTGCCTTTGGTGTTGTATCTAAAAAGCCACAGCCAAACCCAAGGTCACCTGGATTTCGCCCCCCCCCCCCCCGTTATCTTGTAGGAGTTTTCTAGTTTGCATTTTATTTAGGTCTATGATCCATTTTGAGTTAATTTTGTGAAGGATGTAAGGTCTGTGTGTAGATTTTTTTTTTTTAAGCATGTGGACATCAGTTGTTTCAACACCATTTGTTTAAAAAGACTCTTTTCTCTATTAAATTACCTTTGTTCCTTGGTCAAAGATTAGTTGACTGTATTTGTGGACTTATATCTGGGCTTTGTTTTGTTCTGTTATTCTGTTGTTTACTCTTTCATCAATACTACACTATCTGATAACTTTTTAGTAATTCTAAAAGTAGGGCAGACTTACACAGTGTCAGGTCTCCAACTTTGGTCTCCTTCAATAGTGTGTTGGTTATTCTGAGTCTCTTACTTATCCACGTAAACTTTAGAATCATATTGTTGATAACCAAAAAATAACTTTCTTGGATCTTGATTACCTTGAATCTATAAATCAAATTGGAAAGAACTGACATCTTGACAGTACTGAGCCTCTCCATTTATTTAGATGGTGTTTTATTTTTTGTGAGTCATGTGGTTTTCCTCATACAGATCTTATGTATTTTTTAAATATTTATGCTTCATTCCATTTTGGGGGGTGGTAATGTAAAGGGAATGTAATTTCAAATTTCAATTGGTTGTTACTGATATATAAGAAAGTGATTGGCTTTTATCCTTTTACCATATTAAAATTGCTTTTTAGTCCCAGGAATATTTTTGTTGATTCTTTAAGATTTTCTACATGGACAGCAATGTTATTTGTGAGCAAAGACAGTTTCTTTCTTTCCAATCTGTATACCATTTATTTCCTTGCTCATCTTACCGCATTAGCTAGAACTTCCAGTATTATGTTAAATAGGAGCACCAAGAGAAGATGTCCTTTCCTTGTTGCTGATCTTAGTGGGAAAGCATCTAGTTTCTCTCCGTTAAGTATGATGGTGGCTGTGTTTTCTTTTTGTAGAGGATGTTCCCCTGTAATCCTAGTTTTCTGAGATATAGGATTGAGGCAATTTTTTGGGGTCATCTATTGATATGATCATGATTTTCTTTATCCTATTAATATGATGGATTACATTCATTTATTTTAAAAAGTTGAATCTTGCTTACCTGAAATAAATTCCATTTGGTTATAGCAGGCAATTATTTTTATACATTATTGGATTCCCTTTGCTAATACTTCATTGACGACTTTTGCCTCTATGTTCATGAGGTGATATTGGCTTCATAGAGTGAGTTAGAAAGTATTCCCTGTGCGTCTGTCTCCTGGAAGATTGTGGGAAATTGGTATAACTCTTTCTTAGGTGTTTGATAGAACTCACCCATAAACCTACCTAGGCCTGGTGCTTTCTGTATTGAAAGGTATTGATTATTGATTCAATTTCTCCTCTGAGTTTTTGTAGAATTTTAAGGAATTGGTTCATTTAATCTAGGTTATCAGATCGTGGGCACAGAGTTGGTCACAGTATTTATTAACCTTTTAATGTCAGTGTAATCAGTAGTGATAGCCTCTTTCATGTTTGATATTAGTAATCTCTGTCTGTTACACCTTTCTCTTTTTTTCTTAGTTAACCTGGCTAGAGGCTTGTCAATTTTATCAGTCTTTCCAAAGAACCAACTTTTAGTTTTTTGTCTCATTTTTGTTTTTCCATGGATAGAAACTTTTAAAAAGTCTTATCTACAGAGCACTGCGCACAGATCTTTCTACATGTTAAATACGACTTATCCCGACTTGCTTTACTGCCTAACAAAGCCCAAAATAATTTCTGATACCCTTTAGTTCCCTTTGTGGTTCTACACAGAGCCAGATTTTTAAAAAAAAATTTTCAGCCACTGTTTTCATTTAAAGGTTAACTTGTAGAGTTTTTAAGTAACTTATAAATTGTTTCAGAGAGAAAAGTCAAAAGAGAAAGCACTTAATAATGCAGCAGATTCCTTGATAAGCCAAATTAATAAGCGATACAAACCAAAGGATGATATGCCGTCTACAAGAAAATTAAAGGAGTCTTTGATTAACAGGTATGTTCTTAAATTTTAGACATGAATATTTTTCTGACACACATAACTAAATTATTTCACACTGTTTTAAGGTTAATTTTCAACACATTAAAATAATGTCATTTCCCATTAGAAAACACAGTTATTTACTTTTATATATAGCAGCTGTTTAAATTAGAACTAAATTTCCCATTAGACATTTAAAAGGCTAGCTCTTTTCTTCTTACAAAATGTTTTTATAGGATGCCTGTTGGTTAATTCACATTTACATTTATTCTGGTCTTATTATAGGGCAAGGAAGAAATTATTCTTATGGCAGAACCATTCCATTTAAATTGTTTGGTACCTCCTGCTACATGAACTGACTATTATTGTTGCTGTTTACTATTAGTGAAGTTGAAAAAATATGAGACTAGTGCTGTCACATTTTAGTTATAGCATTTTTTGAATATGGACTTAGTAACCTTACGTAAAATTCCTTTTTATGAAAAACATTCTACTGATATTTAATTGCTTTTATAATTTTGACAAAACTTTTTTTATAGGGGTTTTTCAAACAAATCCGATCTACAGCTCAGTAAGGTAGGTGTCATTTATTTACTACAGCAAATATGTGTGTGCTCACGCTTTATGATCATGGACTATAAACACTAAAATAGTGGTAGGAAGGATTTAATGTTTTGGCATATTAAAAAGTGGATTAAACTACTGACATGTTTAGTGGCAAGTACTCACAGCAGCCCTCTAATCTGCTTTTCAAAGCAAGTGCTCCATTACATATGCGTGTGATACTTTTACTTTTTGGTTCATGATTCAGCATATCTTTATCTCCATTTTTTTCTAGCTACTTCTCTCTCTCCTGACAATTAGATACTTCTTAAATCCCTATTTTTGTTAAAAATGTTTACTTACCCAGGCTTAAAATATCAATTATCTTTTATTTATTCCTCACAGTTACTTTCTCCATTTAATTTCAAGTTTGGAGATTGACCTTTTGTAAGTTCCTCTTGAATCTTCCCGCTCCTGCCTATTCCAGCTCCTGTTTTTCTGGTGTGAGTTCTAAATTTCTAATCCCTGGATTACTGCACTAGCCTTCATGTCAGTTTTATTGCCTCTAGTATTTCTTTGTGCCAGTTCATTCAGTTCAGCTGTTTTCTTTCTAAATTGCACAGCTTCAAGCTTGTCATTCTCTTGTTCAAAACTTTTCTTTGATCCCTGTTGCTTATTGAACTGAGTGTGGAAAATTAGTCTGGCTCCCTAGTCTCTTTAAAAGTCAGTCTTGTTTCCTAATATTTAGTTTCCTGGCATGTTTGGTGTAGCTGAAATATAACTTGAGATTTCCTGAAGTGTTCATTTTCTTTTTCTTCCACCTTTGGAAAGACCTTGGAACTGACTCAGCAGGCTCTCACCTTCTTTTCTGATTGTGAAAACTTTATGCCTCCTTGAAAGAATTACTTGAGTCTACCTTCTTTACAAAAACTTCCCAAGGTGCCCCGATTCAGAATCCAAATGATCAAGAATTTTGAATCTGCACAGTAATGTCTTTTACCTTTTTTGGTATTTTCCTCACTATTGCAGTTCTTTATTTTTTTAACACTTCAGTCTTACCAGAGTGTAACTGTTTAGAATCATCTTTTATCTTGTACGACACCTTTGCTCAGTCTTGTACCTTATTTAATATCTTTGCTCATTTTTATATCTTCTGTAATACCTAGCACACATTGGCATGCAAAAGATGAAATGAACAAATATATCTGAACACTGGTAGAAATCATACTAAGGTTAAGTCAGATAAAGTGATCAGAGAAGTAATACAGTGAGAGAGAAATTTTTTGGAATAACACAAATCTATATAAAGTAGCCAAAAAAAACTCCCTAAAAATTAAAGGTTAACCTGGCCAGGTGGCTCAATTAGTTGGAGCACTGTCCTGTGCACCAAAGGGTCGCAGGCTGGACTCCCAGTCGGGGCACATGCCTAGGCGGCAGGTTCCATCCCTGGCTGGGCACACATGGGAGGCAACGGATGGACGCTTGTTTCTTCTCTCCTTGCTCTCCCCGTCCCCCCTCACCTTTACTCTCTCTCCAAAAGCAATAAAAACATATCCTCGGTGAGAATTAAACACAAACAACTACTTAATTAAAAATTTATTTGACAACTTCTCTGCCCTCACTACTTTTTGATGAGGTTGAATATATTTTGAGCAGCAGGCTACAGGAGTAATCTTACACATATTTCCCCTTAACAGTCCTAGTTGATTAATATAATTTTGAGTCTTTCACATGAGATTTTACATAAACCTTAACCTCTCCCAGAGTTTTTTTATTTAAGGATTTAAAGCAAATGAGTGTGGGGAAACAAGTGCTTTGTGTGTGTGAGATTCTAGAATCACTAAGATTCAATTTGTAAATACCAGTGAGGTCATTTTACCTATGTAAAAGAAGGTATTTGATTTATAATACTTCCCATTATGTTTTTAGTTAATACTGAAGTCTTCAATATTTTTAACTATGGATATGTAATACTATTATTTAAATAATTCACATTAAGGAACCTGTTACAAGTGTAAAACTTATGTTAGTAGAAAAACAACTAGAAAATATATGAAAATTTAATTGCATATGTTATTTGCCAAGTGTAGGAATGTACAAGTTTGAATGGTTTTATGTAAACTTTTGTATTTAGGAAAAAGTTCAGAAAAAAAGTTATAGACAACTGAAGACTACTTTTGTTAATGTTACTTCTGAATACCCACTGTAAGTAATTTTTTATAAATTTTATAATTTTCTTCATATTTGAAGAAAATAATTATATAATACAGTTAACATTTCTCTTCATTTTTACAGGAATGATGTCTATAATTTTAATTTGAATGGAGCTGAGGAGCCTATTATAAAACTTGGAGTAAGCTAGAAATCTGTAGTTATTTTATATTTAATTTTTTTTGTATTTATCATGCAGTCACTAGAGTGTATATCTTTTATTTCCACCCTTATAGATATGCTTTAAAATATTTAAAATATATATTCTTTATTTTTATTAAATGTAGTGGAGTAATATTAGTAACATTATGTGAACGTCAGGTGTACAACTTTGTAGTAAAACATTTGTACAGTCCATTGTGTGCTCACCACCCGAAGTCTAGTCTCCTCCCATACAGTTTTAAATATTTTAAAATTTCTGTGGCACCGACATAGGTGTATGTGATTTCCTGCAAGTCCTCTGGACTGAAGGAGGGGAAAATGAGTACTTGGGACATGGAGGGACTCAGACTGCTTCACCAAGAAACTCACTTTTCTTAGATACAATTTAAATTTTTTACAATTGTTTTAAAATTTTAAAACGATTATTTATTTTATTTTTAGTATATTTTACAGTACTAGCTTTCTTAAATATGAAACCATTTTAGTAAGCTTAGTTTTATTGTCACATCTTATGGCTACATGAAGTGACAGAAACTAGACTTTGTTTATTTTAGTTTTTGTTTACCTTATTTTGACACTAAAAAAATTTTTAATGCTTATTCACAATATAGATCCAGGAATTTCAAACTACAACTAGAGAAGCCTGCGTGGATAATTCAGTGAAATCGTAAGTGTTTTGTTACAATTAGTTGGATCAGACTAAAATACACTTATCTCAATTGTCCTTTTTCTTAAATATTTCCTCCCAGTTTATCTGCGAGTTTTTAATATATGAAAAGAGTGAATTAAAAGGCTATTGTTATGATTATTGCCATTATGATCCTATTATCTCAGCATTTATAGTTGAATCACATGGAAGTTGGGGCACAGACCCTCCATGTAGTTAAAAATTTGTATATAACTTTCAACTCCCCCAGAACTTAATTACTAACACCCTACTGTTGACCCAGAAGCCTGATTACGTAAATAGCTGATAAACACATAGCTTGTATGTCATGTGTATTAATAGACTGTATTCTTACAGTAAAGGAAGAGAAAAATGCAGTTGCAGTATTGAAAATAATCTGTGTATAAGTGAACCTGTGTAGTTTAACAGTCAACTGTACTTCTAAAATTAATAATGCAGATTCTGTGGACTTTTAATACTAGTTATATATCTTACATGAGAAAGCTGAAAGGATTTAATGGTATTTTTATCTAACCTTGTAACTTCATAATTAACTGAGGTCAGAGAGGAAAAGTCACTTAGCCAGCATTATATAGTGAGTTAGTAGAGGGTAAGGCTGAAAACCCAGGTCTAGCTGTCTAGTGCATGCTACCTGAAGAAAACAAGTACTTACAATAAAAATTAATTAATGCATACAATAAAAATCAATTAATGCATATTTTTGTTTAAGGGTTGGTTTAAGGAATCATGATGAACTTGAACCGTCTCTCAAAACAAAAGATAAAAGAGTAAGTTATAATATCCTGATGTCCATTAAAACTAGAATTTCTTTTGAATAACTTTCCAATATCAAAGGTTATCACAGAACTGGAAAACAGAAATTGGACCATTTTTCTCCTCAGAAATTGTGTTCTCATTGTGACTTTCCTAATGGTCTCCGAGCTACTGTGATCACCTAGTGATACACAGGACAGCTTTAGTTCCTTCCTTTGATGGGCACAGGTTATGTTTCTTTGGAAGTAAGCTGTTCTGATTTAACCTTTAATTAACAACGACACTGACAGCAAAATACAAGTCTTGCTCTCTGATTTCTGATCTAGATGTCCAAGCAGCTTGCTTGGATGGGTCCCTAATGCCAGCTAGATTGGTATGCTAAAAGCATGAGAAGTTTTTCTGGTTTTTTGGTGGACTTTTTTTTTTTTTTTTTTGGCCAATCTTACTTTGCATGATATATAAGGCACAGTTCTTCATCTTTTACAAGGATTTTTTTTTAATAGATTGTAACAAGGAATAAAAACAAAAACCTGTTTAGTGATACTGACACAGAATACAGATGTGAAGACAGCAAGACTGACGTTAGCTGGCTAAAAGAACCAAAATCAAAACCGCAGCTAATAGAATACAGCAGAAATAAAGGTGTGAAGAAGAGACAGAAAAGTGGGAAATCAAGTAAGAAATCACTTCATAGAGAAATGCTGCAAATGATTTCACTGTTTCAGCTATATGAAATAATTTGTTGGTTGATAAGTATATTTTTGTATGTGGACAGTATTTTTAATGATATACCCTTGTGAATAGGAAAAAAGAGTGAAAACAAATACGCAAGCACCACCATGGTTTTGCTTTTTATTATTTTGGGTAATATGGTTATATTTATATTGCTTCTTTACAATGGGGTCTTAGGGATATAAAATGTGATTTATCATAATCTTTAGGTCATGGCCTACTCTCATCATTTGTCTATTTTTGGCCTTGTTATGCAGTTATTAGGTATTTATTGTGATTAATATATTAAATACTCATGAACCCAACACCCTTAACAAAATCAAAGCTTGGATAATATCTGCATCCCCTGCCCCACCAACACACTTACTTTTAAAGAATTCATATAGATGCAATAAAAATAAATTGAAAGGAAAACAATTTTCTTGCAGAAATATTTTGCCTAAATCTCACAAAATGTTTTCCTAGCGAGTAGCTTCTGCTTTCTCTAAGCAAATCTCTTGATGTTTACTAAAACAGATTTTATATATCCCATTTTTAATAGAAAACAACATAACTCTGAGCTATTAAACTTATATTTAAGGAAATCAGCTTTTTTATTGTTTTATTTTTCAGTTACAGTTGACGTACAATATTACGTTAGTGTCGGATGTCCACTCTAGTGGTCAGGCATTGTATCACTTACTGCAAGACCGCCCTTATCAATCTAGTACCCATCTGACACCATGCATACTTGTTAGACTATTACTGACTATATTCCTTATGCTGTACTTTACATCCCCACAACTATGCTGTAACAACCAATTGGTACCTCTCAATCCTGTCACCTTTTTCACCCTTCCCTGTAATCGCCCTCTCATCTGTCAACTGTCACATATTTTTTGTCTGTGATTCTATTTCTGTTCTGCCCTTTTTTTAGATTCGTTGGTGGTTAGATATGTATGTATTGCCATTTTATTCATATATTTCATCTTATTTTTTTCTTAAAGACAACTCTAACATTTCGTGTAAAACTGGTACGGTGGTGGTGAACCCTTTAGTTTTTTGTCTGCAGAGTTCTCTGTGTATCCTTCAATTCTAAATGACAGCTTTGCTGTGTAGAGTGATCTTGGTTGCAGGTCCTTAGTTTTCATCACTCTGAATAGTTCTTGCCAATCCCTTCTGGCCTGCAAAGTTTCTGTTGAGAGATAGAGCCTTAAGGGAGCTCCTTTGTAGGTAACTGCTTTTCTTTTGCTGCTTTTAGCATTCTGTCTTTAACCTTCTGCATTTTAATTATCATGTGTCTTGGTGTGTGCCTCTTTGTGTTCATCTTGTTTGGGACGCTCTGTGCTTCCTTGACTTGTCTGTTTCCTTCACCAGGTTAGGGAAGTTTTCTGTCATTATATTTTCAAATAGGCTTTCAATTTCTTTGTCTCTTCTTCTTGCAGCATCCCCACGGTGCGAATGTGGTACACCTGAAGCTGTCCCAGAGGCTCCTTACACTGTCTTCATTCCTGGGGCTTTTTTCCTGGGAATCAGCATTTATTTTATTTCAGGGTAAAAATAACCAGTAGTGACCTGTGGGGTGGGACAGGAGTGATGGCTTAAAAAGAAATAGAGACACAGAAATGAAGCATTGACTGTGTTTAGAAATGAGGCTGAATCTTGAAAACAGGTGAGAGGCAAGTCATATATGCATGAGGAAAAGCAGCAGCAGAATTATCATATATAAGAGACACAAGTATGAAATAGCATGTGTTCAGGGAACACAGTGCTGCAGTAATTAGAACATACATTAAACATGTGGGAAAACGTCCAAAGGTGCAGCTAGACCTGGTCATAGTGAGTGGACTTTGAAGCACTGGAGAAATGCAAGATTCACATGTGCTCTGGGAGCTTACAGTCTAGTGGAAGGATGGACAAATAAAGGCATTTATAACAAAGTAGAAGATCAGAGATCCTGGAGCAACATGAGAGGTTAGAATACTATAGTCAGTAAGTACTTCTGAAGTTGAACTTAAGAGTGAATTGTTTAAATGGCTGACAACAATGTCTGAGCTGTCTTACTGCCAAGAGTTGGGGTTCTTTCTTCCAGAACCTCATGGCTTCCTTTGCTTGGATTATCCCACTTCTTAGGCTTCAGAGAATATTTAGGAAGTTGAAATTGTGCTTGAAAGGCAAAAAAGGGGATTAGGGACTAAAGCTACTTCCAAGAATGTGGATAAATCTTAGAAACATAATGAGTGAAAAATAAAGCAAGTCATAGAACATTACTTATGACATGATTCTGTTTTATAGAGTTCGTTATATTGTTTGGGGATACATATCCGTGAATTAAAACTTTTTCTGAGATCAAATAAATGAGAAACAGATTTCAGGATAGTGATTACCTTTCAGCAGAGGAGATATGGAGGATCACAAAAAATACACATAAGTAAATTCAATGTTATTCACAATCTAGTTCTTAAAACTGAATGGTAGAATCATGGGTATTAACTTTATAACTTACATATTTTCTTATATGCTTAAAAAGTTTTACAATATAAAAAAGGGAAATTAATTCATATCAAATATTATAGTTCAAGTTATCAATGTCCACAGCCTCAAATCATCTTGAAATTTAAAGTTAGAATGAGTTTAAAGATATATTCTTATTTTTTCTATGATTTTAACATATGCAAAACCATTCTAATATGTTTTAATGCCAGTTTTTATCCATGAAAAATTTAACCTTATTTTCTTAAATTGCAGGACCATCTTTGGAAAGGGAACAACCAAGATCTAAAATGGTAAAACTTGGAAGTTTGTGTTCAGAGATCCCTTTAAAAATCATTTTTCTCCTTGTCATGAAAAAATTTGTCATCTCATAGTTTTATCCTTGTTATCAGTTACGTGTTTCCCATGATTTAGTGTTTGCACCCGTACTTTTACCTTCTGCCTTTTTGAATCATGTTAGTCTGTTTTAGGTCTATTTTATCCCACGCTGATAGGTATTTTTGATACCTCTTTTTCTTGTCTTTTCTCTTTTTATAAATCAGGCCTCTCAAAGATTTAATGACAGGGATGGAAATGTGACAGAGAAGATATCTGGAATGGAAATATAAAGTTCAGTCCTTTTTAAAAAATATATAACTAGGAGTTTGTGCTTCTTAACCCCCCCTGCTTTGGCAACCACCAGTTTGTTCTCTATGAGTTGCTTTGTTTCATTTTGTTTTTGAGATTCCATATATAATTGAAATTATATGGTATTTGTTTTTCTCTGTTCAATTTATTTCACTTAATCTCTAGGTTTACCCATGTTGTTGAAAATGGCAAGATTTTTCTTTTTTTATGGCTAAGTAATATTCTGGAATATCCCAGTCTTTTAAAAAATTCTGTCTCTCCAGTCATTTTTAAAATATTAATGAGGAATCCTTTTATTTCTAGAAATACTTTATGTAGGTGTTATCACAGTTTCAATTTTATAGCAAATAATTTGTATTTCTTGTAATTCAAATATTGATATAATATTTAGGAAATTTTCTCCCAAAGGCACCCAAGAAAAACATCACCAAAAAGGCAGGTGAGATCATTCCAGATGGGAGAACCAGACATCCACGAAGAGCAGCAAACACCAAAAAAAATTATAAAGATCTCTCAAATTCAGAATCAGAATGTGAACAAGAAGTTTTACCGCCATTGAAAGAGAAAGTGCTAGTAAAGGTAAGTAGAAACAATTCGGATTAGGAATTTTTAAATGCCTTTTAAAATACTAAATATAGAATATATTTTTGTAAAAATGTTAATTTTTTCTGTTCACTTTTTAAGATTTAACCCTCTATAAGAAAACATATGTAAATTATAAAAATTGATCCTTAGGTAATATGTTAAAATTTGCAATGAGTTGGCATTATTGTTACAAAACCAGTGTGTGACTCTAGCAGAATTATAACTTTAATATCCTTTTTGCCCCAGCTGGTGCAGCTCAGTGGATTGAGTACCAGCCTATGAACCCAAGGGGTGCCAGTTCAATTCCTAGTCAGGGCACATGCCTGGGTTGCAGGCCAGGTCCCTAGTAGGGGGTTGCATGAGAGGCAACCACACATTGATGTTTCTCCTCCCTTTCTCCCTCCCTTCCCTGCTGTCTAAAAAATAAATAAAATCTTTAATTAAAAAAAAAGACACCGTCCTTGAATTAAAGTACTTGATCTTTCCAAAATTATGCTTCAGGAAAGCGCACACTGTTAGGAAACTGTGGATCTCCCTTGACTGAAAGTAAAAATATGGGATCTGAGGTTCTTGTCATACGCTGTTCCATCGCTGTCCGTCCCTGACACTTCCCTTCAGCCTTGTAGTGTTACAGACATCCCTACCCACCTGTGCTTTAAAGTTTATAACAAAGGTTAACAAAAAATAGCGTTAATAATGTGCCAGGTACTATCTGAAGTGCAAACAGCCCTCCTCTTTCGGTGGTTCAACTTAAAATTTTGTGACTTTATGGTGGCGTGAAGTGGCATCAAGTAGAGCCCATTCTTCAAGTTTTAAACTTGACATTTTCCCAGGCTAGCGAGCCACAGCGCCCGGGCAGGCACGTGGTTGCCAGGGTCTGCGGCCCACACCGCCATGCGCTGTGCTGCCAGCGCCTCTTGGATATTTCTTTCTGAACACAGTTAAGGTGGACTAGACTAACGAAGTTCGGTAGGTTAGATGTCGTCAATGCATTTTTGACTTAACCGTATTTTCCACTTACATTGGGTTTATCGGGACCTATCTCAATGTAGATCGAGGAACATTTATACCTTACAGGATTTTTAAAAAGAAAATATCTTAAGTACTATAGCGACGGCACTATTACTGACATCTTATTTTACAAATGAGAAAACTGAGGCTCAGGGAGAGGGAGGAACTTGCCCAAGGCCAGCACAGGCCGGGAGGGGCGGGACAGAGGCTTGAACCCAGAGTCTGGCACTAAAGGTAGGTCTCTGGACGTCACACTGTTCTGATTTGAAGTCATTAAACCTCCACATCCCCTTGTTTGGAACCTTGTTATCTCTTATGTGGAAGACATTAAGGACGTCATAACTTGTCTCCATATCTCCTATCACCTCTTTAATTTATTACGCATATAGTGAGGGAAGTCTTCCCAGACCACCCTCGTCTCTTCAAAAAAAAAACCCTGGAATATCTCCATGTAGTCAGATACTCAAAGCATCAAAATACCTTTGCAAGCTCATCCCCCCACCCCAGTACACCTCCAGAGCTGGAACAGGCAGGGTCCCCTGTGACTTCCACACGAGCACGTGCTGCTCTGCTCTGCGTGTCCGCTGTCCTCTGTTCTCTCCGTGCGCTGTCCCTCGCCACCTTCCGTCGCAGACCTGGGGCTGTGGGATCCAGGACCTCTCTCTGCTTCCCCTAAACAGAATGTCATCTCTTTTGAACCCTCCGAGTGTCGGCTCCTCTCTCTCACAGTATTCATTATAGTGTATGTATTGTACTTCTGGTGAGTTTCTAGTGTATTAGCCTTTCACTGCTCATAGTGTGCCCCTTGCTGTGTAGCGATATAAGACATTTCATACAAATTTCGATGTGATTTAAATAGTTTTATGTGCCCAATTATAAATTCCTCATATTCTAGTATAATTTGAAAGTTATCAATGCATTTAGGAGGAGAACACCTTTTCCAGAAGCAAAACCACGACGCTGCCAAAGAAAGAGCAGGGCGCTTTCTCTGCCGAGACCCAGAAGGACGTACCAAAAGACAGGGCAGGTGCCTCGCCGCCAAAGGAGGCTGCGGGAGACGCCGGCCTCGGCTCGCCTCTCGTGTCTTCACTGGGGAGTCCATCATCTATAGAAGTAATGAGATGTCAGTATCTTTTTTTTCTTTAGTTGAATATGCAATAGTTTTTATTACAATTCTCATATGAAAATATAACTTGAAGACTCATTTGAGGGATGTATTAAGAGTATGGGCAGTCAAAAATTTTTTTTTAATTGATGCTCAGAACTTGATCTTTGCTAAGTTGACTTGGAAGCAGCGTTACTGAAGTTCGCCCTTGTTCTGTCCGCTCCTTCAAGGGTGCTTTAAGGCATTTCTAAGTGTCCATCCTTTCAGTTACCATTCAAGACCTACATGAGTAACACACGTACTTCCTCTCAAGTGGCTATTCTTTTCTAGAATATTTTCATTGTGCTTGCGACCATGGTCACCTCGGATAAGCACATACTCACAGGTGCCCATGCCTTGATTTGATATGAAAACTTGAGAATTCATTTACATTAAGATTTATTGCATTTATGAATTTCCTCATCTCTACATGAAGCGATTAGAGCAAAGCCTTTGCAACCATGAAACTCAGACGTTACGCTGTGACAGCGCTGGCTGTGACGTCGGGGACTCGGGTTGCTCCGTTAGTGCAGCGCCCACCGCAGGGGATTCTGTATGAAAATGTTTTGAATGTTCTTATAGTTTTCTTACATTTTAATTAGAATGTAATTGTAACTATGAGAACATGTAATATTTTTAAAAGTCATAATATTTTAAACACAATTTGGTCTTGATTTAGTGGTGAAAGTTTATCCTTTTTAAATAGGGTAAGACGAGTGGACTTGATAAATCATACCATTTCTAAAGCAGACATCAGTAACGCCTGCCATCTCTTTTTTGTGTTTTGTGAGGTAATATAGGTACGGAGGAAGTAACAGAAAGGGATTTCACTCAGGATCATGACTGTGTAACAAAATCCATATCATCTAATGCAAGAGCCTCATCACCTGAATCCTTAAACAGTAAATACAGAGTTGGAGAGCCAATAAAGTCACCAAAAAACAGGGAGAAAAGTTTACTATGTTCAAGAGAAAGTTGCTCACCTCTTCCACACTCACTCTCTTCGGTAAGATTGTATTTTCCTTGGTCAGGTGTATTTGAACAGGGGAAATCACTCTCTGTAATCAAGCCCACAGTGCTCATCTACTTGGCTTAAGGCTTTGTGTCTGGTCGGGAAGAGGGGACCTACTGGCCAGCAGAGCAGCCTCAGCGAGTGGCAGAGACTGCGGAGCAGGAGGAGTGGGAAGTGTGGTGCAGCGGATGTGTTTCTGCTGGGACAGTGGCTTCTGCAGAGGGGCGCGTGCTTGCCCCTCAAATCCCCGTTTACTCTCTGGATTCGAACAGGCTTCATCCTCCACCAGCGCTTCCTTCAGATGTTACACTAACTCAGAGTCTGTACCTTTTAGTTACTAAGTCACTAAATGAAAGGTGACAAAGCCAACTGACAAGAATTGCAGTTGAAAACGGTATGACTATAGCATTTGCTTTAGAGTTTTGTAAGGAACCTTAAAACTGGTAGGTAAATGGTATGAATATTAAATTTAATATATTGAAAAATTCCTTTCATGTGTTGTTATATGGACCATGTCTTAGTAAAATATGTAGGTAGGCTCAAAAGTCTTTTAAAAAGACATTAGAAATAGGAATCAGTTATGGGTTAAAGTGAGAGAGATAGGTAAAAATGCAATGTCTACAAGGAATAGATTTGTATTGAGGTGTTTGTTTTTTTTTAAGTTGTGGATACTTTGGTATCAATTTATAACCCCGCCCCCCGTTTTTGCTTGGGTCGTACGGGTGGCTTAATTTGGAGACTTCTGGAGTAGGAACCAATCCACATAGCTGATTGCCAAGCTACGAGAGCTCACCGTAAGTGGGCACAGCTGAAAAAGCGGTGAGTCGGCCAGCGCTGCAGTCAGATCCCGCCCCGCTGCTGCCGCCTGTGGGACATCTCGCCAGTTGACGATCCCCTCAGCAGCTGTTTTTCCCATCAGTAAAATGGGGCTGTGAAAAATTAAACAGGCTTTCACCTGATACCTTGTAAATGCTCAAATATTTACAGAGTAAATTCTCTCAATGCGCAATTACCTCTGTATACAGAGATTTTTTTTGGGCTTTCTCTTTGCACATGGATAGTGAAGTAGCGCAACATCACGCTTGGCCCACCCCGCCCCGCCCCGCCCCCGCGTCCACCATTTGTACCACTAACGCGGGCGCAGGTTTGGCCACCACTGGGCCAGCTGTGAGCATGGCCGGCGAAACACTAACAGTGCTCCACGGCGCTTCAGTGAGTGTGGTTCGCCCCGCTGCACCTCGCCTGGCCTGGCTCTCTTACTTCCTAATTCTGTTGGCCCTTTACTTGCCCATATAAATTTTAGAATGTTTGTCTAAGGAAATAATTACCATTTCCCAGTATTGATATTGAGCTTTCTCATCCACATATTTCGTTTTTCTCTGTACTTTTTGGTCTTATTTCCAGTAACGTTGTACCAGATCTTCCACAGAGAAAATAGTACTACTTGTTAGATTAATTCCAAGTGTTTTATGGGTTTCCTTTTTACTGTATTGAAAAAAACTTTTAAAAAACTTTTCTGGGTTTACTTTTTTGCTTTTGTGTAAAAACACTGTTGATGTTTTCTACCTCCAACAACTTTGACAATTCTACCAGAATCGCCCCCTAGATTCTGCTGGATTTTCAACAGAGACAGTCATAACCTGTTGTGCACGATAACTTCGCATTCCATTTCACGCCCCATACGTTCCAGTCTTTGTTGCTGAGGTGACTGCGCCCCCCTCCGGCGCGATGTCAGGCGCCAACAAGCGGGCAGGCTTAGCCGCCGCTTCGGTGAGACGCCTGGCATCAAATAGATGTTCTAGTTTTCTATGGGCTCTTATTTTTCTTTTTAATTGAATAGGCATTGAATTTTAGCAGCAAAGGAATTAGTACCTCGAAGTTTAAAGTAGTTTTGGTTTACTTTTTGGGAACTTTAATTTTTTACTTTGAGTTTCTAGATGTCTTGTTTACTCATAGCCCAGGTAAACTCCTATTAATAGTAATACTATCGTGAAAGGAAAAAACAAATTCTGTGGTCCTTAAACAAGAAACACAAAATTGCATTAGCTTTTCAGATGTAAGCAGTTATGGTTCAGGAAAAAACTGTTCATGGAAATTAAACCTCCAATTAGCAATGAAAATTACATACAAAGCAAGAGAGAGATCTGTATCTATGGTAGTAGAGCATCACTTTCTTCAAGTTAAGATGCTCTGGTAAGAATCGATTACTGGCCTGTAATAATTATCATAGTATTTTAATATTTCCAACTTATTATCTGTAAATGTGCTGTTTAAAGTATGTAGGATAGTGTGATCATGGAAAAGAGCTGACATTTTTAAAATGGTAAGTAGCAAGGTCTTACATAGTGAAGCTAGAGCTGCTGAACCACCTACTTGCGTATTTATAACTAGGGCTTTCTGGCTTCATGATTATATAGAAATTTGGTTGAGCTTTTTGTCAGTATAAAAGTTCATCACTCCTTCAACAAAAATATTTTAATAACCTGAAAATACAGAAAGTGAAGACAGTATTTCACAGCGCAGAGAGGGCTGGGCTCGCCCTTGACCTGAGCGGAAGGGTAAAGGGTGGGCGCTCACAGGCCAAGGGAGAAAGAGGGGCCCTCGAGGTAAAGGAAAGGCGCTGGAAGAAGACACCCATGTTCACAAAACAGGAAAAAAGCTCATTTAACTGGAAGAAAAGAAACCTGTATGTTAAAGCAGTAAAACATGAGGTTAGATGAAAAAATATTTTTTAAAAGTGTATTTTATTGATTATGCTATCACAGTTGTCCCATTATTTTTCTCCTCTTTCCCCCTCTGCCCTGCAACCCCCACCCCCTTAGTTCATGTCCATGGGCCGTACATACAAGCTCTTTGGCTTCTCCATTTCCTATACTATTCTTTTTTTTTCCGATGCAAATGGAGAACTTTGATTGCTTAATGTCTTACATTTTTAAAATTTTTGTTCAAGTACAGTTGTCTCCATTCCCCCCCCCCCCGGCCTCCCACCCTCAACCCTACTCCCCTTTGGCCTTGCCCATGGGTCCTTCGAACATGCTTCTTGATGACCCTCCCCTTCTTTCCCCTGCTACCCCTCCCCTCTGGCCATTGTCAGTTTGGTCTTTATTTCAGTGTCTCTGGTTCTGTTTTGCTTGCTTGTTTGTTTTGATTAGGTTCGACTTACAGGTTAGATCATATGGTATTTGTCCTTCTCTGCCTGGCTTAGTTCACTCAGCATAATGCTCTCCGGTTCCACCCATGCTGTCACGAAGGGTAGGAGCTCCTTCTTTCTTTCTGCGGTGTAGCATTCCATTGTGTAAATGTGCCACAGTTTTTGGATCCACTCATTTACTGATGGGCACTTAGGCTGCTTCCAGCACTTGGCTATTGTAAATAGCACTGCTATGAACAATGGGGTGCACAAGCTCTTTTGAATTGGTGTTTCAGGATTCTTAGGGTATAGATGTCTTAAACGTATAGATTGAAAAAGAGTTTAGACTTTCATTTTCTACAATTCTCCATTTTCTGACTCAAAGAAATCAAAATCCTAGTAAGGAGGAATTGAAAGCAGGAGCAGTCACAAAAGCCAGCTGCAGAGTATCCCTGTGACTTAAGGTGGAGATTTGCCTAAGAACTCAGGTGACGTGCAGCCGTGTCAGAGAGGAAAGAGGGGCGGGGAACCGCCGCAGAGAGGGAGGGACAGCACAGGCAGCTCGCCAGCTTTAGGGCTGGAGAAGGCTGCGCAAAGGCGAGTCAGAGCGCTTGTGGCATTCTTCCAATTTCTGGTATGTACTTCAGGGAGCTCCTTCAGCATCTCCGGTGTCCATGTCCAGTGAAGGGGGAGAGAAAATAGGATGCGCCACGCCCGGCGACCCTGCTCACGGATCAGGTTTGTACTCACAGCCTCGCTTTGGTTTTTAAGTCACTCACCAGAATGATATATTTTAAGTCATACTAAATTATTCAAGTTCGCTAATGTCAAAATGAAAATAAGGAACTAGATAGGATTTAATGCACAGTTGTCTAAAATGATGTAAATAATTAACTGAAACAAATGTTTTTTTCCATAAAAGCAAGAACATCTTAGGTCATCAAGATTATAACACTATTAATCATTTAACTGTCCCTCAGGCCCTACACACCATCTTAGTCGCAAACGGATGTACATAGAAGATGAAACAATTAATCCTGACGAAATAAGAGTGGAAGAGGAAGAGGAAGAGGAAGGGAGAGCAAACTTGCTTCCCCAAAAACTGTCTAAAATTGAAGATGGAGATCACAAAAGTACGTATAACAAATGCATGTGTCAAAATGAAATTATTTGTGAAGGTAGTTTCTTAGATGTCGAATGACTCCACCGAACAAATCCCTTTGTACAGACACCTTGGGTTAAATCCAAGGAGGATGCTGCTTCACTGCCACGTCCGCCTGGCGTGAATAATGCAGGGGGGCCCTTTTCACGCATCGGGACCCCTTGGCTTCTGCTCCCTGACTGCCACACGCAGGCCACGGTGCTCAATGGCGGGCTTACCAAGAAAGTAGTGTGTTATTAAATACTTGGGTTCCTAACATGAAAGTAGCTAAAACCAGTTACAATAATCTAAAAACGTTCCATTTTAATGTGACTATTACTGCTTTAATACCCAAAAGGTTTTTTATAAAACTATTTTTAAATTAAAAAATAGGATGATGTCTGTGCCTTTCATTTCATAATCCTTAGATTACACATAGAGCCTGAAAATAAGATTTTGTTCTCAGCCTCATGACAAGTAAGGATAAGGTCATAAAAATGAGTATTTTAATTTTGGCTGCTATCTTCATTTTTTAGCGTCTGAAAGTACATCTTCAGTATCAACAAATGACTCTTCTTTTTCTGGGAAAAACTGGGAAACTGAAGTTTCAGATGTAGGCATGGTGTGTGAGCAGTTTAATACAGAATTTAAGAAGAAATTTAATGTGAGTTATTTGAATCATACCAAATAACATGATAACACACCATACTTTCCCCTAGACTATCCCCTTGTTTGACCTTTTGGCAATGGAACGCCCATCCGTGAGCCCGGTCCTCCCCGCGCCCTGGCGAACACCTTCTGTTTCACGAGGGAGCTTCTCCTCCACGCTCTCTGCATTATCCCTCTCCTTTTTCTACACGGCCTTTCTCTTAGTCCTCTTTTCCTTTTTAACATTTTGACTCTTCCGTGACTTCTCCTCCTTTATGATCTCACAGGGGACACAGCTGGTGGGGGCACTGAAGGGCGGGCGGCCCGCGCCAGCGCGGTCCCACTTCCCCGCGGCTTGACCAGCTCGGTCCTTCCGCGCCCTCAGCTGCTGAGGTGCCGCTGTGCTCCCACCTGGTCTACCCAAGGCGGGCCTCGCCTGAACAGGGAAGCCCTGGTTCTCATACCGGGTGCGGCAATAGTAGGTTTACAGATAGGTTTCCAGTCATGGGCAAGAGAAACACAGTTTATTCTTGCATTAGGACGTTATTAATTAGTGTATTGTTCTCCATAGGAACTGTAAACCTACTTTTGCCACACCCTATATTGTTATGCATTTGTGGCTAGATATAATTATATGTTTTTGTGAAAAATGGTAATAAATAATTGACTGACTGACTTTGAGGCCATGTTCCTGAAGAGAACTGTAATCACGAGCATCTTTAAAAATATTGTAGTCTGGTGTCCTTACGAAAATAACTAGTTACCAATTCAGCCCTTCATCAAAGTCTTTCTGTTGGAACCAGACACTGCTCTTAGCTTACTTATATTAACACTTTAGTTGCAATCACTCAGTTCTTAATTTTACACTTTTCTAAGTTCTTAGTCCTTTACACTTCATGGAAAAGGCTTTGTTCTTAATATAGTCTTGGTTAATTATTTTGTAAATAATATTTTTCAGATCCACCAAAAATTGATGGATTACTTCACTAAGCAGTCTTGGAAAACAGCTCAACAACATCTGAAAACAATGAACCATCATATTCAGGAATACAGGTATGTAATAAAATCTCTTCCGAACACTGTTTTCTGAGTGCTGTCTTTAAAAATAAACTCATTTCGTTTAATAGGACCCAAAAACTTGATAAATTCCAGCTCAGCATCATAGAAGAGTTGAAGAATTTTGAAAAAGATTCACAGACCTTGAAAGATTTGGAGAAGGAATTTGCGGTTTGTGCTTTTGAGAATTTAAAAATAGTTTTAAAACCTCATTTTTAAAGAGCTACCCTCAGGAAAACCTCTACAGACGTTCTGCTTTTAGAGCCACCATAAAGATTTTTAGTCAGTTCCATATAAACACACTTAAATGACAGGCATAGTGTATGACGAATACCTATAATAATAAAGGAGCACTCATAGGAGATTTTACTTTCAATATTTTTTATCTGAAAGAGTTTATGACATCTGTCTTAGCACACAGCCAACTTGTTTGATTAGAAATAAGAGGAATGTAGTAAACTTTTAAGTTTGTGTTTTTAATCATATTAAAGTATAACTAGTTTTGTATTAACATTTAGGACTTTTGGGAAAAGACAGTTCAGAAGCTCATTGCCTATCAGAAATGTGAACAGGAGAGGTTAGTATGGCATCTTTCATGATTGGAATCTATAACATGAGATTTCAAGTGAACAACTTTATACTATTTAAGATTTTTTAAATTAAATACAAAGGTAACATCTCATTACTTCACTTGTTAGGCTTCACCTGCTGAAAGCCTCATTGGACAAAAACGTCTTCTACACCACTGACCATGAAGAAACGATTTGTGTGTCTGAGGTATGCATTTCCTATTTTTATCTAGTTTCTCTTGGTACTGGTGAGTCTGTATTTCTGCTGGGAAAATTTTACAGTAAACTTCATGGGGCGATATATTTATTTTACAGATGTGCTTCATGAAGGAAGACATGAAAATTCTGCAAGACAGGCTTCTTAAGGAAATGGTAAAGCAACTGTCCACTTTGGATTTCTCAAGTGGGATCATCGATCATGCTTTTATCTTTTAACAAGAAATTCTTTCACAGGTTTTCTTTCCTTTGGGATTGACAGGAGGCAGTTTTAGCTCAGTGATTTGTTATTTAAATTAGAATACTGGGAGCATATTTATGGTAAAATAATGGGGGTGGGTTTAAACAGTTGCTCCTAAAGAACTGAAAGACTATCAATTTGCCAATTGAACCATTCTCTAGAAGAATGATTTCTTTGTACCGTGTCTGAGAGCTGCCTTCTCAAGCAGAAAGGGTGTCAGGATCCCCGAAAAGAATTGTTGTCCACCTGGACTACCAGACTTCTCTTACATAGATTTGGGGATAAAACTAGCTGATCCTCCGCAGGTCTAGCAGACCTGCAGTTGGTTCTGGGAGGAGGAGAACCACTGGGTGGTGTCTGAAGGCGCTGACCAAGCGGGTGTGTCTTGGTGGTCTCCCAGAGGGGGACGGGGTTCCTGCGCGTGCCTGGGTCCTCATCTCTGTATGCAGGCTGTTAATGCGCTTAATTCATTTTAACAGAAGCGCGACCTGCTGAAATGGGGGAAGAGCAGGAGGTTTAGCTTGAAGCAGACAAGCTAACTAGATTGATCCTTGTTGAAACTGTTTCCTAGAGGATACTGAGTTTAGTATTTTTCTTTAAATAGTAAATATAAATGTCATTAATTTGGGATAGCAAAGACTGAAGGCCTTCCCTCAGTTGTTCATGTGGAAGCTCGGCCGTGAGCAGAGCTCCGTGGCCCCAGGGCCGGGCCCAGGGATTGGACTTAACGCCAGGCCACGGTCGCACTGTGAGAGACGGTGCTCTTACAGCGAATCCCTGATAACAGCTCGATTTTGTTTTCTGTTTTACTTGGTTAGACAATGATCACTTAAAATGTAACTTTCTTTTTCTTGGCCACAGCAAGAAGAGGAGCTTCTTAATGTGCGCAGAGGGCTGCTGTCGCTATTCATGGCCCGTGAAACAGGCGTGAATGTGGAGGTCTAGATGTTCCCGAGTTTCACCCAATTCCTTTTCGTATGGAACTGAGGAAATGCCAGAACGGCCCTACAAAGAAAGATTATGCACCACTCAGGCAGGAGGACCTTTGACCTCCGAATTCAAGGAAATGCCTTACTGACTAGAGGAAACATGGATTCAAGCCCCCAAAACTTGGCTGGTCAAACCACAGAAAATGGAATTGGCCTGTTTTCGTAGTAGTATTTGAATTAGACAAATATTACTGAGTTAGCTATATTTAATTATATTCATAAAGCTAGTTTAATAAACCAATTTATAAGAAGTATTTTAAATGACTACAGTTTGGACTACACTATAAAGTATTATAAAAACTTGCTTTCTAGTTCAGAATATCTGTAATAAAAAATTAAGCCACACTTGGAAGTCTTTGATTTAAAATGCGTAAGTGTAAACTGGTAATTTTAGCAGACTAGGGGAGAGTATATAGATTATCAGTTATGGCTTCAAGGTACTAAGGAGCCTGAAACAGTTACTATACTGTCTATGTTTTAATTGTAAGTGCACGTCTTAACCCACAGCAGGCTGTTTTGACAAGTACTTACTAAGCTGCTATTCGTTGTAGTAATTTGCAGGATTACTTTATAAAAATACACAATTTGCTTTAATTGCATAGTATATATTAAAATTGAAATAAATGTTTTATCATTTGGATAAAAAATATTTCCTAAATCACTGTTTTCCTATTCTATGAACACTGGGTCCAACAAAACGTCCCTCTCCCATCAGACACCCGAAGCGCGTACCGAGCAGCCTTGCCCGCTGCCCCTTGCCGCTCGCGGTTCCGTCCCGGGGCAAAGCGGCCTGTTCTGGGCCCCACTCAGTCATTGCCATCGGCCAAGGTCAGCCGGCGGGGTAAGCAGGGCTCAGGCTCAAGAGACGGCGACGGCTCTGCCGCGACACTCGGTGCTCCGAGGAGCGGCAACCCACGCTGCCCGCCGGAGCCCCGCGGGCCTGCGTATCTCGCCCTCGGCCGCAGGCGCGCACACGGCTCCTGCCGCTGTGACCCGGCACCGCCGCTCCGAGTCTCGGTTTCCGACGCGCTCACCCGCTCACCCGGCGGCCTGGCACAGCAGGGTTCTCTCGCCCTCTCCCTTCCGCCCCCCGCTGCCCGCCAGCACGCACTCCCCCGCCCACCCTCCGGACCTCGCGGGGCAGCATCGCCTGACCAGGCTTCACTCGTGCCACCACGTAGGCACAGCCGGCCCCGCTGCCGCATTTCCGGGGGCGGCCGCACGTCGATGCCTCTCAGCTCCTTCCTTTTCGGCCCAGGGCCTCTTCCCCTGACCTCGGCCGCAGGACGCGGCGCCTGCTCTGCCGGGTCCCTCGGGCGCTGGGGGCAGGTCTGCGCCGCCACCCCACCCCCGCCCCGCCCCGTCTCTGACAGCCCTGCCGGCGCGGACGGCTCACACTGACTCGGCCGAAAGCCCTCCGACTGCGGCTGTCCCCCCAGGTCCTCTGCCCGGAGCCGAACGTACAGGGACCCTCTCTAGTTGCTGCCTCAGCCCACACACTTCCTAACCTGTCTCCTTGCCCTCCTTCAGTCCCGCGTCTGTCCCTCCAGTGGCACTGAGACTGCTCTTACCAAAATCGCCCGTGATTTCACGAAAGTCTTCCTTTCACTCAGCGTCGCAGTGACACGGCCCCGGGCTGGCGTGGATTTTCCACTCCTGGTCTGTTTCCTGGCTGCCCTTTCACCTCTTCACCCAGGGCTCCTTCCTCCTCTTTCACTCCCTCCTCGTCGTTTCATCTGGTCCCACGTGACAATCATTTTTGTGTATTGATGATTTTCCAACATGTCAAAGTTCTGACTTTTACTTTGGATACCACAAGAACAAATACACTGCTTTACTGACAGTGCTAACAAGCGTCTCAATTCTCAAAACAACTCTGAACTCTCTCCCTCAACATTCCTTCTCATCAGCAAAAAAAAAAAACACCTTTCTCCATCTCAGGAAATGTCCCCTTTACTCACTCAGTTACTCAAGACAAAAACCTAGAGTTCATTCCTGATTTCTCTTCTTCCTTTGGCCAGTTAGTCGATCAACAAGTCCTGCAGATTTTACTACCAAAATAGGCCCCATGTAGCCTCTGTCAACGTCATTCCCACACGGACAACGGCAACAGCCCCTGTAACCCTCTTAGCAGCCGGCCCGCGCCTGCCAGCGCAGAGGCCGAGCCGTGGCGCCGCTCCCTCAGCCTCCCCGGTGCCGGAGCCGCAGGGAAATCAGGAAACACCCGAAACAGATGGAAATGCCCCACGCTGGAACTTACAGGCCCAGTGAAAGCCGGGTTCACAGGGAAATTTATATCCATTAACAGTGAAGAAAGCTCTCCGATCAGTCACCTAACTTCATACTTTAGGAAAAGAGGATCAAACTATAATATTAAATACTACTCATGAGTTGCAACTAAGCTGTTGGGAAGAAGGAAAAAATAAATATTAGGCTGTTGATTAGAAAAACAAAATAGAAAAACAACAGAGAAAATCAATAAAACCAAAAGGTGATTCTTTGAAAGGATCAAGAGAATTGACAAATCATTAGACCGACAAAGAAATAGAAGACTAAAATTTCTAAAATCAGAAATGAAAATTATGGACATTACTACTGACCTAATAGAAATAGAAGAAATTCTGTGAACAAGTTCAGTACCCACAAATGGGAAAACTCAGATGAAATGGTTAACTTTCGAGTAACAAACTGTCAAAACTGACTCAAGAAGGAACAGAAAATGTGAACAGGCCTGTAACAAATGAAGAGACTGAATCGGTAATCAAAAACCCCAACGAAGAACTCTCCCAAACATTTAAACAATTAACACCAGTCCTTCTCAAATGCTTCCAGAGAGAGAGAGGAGGAAACACTTTTAACTCATTTTACAAAGCCAGGCTTACCTTGGCACCAAAGCCAGATAAAAACGTCACAAGAAAAAAATAACAGACTAGTATCCCTTATGAACATACATGTAAAAATCCTCAAAAACTACCTATTCAGCAGCATATTAAAAGGAATTTAATGAAGGAGGTGCAAGATTTGTACAGCAAGGACCCTGAGTAACATTTTGTTAAATGGTTCATCCTACTGATGAGGTGCCTTAGAAACTTCACTCGGGTTGGATCCATCAACCTATGGTAAAACTGGTTTTATTGCTCTACGTCACCTCACTGAAGTCGCTGAACCTGATCAATGACATTGGGGATTTACTAAACACTTAAAACAATAAACAGCCCTGGCCGGTGCGGCTCAGTGGATTGGGTGCCGGCCTGTGAACCGAAGGGTCACTGGTTTGATTCCCAGTCAGCGCACAGGCCTGGGTGGCGGGCCAGGTCCCCAGTAAAGGGCGCATGAGAGGCAACCACACATGGATGTTTCTCTCCTTCTCTTTCTCCCTCCCTTCCCCTCTCTCTAAAAATAAATAAAATCTTTAAAAAATAAAACATTATTGAAAGAAATTTAAGAAAACCTAATGGCAAGACATCACACGGTCATCAATCACAAGATTTAATACTGTTGAAACAGCAGTATTCCATGACGCAAGCTGCAGATTTAATGCAATCCCAATGAAAACCCCCAGTGGCCTTTTTGCAAAATGAAAAAGCCATTCCTAAAAGTCACCTAAAAATTAAAGGGATGCTACATAACAATTTTGAAAAAAGAATAATAAAGGTGGACAATTATACGTTCCAATTTAATACTGCAAAGCTAAATTAGAAGAGTGTGGAACCTACAGGACAGACATATGACCC